ACTCATATAACCCCTCTCTATATATAGATCTTCTTCTGTAAAGATCTAACAGATTGATCCTCAACGATCTCGCATATGATTGCCTACCTAAGCAAGAGACTCTTAACACTCTGATTCTGTTGATTTATCATATAATCTTTTGCTATGTTTCTTGTGATATAAATACTGCTATGTTACCTAGTTAAATCGAATCAAGTTTATTATCCTTTATGATCTCTCTTCTAGATTGGTGGTACTCTTCCACAATCGTGGTACTTCTCCTCCTTCATAGAAGTGCGCACGACCGATAGACTCATAACCGTGTATTCAGACACTACGTTGAGTATTTACCCTTATGCACACTATCGTCTTGTGTGTATAACCACGACTTTATGGTCACCGCCTAGAGTCCGACAGAAGATAATTAAAAAGCGTAATCGGTCAACTAGGAGGATACCCTACGCAGAGGGTCTAACCATTAAAGAGGCTATATAGCTAGCTGAGTAGTTAAACTAGCTAGAGGAAGATGATATGGTAGATTCGCATACAGAGGTTGAATTGCCTAGTCAGCTAATTATGCCAGCAAAGAGGGCACTACCTAGGTATAGTGGGTGTAGGGAGATTGGTCACAGGATTAATGTATGTAAAAATCGCTATATTTAGTGGAATTAATGGGTGTTGGTTGAGATAATCGATTTTGGAATGTTATAATGGGGTTAGGTGGCCAGGACGGCCGGGTGGCCAGATCGGCCGGGAATTACGTTAACGTAGTTCCCGCCCGTCCGGATTACCCGCCCGTCCGGATCACCACCTCTAGAATCGCGTATTCCTACCTACCTACCAACTTCAACCACCTACCATGACACCAATTCGCCCTGAATCCCGGCAGAAAGCTACTAGTTAAGAGGGCAAGATCTTATTAGCCCTTTCCGATTTGAAAGAGGGACGTATTAATTTAATTCGCGTAGCAGTAAAGCTATACGAGCTACCGTACACTACCCTTCATGCGCGTACTAAAGGTCGAATCTCACGCGTGGATAAGCGCCTAACTGGCTATAAATTAACCTAATTAGAAGAGGATTCGCTTACTTAATGGATACTCTCTATGGATTCGCGTGGTGTATCCCCTAGACCGGCTACTATAGGAGAAATAGCTAATATCCTACTAGCCGCGCGCGGTAATTATCCTTCTCCTACTGTTGGCAAGAATTGGCCGTCGTCCTTTATTAAACGCCGCGATAAGCTTTAATCTCGTTTCTCTCGAAGATACGACTACTAAAGAGCCCTAAACAAAGATCCGAAATCGATTCGGTAGTGGTTCGCGACCGTACAGAGTGTGATTAATGAGAACGGTATATAACTAGAGGATATCTATAACTTTAATGAGATAGGCTTTACAATGGGCCTTATATCTTCGTAGAAAGTAGTCACAAGAGCTGAATACTACGGTCGGAGATCTCTTCTATAACTAGGAAATCGTGAATAGGTTACTGCGATCGAAGTAATCTACGTAGATAGCTATTCACTTCCGCTATGTATAATCTTTAAAGGTAAAGTAGCTATTATAGGATAGTTTAACGAAAACCTACCGAAAGACTAGCGAATCGAAGTCTTAAAGAATAGCTAGACTACCGATGAGATTAGCCTACGCTGGCTAGAAAAGCACTTTATCCCACACACGAATTCGCGCGTACGTGGGCGATTTTGACTATTAATTCTTGATAGCTATGGTAGCTATCTTACACCCCAATTCGACCGAATCTGCGTAGAAAACGATATTATACCGCTTTATATACCTACGTATTTATCGTATCTACTATAGCCACTAGATGTTAGGTATTTTACAGTGCTAAAGCGCGCGTACGGTCGCTTCGTGAGCGATCTTACGCGTAGAGGATATAACTATATCGACAAGCACGATTTCTTAGTGGATTACTAGCACGCGCGGCTCGAAGCGTTCTAATCAACTAATCCTACTATTAAAAATAGCTTCGTAGCTAGTGGTCTAGTACCATTAGACCCCGAGAGAGTGCTTAGTAAGCTTAATATCTCTCTACGAACTCCGACACCACTAAGTAGCCGGCTAAGCAGCAGATCTAGCGAATTCACACCACAAACGCCTAGAACCGCTACTCAGCTATTTAAGCAAGCTTCTATGTTAAAAGATCTACTAAAACGGCGGTCAAATAGCCCTCCGAGCCCATCAAAAGAGATCCTAGACTAGATAATCAAGGGGTTCCAGCTAGCGCTACATAGCGGTGCTTTACTAGCAGAGGATAATACGAATCTACGTATAGCGAGTGAGAAGATGGTCAAGAAGCGCAATCGGTTAACTAGGAGGATACCTTGCGCAGAGGGTTTAACCATTGAAGAGGCTATACAGCTAGCTGAGCAGCTAAACCAGCTAGAGGAAGATGATGGGGTAGATTCGCATGCAGAGGTTGAATTACCTAGTCAGCTAATTATGCCAGCAAAGAGGGCACCACCTAGGTGTAGTGGGTGCAGGGAGATTGGCCACAGGATTAATGTATGTAAAAATCGCTATATCTAATTAAATTGATGGATGTTGGTTAAGATAATCGATTTTGAAATATTCTAATGGGTGTAGGTGATCCGGACGGGCGGGAACTACGTTACTCAGAGTCGGTTACTGCTTACTCACCAACACTCATTGTCCAGTCACCAAGCTGTCTTCTTTTCTTTCAGCCCATATTAGACTATACCCAAAAAGGATATGCCCCACAGGGCCATCTATTCTGTGATAACTAGCGCGTTAACGACACTTGTGAGGCCATCCCCTTCTGGAGGTCTCCGTTTCTTCAAAAAACTGCGTCATTCGCCCCCAGCCAGACAAAAGTGAGGTGGACCATCATGTTCAGTATTATGCAGTTAATGGCCTTTGCTCTATCGTGTATTGGGTCCTATGATTTAAAATATAAAAGGAGACTTGGTCCCACCTCCATCGTCCCATCAAAAACAATATTCGCTCATTGCCTGCACCTAAAACCAACTCCTTCTCAAAGACTACCTCTTTAGCTTGAGCTAGAAATCAATATCTGGTTATAGGCGGAAAGGCCTTTTTCTCCAACCGTAATGAGAAAGCCAAAGAACGGCGTCATCTTATAGATTTCGGGATTTGAAATTTGTGCAATAGGATTGTCAGCGATAAATGTCCGTATCGCCCTTGAGGTGTCTTCTACCCTCCTTTTTCACCTTAAAGAATTTTTCAATGCTACTTGAATATCAGAGAGGAGAAATTAATATTAAGGCTTCCCTTTGAAATCTTTTATAATCTTTCGCAATTAGGCCCTGTATATTAACCAGCCTTCTTCCTACACGACATTTCATCCCACCACCTTCCGACCTCACTATTACGTGCTGAAAAAGTAATGGCCTCCCTGCAATTCTTCATGCGCACGACTTAATTAATTCTGTCGTCCAAGTCCAACGCGGACGCTGCAATCATCAGCCCTACAGGCCCGGGCATCTCTCAATATTCCCTATGAACAAGACGCATTCGGCTGATGTTCAGTGCAAGTCTATCCCAACTGTGACGATTCATATGTGTGGGTGCTTGATGCCTGGTTTGATGCCTGCTGCTGAAGGCATCCCTCATGTTTTAGATCGTCTCTCGTTCTCTCACCAACTCTCCTGCTTTCCTTCCACACTTAGTTGCTTCGTTGAATGCTACTACGTTGGTTGATGTCTGTCTCTTAGTATCTGGCCGTAACACCAACCTTTATTCATGTCTATGCATCCCAAGGCGAATATATGTATATGAACCTCAGGCCTTCTTCTATGCGTATGGCCCGTTTATCACCCGTTTTCAGTCCGACAGCGGCCTTGAAATCGTGCTGCATGCCTATGAGGATTATCGGCATATATATCTTTTTCCGAACGTGAGACTGACTTATGTGAATGCACATCTTTTAAACAACTGGGCGATAACTATAACTAAGCTGGACACTCATTAAGCCCATTGCTCGGAGAAGGCATACCCTACTGTCCTACTTATAAGGACTGTTAAATCTACAAAAGGCTGTATCAACAATTGGGGGTTCTTGACATACTATGATTGCACTCCACGATATATGATGCCTCCATCCATTGCCTGGTGAACTTCACAGTGGCTGCTTACTTCTCCTCTAAAACTTCACACAAACATTATGGTTTCCGCGTGCATGAATGGCATTATAACCGCCAATACACGACTGACCGTGGTCGTCGATTATGTCTATTTCCTTCCCAGCATGCCCCACACTCCGGTCCACACTCCGGCCACTCCAAGCAGCCACTTCTCTCAACAGAAGCATAGAGATCGCTGGTCGAACCGGGAAGCATCCACAACGCCTACTAAGAACGGCCGCCGTGACGACAATATATGTGCCGATCAGTATGAGAGTGAGAATAAAACTCAGCATTGGAGGATGCCAAATTCGCAATATCTGATCCCACGCCACATTCTTCCGATACTGCTACACCGAATACTTCACAAGGGGTTGAATCCCAGACAGTGGTATCATAGATTTGGGATACACCGACCAGACCAAGACGGAGACGGCGGCCGATTTAAGCTGCCGACTTTTGCAGTGAATTGAGTAGTTTCTTGGTCCTTGAAACCTGTTATGCGCCAAGCAAACTCCATGCTTCTTACTTAGCGGGTTACCCTAGCAGCGGCCAAAGCTACTGCCAATGCAACTCGTAGTGGTAATATAACCAAGTTGGAACTAATTATAATAAAGTAGAGTGACGGGAGATCAGAGAATTTTGACGAGGAAAGGTGTATGTATCCTCAGGAATATTAATCTGAGCGAACTACACCCAAAAACATGACAAATACCGAAGGCGGGATGGATTTGGAATGATTCCTTCATAAACATAGTATCAAAAACATAAGGTTGTACGCTTCGGAACCAGTAGAATAACCTCTGTCGATTGCAATGAATGAACCACTGCTCAATTCATGATCTTCAATGAAGATAGTAATGAGCAAATACTCATTGATCACATTAACCAATATATCACGCGTCGATGAATTTAAATCCAGAACTCGCCGCCTCATTCGCACCATTGTTGACAAGCGACCCATCCCCATCCACAGTGATGTACAGTCTGTTGCTGACTGCCTGGATGGAGTACACACCCGCTGCTGCTCCAACCTTCTGGCGGATCACGAACGTCTCCCAAGATGACGCCGTGCTCCGGGTCGCAGAGAGTGTGTAGTTACCAGACTGGTCAGCCGTCACGAACTCTTTCGTGCTGATGAGCTGGAGCGTCCCGGCGTTGGGCACGAAGGAGCTATTGAACGTCGCAGCGCCACTGGTAGAGGTAGATGAGGCGATTAGGTTTGTGTTCGCGCTAGACGCGGCAACGTAATTTCCTGAGGATATGTCCTGTATGAGGAACTTTCCGTAGGGGTTAGACGGGAGGGTGTTGTTGCTACAGATTGGCGCCCCGGTTGGGTTAGGTCGAGTTCCGATGAAGAAGAGCTCGTTCGTGTATGTTTGCCCACTGCCTGTTAATTTTTTTTCACTCTGTTAGGACTAAATCTGAAAGTTCCACTGTTGGAAGAAGGATCATACCCCAAGAAGTTATGTTCGCACTCCACTGAGCTGCGACCTGTGGGTTTACGTTTGAGTACGCATCAATGATCACGGATTTCCTGCTCAAACGCATTAGAAAAGGTACATAAAAATCTTGGGCAAAAAATACCATTCATCACCAATGCTCGGGTCAACGAGTTCGACCATCGTATAGTTCCACACGTTCTTAACCCATTCGGCGTCGTACAGAATCTATAAACACCGTCATTAGCAGTCTGTTATTGCCCAACATGTAATGGAGGAGCTGCCCACCTCGTTTACAGGTTGAACTGGCAAGATTTGGATAGCTGCAATCTCGCTCTTCTCGCTTCCCCAGAACAACCACGCTCCGGATTGCCAATCCTCCACGTTGCCAATTGTGACCAAGTCCCTCAAGCCCTGCTCAGGATACGGATTGTTCGGGTCTGTCGAAGCTTGATCCGGATAGAGATGCCAGTACACCTGTACACTGTGCATCTCCGTCGCCAGCAGGAGCTTTGCATAATTTACCATGTCGTCCGAGAGTGTGACAGATGCCCAAAGAAGCGCGCCGTAGTATCCATTGATAGCTTCACCGCTCGATTCTTGGTCCCGGCTTCCCGCACCATTCGCGATTCCAGAAGCCCAAGAGTGTCCCGCGAACCAGTCTCGGCACCGAGTAATGGGGAAGTAAGGATCATTCACCGATGGGTTTACGATGTCCCTGCACATAACCAATCATTGAGTTCACAATCCATAAGGACTGTGTAAAGAAAGACATACCGTGCAAACCAGTTAATAAAGTCCCTGTGTTGATTCAACCAGCTCTGGTCGTACTTCGCAATGACTGCCGCGACAGCAAGGAAATATCCATAATGAAAGTGGTGGTCATTGTAGTATCCGTTCCCAAAATCGACCCACGAATTATTTGCGCCGGCCTTATTTATGACACCACCCCACGCGGTTTCGTATGCCGCCATGGTTGTCGCTGAGGTGTTGAACCACTGGGCGAAGGAAGCCTCGAGGTAATCGATAACCGGTAAGATCAGATCAGTACGTCCGAGGTTGTCACTGCATATATAATGAGCTTCATATTCTATCATATGAGAGAGATAGATCTCGTACGCACGCAATGACCGCTAACCGCGCAATCGCATTCATTGAACCACCCCAATAATAAAAGTCACCAGGGATTGGAGCATTTGCAGGATTAAGTTCTCCGATCTCGTATTCAAGACCCTGGAGAACAGCCGATGAACACGAAGAATCAAGCTCGCGTGGGGGATCCCATATTATTGATGTGAGGTTGTAGAGCAAATTCCATTCATTCCCAAGAGATGGATACATATATCCCTGTCCGCATCACTATTAGCACACGTCTAAACGACAAACTTAACGGAGCTTTACCTTCGTAGTCAAATAGGCGAGCGCTGTTATATCTGGGAAATTTCCTTTCTGCATTGCAAGCCGGTGGTGTGGCCAGGTTAGCATAAGGAGATCACTTCCATTCCCCACCGTGTTCCAGTGGAAGCTAAGTGTGCCTGTTGTGTTTGACAAGTCGTAGTTTTGCTCGACGGAGACTGGGTAGATCTCGTAATGCTTATCGAGAATCGTTTTATGTCCGGGATCCTCGAGTTTTACGAGTCGGAGGACACCCGTGAACACGCTCGACGCTGAGATCGTCCCAGCCGATCCGGCAAGAGAGCTCGCTGTGAGCGTGATCGAAGAGAGACTGTAAATAATGTAGGTCGAATTGCTAGTATCAGTCACAGTAAACTCCGTTCCGGTGGCAGTCACTGAATTATGTCTCATTCAGCTCGTATACAAATAAGAAATCGTAAATGGAACATACCATTTCCGCCATCCACGAGCGGCTTGCTGTTGAATGATTGGATCCCCCCATTCATCGGTGTTAACAATGGGGTCGACTGGTTAAACTGAAACGTAATGTATGGTGACCCCGGAACGCCATACACCGTCATGGAAGCGTCACTCTCGAAATACTCTAAGGTAACGGTTTGAGTATCCCATGCAGTCGCTTTATGATTACTGAACTCTCCCGAATGCTCAGTAAAACACACACGCCAATCTGTCTGCGTTGGCTGCTTAATAGATGCCCCGTCAAATTGGCGGTTTGTGCTGAAGCCAAACACAAACCCGTCCCCATCTAGGGCTGATTCGTACGGGAAGGGTCCCGCGGCAGTTGCGTTCCCTGGAGGAGCGGCATAAGGCGCCCACCACCCGTTTGTTGGGAACTAGGTACACATGCCTTAGTAAACGAGAGCTCTTGACGGGAGAAATAGAGTGAATTTACTTACTGGAGGCTCAAACCCCTCAAAGAATGAGTTCACGGGAGTAGCTGCACAGGTGATCTGACCACCAGTAATGCCACTAGGATTATCTGTTGCGATGGGACCCAACGAAGTCCGTTTATACAAGGTATGGATGCCGCTACTACCAGTAGCAGAGGCAACAGAAAAGAAAGTAAGGAGAACAGATCGCATTTTCGAAACAAGGGTGGGGAATCTCAATGCAGCAGGGAACTGAATGCCTGAGTGTCAGATAATTATCTACGAAAGAGGGACAAACTGCTTCATTATAAATATTGGCCACAGACACCACAGTATAGGTTTTAACAAGTCAAGACAACCTCTACGCGGAGTCTCGCGAGAGTCTCGCGAACCTGGTGTGATCTTAACTGGAGATGGATTGGTCATGAAATCCTTGAAAGGATTATTTTAAAATACCCACATTATTACGAAGGATCTTTAATCCCTGATTTTAAACCAGCTAGTGTTAAAATTCCCCACGCAGCGTGAAGAAATCGACCGCGGAATCTGGGGCTGGTACCTTACTGAATAAATAGAATCAGAGTCCACGGACAGAATACGTCGAAAAATACAAATGAGGGAACCTCCATTTAGTTCACTACAGGTGGCCTAGGGTTAAGTTCCACCCTAAGAGAAAAGTTAAATCTCGCATATTCTACTTCCAGTATAGTGTATAGAGGAGGCTATGCTAGGCGATTTTGTCGCTCCATACTATCGTCCACTATATGCTGCACATGGAGTGGTCGCTGCTATTGAAATTGCCGATACTTTTCCATTCCTCATCTTCAATTCTACATACGATCACAACATCCATTATGCACAGGTCTGAAACAATTTCGATGGCGTTAACTCCATAATCTATGGTTCATTGCCGAAACACTAAGGCCATCCGATAATCCGCGCCGCTGAAGAGGCGATACTCCGCGCCGCTGAAGAGGGGTTTCCTGCAGTTACTCCGAACAACATAACAGGATTATATGATCAAGGTAATAAACCCTTGGTATTATCGTTTGTGTACAAGCCAGCGAAGACAATTTATATGGAACTTCCGAGTCTGATCCATATTGTAATATTATCATCCCTAGATCTGATATACTTGTTTCTCAAATTGGCAAACATCGATATCGAACACGTTCTTTCCGAACACAAAATGAAAAAGTAGCTATATTATCTGGTGTGTCAGATCCTTCTCCTCCCTTTCTATAGTCCGTTAGCGAGGAGTTCTGTTGGTCAGGCATCTGTCACAACCCTGACCTATCCTCTTCCCCCTGTTTTTGTTCTCTCTTGCTCTTCTCTCTCTGCATTGCTCCTTACGATCATCTCCGCGCTGCTTCCTGTGAGCCTGGAGACTTGCTCTAGCATAATCTAGTAATATTCTATCAAGAATATGGCGTATTTCCAAGCTGTCCAGATAGCTACCAGCCCAACTCGGTTAGATTCCTGTCGCTACAGACACCTTCATGTCCCCCATTTTCTTATGTTAGACACCAACCACCAATACACTTATCTTTGATCCCATTCGCTCTGCCGCATACTAGTCTATACTGTTTTAGCTTGCTCTGACATATTTAAATATTATGAATCGATAGATGGCATACAGAATCAATTCCGCGTCTCGGTGTAAGCTAACCTCGTATGACCGACGGGCCCAATTGGCGCACGCAGAACCCCGTTCTTCCACGGCATTCCAGCAGCATGTCTTCCCTGCGCTGCAGCTCTCAGGGCAACATTTCATATGAATCTACAAAATTCCCTTGGAAGACTCTTAGGTCTGGAATGCCACGCCAAGGGTGCATACATTCTGCTCGGACCCGTGCTTAACATCCAACATGGACAACTAAGCGGACTCGGTTTTGAGGACCTGGTTTCGCCCACGCCGTCACGTCAAATAATAGAGGGGTCTGTATAGAAGCACGGTGATGACAAAGTCCTCAAATAGTGCCAGCAGTATCAATTGCTCCACAGGTCATTCTGGAATCCTCAACGATCCCTGAATTGGATGGTGTGAAAATGAATATTACACTACGTGGCTAATCATAGTTTAGGGTTATATCGTATCATGTTTCTGTTGCATCGAATTCCCCTGCATGTTGGATCTAGTGTTTCAGACCCGACGATTAAATTTGGAAATACTGATGCCGATCACTTCGACATGATGAGGTCGGCCCGTGTTACGTAGAAAAGAAAAAGCCGAACCCTAGTAATCCCGCCATTCTGTGTCATTATCATCCGGGGATGATGGCGGTGGGTCCGAGTCCTGAATATTTTCCCGTGTTCGCAGAGCTTGTATACAAGCCAGGCAAAAGGCGTCGTCGAGAAAGGAGTAGTAAATGCCTCGCGGAGTGTCGGGTGCAAGAATATATGGCCGAGGAGCTCATTTGTTAAGGGTTTCAGGGGTAGCTGATTTAGTTGATTCTACTGCAAACTTTATTGCCCGCAGGGTAGGTCAATTAAAAAGAAGGCGGTTGTATTAGCTAGAATAGAAAGGAATTGTCAGGAGGCACTAGAAGATATACTGTCTCGTGTGAATGAGCATATCTGATTTAGCTCGAAAATTCTCTTTCCAGAACTAGTAACGTCCCTTGTTTCTGCAATTTACCCCGCACCGAAAGCCTCGACGATCTGGAGATTTTCCCGCTAAGGGAGATTAATTCAGCAGCCACTCAATCTCCCGCATAGTTTAAGAACCTTGTAACTCATAATGGGGTTACAGCGAAAAAGAAGAAAGATATATCGGAGCTCAGAGGGCGTAAGCTTCGACGAGCGGCCAGAACATAGCTTAGATTGCAGATTGCTAGTAGATGGAAAGCGATTAATTGTATTATATATAGTAGAGCGTGATATGCCTAAGCGAGATGCGATTTGAGTGGGGTTCTCGTGTGATTCATAAACGTAAATAATAGCAGAGCGAATTGCTTCGGATAATTCAGCATTTCTAGTGCGATTGCCACTATTTACAGAGGTAAATGAGGGCGTGGTAATTGAGATGAGGTGGTTGAAAGAAGATGGGTGGTAGGCGGTGGGGTTCTACGACAGAGAGTGTCCACAGATATTTATTTGGCATCCAATGTATTCACTTCCCCCTAAAATACTCAGTCTTTCATTCATTACAATATTTCTGACTCGATATTTAGCAATCCATTGCTCGGGAAACAGGTACTGGGACTTCGGAAATGCTGACCACCATTTTTTGTCTCTCTGTTGATGAAGTTCGAATAAGCGACCGTAGAAAGAATTTCGCGTGTATTGAATTCCAATAGCTTATTCTTTAATCTGGCAGACAAGGAGCTCTAGTGTTAATAAAAGGTCCCTAAGTATATGGTTCTTCTTGTTTAGTTCAATGATAGCTATTGCTATATCATTTTCTCGTGTAAAAAATGCACTTTCCGTCGTATTTGTGAATAATCTATAAAAGCTGACTAGAGGGTGAGATGCAATCAGCATGAGTATATCTCGAGTATATTGAACTTCACTTATAGGGTTTCGTTCTCAATTGTTTTATAGATCATAGGTACCTATATAGATAAACGCTTAATTAGTTGCCCTACTTACGACTCGACAAAAGTATTAGGGCTGTTCTTATTTACTCCGTGCATGAAGTAATTATCTAAACATAGTTTGAAGTTTGTCAAAGACCGCATCAAGTTAAGGTATACGTCTCTATGATTTCTGAGGGTAAGGTAGAGAAATTTATACACTTCGTGACTATGCTTTAAAGATAAGAGTTTGGGAGATTCTAGTCTTAGTATAAAACACTATAGGATGTTTTCTATAGCGGATAATCGATTATATAATTCTAGTAGGAGCTTATTGTTGAGTCGAGTATGATTAAGAGATCTAAGAAGTAGTTAAACACTATACTATGCAGACTTAACGACTTGAGCGGTAAGATCTTTAGTATTGAACGGTTGAAAATTTTCTATCTGAAGTACGATTAGTGAGAGAAAGATAAATAGGTTAGTTAGTATTACACTTACTCTTACTCGGTTGAATATTTTGCATTATTTAGTATAACGGGTTAGTTTCTGAAGGATATTAGTGTAGGGAGAATTTGTTTAGATTTATATCTCTATTAAGAATAGGTAGTAATGACATTATGCCGTGGTCAGACCTAAGTTCCCGGGAACCTAGCAGAATATTATATCTGAACAGACTACTTTATTGGCTTAATAACCGCGTATATAAGATGACACCCTGAGGGATTCTTGGGAGCACGCTGACACTCCTAAGAGTAATTGTTTAGATATATGCAGATAGCAGACCTTAGGTTCCCGTTTGTATCCACTTAATATGGCGAAAATGGCATAACGTCAAAACCACAAAAGATCTTTAGCTAAGTAGTAGTGCCTGTAGAAGGGTATGTAAATTAATTTTCATAGAGACCTGCAAAGTGTCTAGTAAAATTGAAAGAAAATTCGTAGTCTATCTAGGAAATACAGTCCATCACATTTGCCCAAATCTAGCCAATGTATCGGGGAAAATGGAGAATACTCCTAGGAGCGTCAAGTAGATTGCCCAATTAAACAATGTGCACTGAATACACCCTGCCTGTAACAGGAAAGATCGCCAAATCAGTGGCAAATTTATGACGCCAGCTCTTTTTTGGTGGGATAGGAGATGTTATCTGAAAGGAAAAAGTTTAGATGGGAACCGAGCTAGCGTGTCGCGTTTTAGTTATTGAGCGTGCTGACTCCGGTCACTCCTCTCTGACTGAGCTTAGTAATCAAATCGGGATGCTCAGATCAGGTCGCTCAGGGGCGTGCTCAATTCTATTCAGTGAGCAAAAGCGGCGAGAGGGTGAGCACTAGAACGGAAGGAGGCCGCCAAGAGTTGCCAGACATTATTCGGTATATATGTACATTTTCAAGCCAAAATGAATACTATAAAAGGTCTTCCTACATCCGAGGCTTCGAGTTCAAGCTCAGTTCGCCGTATGGCCAAATTCCAGATTTGCCTGGGGACAGAATTCCCCTGGGATCCAAGAAATCCTTGAGTTTAGTGGTGAACTGTTTCAGAGCCCCGCCGTTAAAGTTGAAATGCGAAGCAACCTCATCCATATAATCAAGATGAGTACGGTATGCAGTATACCCCATCTCAGCTGCATCACGAATAACGTGACGCATGAGCTCATCAACCCTCTTAACCTCTTCGTCAGTGTAGATGATCAACTCGATACCAATCACATGTCTGGGGAACACATGGAAATCTGCGAAGAAGTCAAACTTGGAATCGACTGTTCGCTGCTTGGCTTTGAGATACCACTCGTACAGCTCTCGACCGGAAGGTGGGAATAGAGGAGAGTAGTCGATGTGACTGCCCGGCTTCTGGCGACTGTTGAGAATTTCCAGTGGTGCGAGTGTTGGAATACCACTGTGGGGAATTTCTTCTTCCTTGATGGTAGCGGTCGTAATAGACTCGCCCGGTTTTCCGGAGAACTCTCGCCAAGTCATAGTAGCCCCGGGGATGGCGTTGAATGCTCTGCGGGTAGTTTGGAGTAGTCCGGGAAGCAACTCAACCTGCGAGTACAGGGAGAAATATGCTCGCCAAAAACCCCACTTTTGCTCAACACGGATTCCATCGAGTACATCATATGGTACGCAGCTGTTTGGTTTCATGTATTCTTGCAGCTTCTCGTGTACACTTGGGACTCGCGATGTGAGCGCGATGCGAAAGATGTTGGCAATTGACGGGGAATTGAGTATGACGGAGCGACGCATCAAGTCTGATAGGATGCTCACAAGGGCCACGAGATCAGACTCTTGGGGCACATCGACTTCGACAGTGGCGTAGGCTTCCGGGGCGGGAATCATCTGGATGCCTATCTTTGTGACAATACCTAAAGAAGCCACGAGGAAAGTATATTAGCAATCCGATCGAGAATGGAATATTAAAATATAGTCGCTTCTGAACTCATTCTTTCCAAATTTAGTGAAAACATACCCAAGTTAGACTGGAAGAAGAGTCCATCCACGCTGGGACCAAAGCCGCTATAGATAGTTAGCAAAAGCAGAGCCCAAATATCCTGCGGAAAGCACTATACCCTTTATAAAGTGCAAACATCTGGCTGCCCTCCATCGCACCCATGCCAGTCCGCAGCAACTCGCCATTCGGCAAAACAACTTCCATACCACATTGTGCCTGAGCATGGTCTCCTAAAGGTGTATAGCCAAACCCACGATCCGTAGTATTTCCAAGAACGGAGCCCCAGCCAATGGCTGGTACGGATGGCCAGAGATTGAGACGCCGTCTTTGAATTTCTTCATATAGATCGAAGAAGGAGACGCCCGGCTCTACAATAGCGTAGCCGTACTCCTCATTGATTTCGACGATCGTGTTCATTCGATGCAGGTCCAGGACAACGGTTCCCTTAACGACTGGTGCAGAGCCCCCGTATCTATAAGGGTTTGTTAGTGAGAAAGGGCTGACGGAAGGATCCAATGTTCGTTTTTTAACACTTACCCGAGGTTTTTACCGCGAGAAACCGTCCACAGAGCGATGACATATTGATTCGCCAGTCGAACGATCTCACGAACTTCGTCGACATTCTTCGGACGCACGGCTCCACAGGGGTCATGGTTTGCGGGAGATGCAAAGGGGTCACCATAGGCTGTCGAGCCCAAAGGACCCTTCAATCCGCCCGAAGAAGGCTGACGAGAGACATTGGCTTCGCCAATAACTTGGGCAACGCTATCGAAAAACTCCTGCAACCTTTGCGTATCCATATTGGGGTCCAGCGTTGTATATGAACAAAGGTCAACTCTGAGCGAATCGACGTTCTTTCGCAACGGAGACTTGAATTTTGAATACTTCGAGACTACTGGAGATGGCTCCTTTAAACCACGATATCAATCTCTCTAGAAAGCCTCGGCATCATCAACCCCAGTTTCTTCTGTCGCATACTTCTCCATTTTGCGGGGAATGCCTCCCGGGGATACCGGGTAAGCGGGTATACGGGTGTGCGGGGAACCGGGTGTAAAGTGGAATTCTGGTACACACGCGTCTCGAATGACTGGAAGTTTAAGTTCCCCAAGAGACAGGGCCTAGCGCAAGCCAATTCTCTTTATAAACTGTTTAGTTCGGTGTTATCTTGAAAGAGGTCCTCCCACTGCAAAATATCATCATCCTGGGACCCTATCTCATCTTGACTGGGGACATACTGAAAGCCAACATGGGTACCAAAGTAGAAAGTGCTTTCCCCGATCGACCCCAGTTTCAAGGGTTCATGAAGCCATGCCGATTGGAAGGTGAAATCCAAGCACTGGAAGTCCGTGGTAGCATTCCCGAGGAGATTGATGGGACGTTCTATCGGGTGATGCCCGATCCCCAGCTTCCTCCGTTTGTGGAGAATGATCCGGTATGTTCCTCTCCAATAGTATGAATCAACATTAATACTCTGATACTAATAATGGGAGGACAGTGGTTCAATGGCGACGGTAACATCGCCGCCTTCACGATCAAAGATGGCAGCGTGTCATTCCGTCAACGCTATGTGCGGACCGAGAAATTCACTCGAGAACGCGAAGCAAAACGAGCTCTCCTTGGTATGTCCACTCATTCACTTTCTACAAATACCCTAGACCAAAGTGTTCTCTAACGGCCGGTAAACAGGCAAATACCGTAACAAATTCACCGACGCGGTAGAGTTCAAAGTTCGCTCAACTGCCAACACCAATGTGGTATACTTCAACGGGCAGCTACTAGCTCTCAAAGAAGATGCTCCCCCGTATGCACTTGATCCCGCTACGCTGGAAACCAAGGGTCTCTATGATTTCGAGGGTCAGCTCCCTAGTCTGACGTTCACGGCGCATCCAAAGTTCGATCCGAAGACTGGAGAGATGATCTGCTTCGGATATGAGGCCAAAGGTGATGGCACCCCGGATGTATGCTACTACAACGTTAGCCCGGATGGCAAGTTCACCGAGGTGGTTTGGTTGGTTGCTCCCGTGGCTGCCATGATTCATGATTTTGCTGTGACGGAGAATTGGGTAAGTTTTGACACCCTGATATCCTGATACAAACCATAATTGAGAGGTGTTTACTGACCCTAATGGCTTGAAGGTCCTTTTCCCTGTCATCCCTCAGGTCTGTGACATTGAGAGAATGAAACAAGGTGGCGAGCACTGGCAATGGAGTTCGGAGACCCCATTCTACCTTGGAGTTTTGCCCCGTCGAGGAGCTAAGCCTACAGATGTCAAAGTGAGTTAATCTTTGCTGGACTATCCACCCAGCTGGGGGTTTATAATAGCTAAACTAACATTATAACAGTGGTTCGAGTACAAAAACTCCTTCCCAGGCCACACAGCCAATGCCTACGAAGATGAGAACGGCAATATCACCATGGACCTAGGTCTCAGCGAGAAAAACGTCTTCTTCTGGTGGCCCGACGCACAAGGCAACGCGCCCGAACCAAGCTCCATCCTCTCCCAACTAGTCCAATTCAACTTCAACCCCCGCTCAGAAGATCTCAACCTCCCCAGCCCCAAGATCCTTCAACAGCACAACACCGAATTCTACCGTATCGACGACCGCTTCGCTACTCAGCCTTACAAGCACTGCTTCATGGATCTTATGGATCCCACCCTGGGCACGGACTTCCCAACCATCGGTCCCAAACTCGGCGGTGGCTATCCGCTGTACAATAGTCTGGGCCATTTTGATGTAAGCACGGGTAAGACGGAGATTTATTTCCCTGGTAGAACGCATATGGTGCAGGAGCCTGTTTTTATTCCTCGGAGTGGATCGACGGTTGAGGGGGATGGGTATCTGTTGGCGCTCATCAATAATTATGATAGCATGTCTAGTGAGTTGCATTTGCTGGATACGAGGGATTTCACGAAGGCAAAGGCTATTATTTTGTTGCCTATTCGCTTGAGACAGGGATTGCATGGGAATTGGGTGGATGCGGCGGATTTGAAGACGTCTGCTTGAGCTTGCTTGGTTGGATTTTATGTCAAGATAACCGAATTTAGGAATACTGTGCAAGCCAGAGGTGAAGTGGAATTCATATCGTCTCATCGCACTGGATTCGTCTCAAACTGGGTCCTTGACAACGCACAGAGCGTGATTTAGTACATTTTGCTTCAGCAGCTGAGGTATAGAATGGGTGCCTCTCATAGACAAAATGGCTAACTGGCCTACTCCCACAGTGGACACCTTCCACGATCTCAGCTACTGTCAAAGAGTAGGATGAAGTAAGATCTAAAATTCATATTTAGGCCGATCTAAGATCTCTATCTCTAGGATCTCTATGTCTAAGATCGAGAAAAATTTCGGATATCAAACAGGTGAAAAGAAATTGCACACAATGTATGCGTCAAAATAGAAAACCCCCGGAAGCGTACACTCACATCAAGCACGACTCTCTTTACTCAGAGGTCTTGAAAACGAAGCGGTCCTCGGGCTTGACGGTGAAGGGGACACCGTTCTCGAGGAGTTTGACGTAGACCTCGGCGAACTCCTTGAAGAAGGCATCGCTGTCCTTGGCGTAGCGCTCGACGTGCTGCTTGAAGCCCTTGTCCTTGACGAGGGCAATGTCAGTGGGCAGCATCATCAGAGTGGAGGTGGTCTTGTCAGTGAACTGAGCAGGGCCGTTCCACTTGCGCTGGTTCCACTTCTCCTCAACGAGCAGACGGAAGAACTCGTTGCTGAAGACAGTGGGGCTGAAGTCCCAGGGACCCTCGAAACCGGAGCGGTCGGTGTGAGCACGGCCCAGAGCGTGGGCACCGATCAGAGCGACCATCTCGCGGTCATCGAAGCCCATGCGGTTGAAGACGTCGCGGATGTGGCGGTGGTCCTTGGAGGCATCGGGAAGACGGCCGTCGGGAGTGCAGGCAGCGACGTCCTTGTCCTCACGGCCGGGTCTCCAGGGGATGACGGGGCCACCCAGCTCCTGGATGGCGGCGGAACCGGCCAGAGTCCAGAGATCGGAGTAGGTGATCCAGGGGAACTTGGCCTTGACGGGCTCGAGGAAGTCACGGGCGTGCTTCAGACCGGCGTTGGCGCCGTGGTCAGACTCGGGGGCGAAACGCATGGTAGCACCGTTGCTGCCACCAGTGCCGGTCTCCTTGTCATAGGTACCACTGGCGTGCCAGGCGAGACGAACGAGGACCTATTGAAGAAAACAAACCCCCGTGTTAGTTGTTTGTTTTGGTTTCTTGTATAGGCAAAAGAGTGCCAATTGGTAACTTACGGGGCCGTAGCTGCCATCATCGTAGTCGGTCTCGTTGGCCAGACGGTAGGCAATCTCATCGTAGACCTTCTGGTAGTCCTCCTTGGTGGGGACGAAGGGTCCCTTGGTGGACTCGCCGTTCAGGTAGAAGTAGGCACCAGCACCACCAGCGACGGCGAAGGCCAGAGCGAAGATACCACCGGAGCCACCCTTCTTCTCACCAGCCTCAGAGGCATAGCCACGACGAGCAGAGGCACGGAAGCCCTGGGGGAGAGCAAAGCGAGCAGAGCGAGCAGCCGGGCGGAACGAGGAGGTCGCCGGGGTCGAGCGCAGGAACGCGCGGGTAGCGGAGCGAGCAGCCGAGGCCATTGTGATTGAGGGAGGAAGGTAAATGAAGGAAAGAAAGAGGTATTCACAAGGAGATTGTTAAAGAGAGAGAGATAAGGAATGGGAGGAAGGACTCAAGTCGGATCGGAAGGAAAGGAAGAAGCCGGGGGAGGCGTAGATAAATGACCAGTCCTTCTGCAGGATCCCTCCCCCCCCTTCCATTCTCCAATGCCCATGACAACCTAGGGTTCCGAACGATACAACAGAGAAGCAGCTGGAATCTCGGCCAATCAATTGGACCACATTTCACGATTGCCTCGGCGTTTGGCTCTCCGCATTTTTGTCACGCCGCTCCCCGCGCAAACTATCTTCCATCCATGGCTTTCCCTATCGCTTTCCAATGTATAACAGTCGGCTGTGATGGTACTAGTTGGCCCTTCCAAGTCATTGCCATCATAATACACTCCCTATCTGCTATCCTCTACCTCAGTAACGATGCCTGTGAAATCCATTCCGTACACACCTCGGGTCCACATCCGTTGCGGTGGGCCTGTAATTACCAACTGAAAGACTCTGGCTGGCTGGGCGACCGAACGAGGATCCACTGGGAAACTGCACGGCCTCCTCCGATAATACCTGGCTTACCTCATCGAATGGTCTGGCTCGAGGAGCTTGCTAATAAACGCCTTCCAGATCGTCATTCTGGTCAGCGCTGAGTTTGATTCCATGGCTATCTTGGAGGTCTGATAGGAACGAGACTGGTGCTCACTAATAACCTTTTCCAATGTCTATTCCTTCGGATAGTCTCCCGAAGCGATCAAAGTACTGCTTATACGAGATGTTGTCGAATAACAAGCTCTTGCTGTACTGTAGCTTGCAGTAACTGTTGTAGCTTCTATCGCATCAGAGACAATAGATTGAAAGACCCCCCAAACCGGAGAACACTGTGAATAGCCTCAGACTGCTCGAGGTAGTCATTCTCCTCTTGCAACCAACATGCCGTGTACGAAGCTTGGATGAGGGTTCGATCTAATCAGGTGGTTACTCTAAGTAGGTTTTGGAGAGAGCTTAGCTGGCGCTAGCATGGAAAGAACCGCGCACGGCTAGCGAGGTCTTTTCTGACAGAATTTGCTTTGCTGATATCTTCATGGACCAAGGGGAACCACAATAGATCAATTGTCTCCGTGTTCTTACAAACTTTTTACCAAGTACCATATGTGGATAACGATCTCGAGTTTGATTCCCTCGGAAGGATGCTCGGAACCTGGTAACGTACCGAGGAGCTTCTAAAGTCTCGGAAAGGTCTACCAGAGTCTACGAAAGAGATTGAAAATAAAAGTCAATTGCAATTTCATTGTATTTTATTTAGAATGTTCGTCGTAAAAAAGTCCTGCTGCTCGATTGGAGGCGAGCACCAGGGTGGAGTAGACGCAGCCCTGCTAAAAGCTGTTTGGTTTTGTTCTCCCACGAACGAACGATAAAAATCACCCATGAAGCGTCCAGTGCCATCAGGAGGCACCACGCGGGTTATGTGGGGTTCGAAGCATCTGTTATGCTGCTAGATTGTACTGTTATATCAAAGGTCTCGGAGAGACTCGATCCTCACATTACAGGATCGAGACACTGCTCCGAGTGTTTGTGATGGTTGAAGGAAGAAGAGGAAAAGTGAAAAGAAGAAAATTGAGAAAATAGTGCCCACACTATCACGTGACTACATACCCGCTTGCTAGTCCTGCCAGGTCACGTGCCGGTCCCTATTTGGGGGAAAATTTCGGGCGAATCTCCGTTTCTCTTTTTCTTTTTTCTCTTTACACTTTTTACCTCGAACGCATAATCAACCTCCAATTCTCATGCCATAGGATGGCAGGTCATATTGGCGTACCAGATGAACTTGAGTGCTTGTGACTCCTCGACGGCATTGGGGAGCTCTCTTTTGAGCTCTCTGCTTGCGGTGGTGGATGCGAGTCATCTGATGCTCGAACATTTCATTTCAACGTACATATGTGGTTGATTTGAAGCTCTGTATATCTGTAGATCAATGGCTCTATACCTGTTATAGAGACCGCTTTAGAGAAGATACTGCAGAAGATGGAAATAGTGTCCTGATAGGTGCTATTGTCAATTCCTATCTGATCAGGGGCTTGAGCATCGCTGGTGACAAGATGGTTCTTCTAGAAACACCCTAGAAAAGGAACCAGCCTAGCCAAGTCTTGTGAGCCAAGTGTTAGCAAAACGACCGTTTGTGGAGCTGGAAATAGTATCCTAAGGGGGTTATGCAATGGCCACGCGTAAGATCAGAGAGCCAAATTTCCGATTTCATAGAATTAGGCCCAAAGTCTAGAAGACCTCATTCTGGGGAATCGGGGAGATGGAAGTTTGGTAAACTATTTGGGTGCCCCTCGCAGATTCTCCGGTCCTCGTCGGTCTCGGTCTGGTTCTGGTCCCTGGTTCTCTTCTCCGCCTTAAACTCCGTAGACTTCTTTCTCCCTCTCCCCTTACCCCCCCTATTATTTCCATTCGCTCCGCAATCTTTGCATTGTGTCCATTCCTTTCACCTCTTTCATCATGCCCAGTGGCATTAGCAAGCGCCAGCAGCAGCGCAATGAGAAAGCCCTCGCCGACCTGATCCGGACGGTTCCCGGTAATGACCGCTGTGCCGATTGCGATGCCTTGACCCCAGGTTTGTTTCCCCTCTTGACCATTGACCCTCGTCGTTTGTGGGATGTCCGTTCTAATTTATACCTCAATCAATCATAGGATGGGCAAGCTGGAACGTATGCGACCCTCTCTTATTTCTACATATCCTACACCCCGATGCCTTGAACTGATCTCCGAATAGATGGGTATCTTCCTGTGTATGCGGTGCGCCGCAATCCACCGCAAGCTGGGAACACATATCTCCAAGGTCAAGTCTCTATCAATGGACACTTGGTCGTCGGAACAGGTGGATGTAAGTGAATTTGCCTCGATATTGAAGTGAAACTCGGAAACTGACTGGTCCGACTTGGTGATCTAGAACATGAAATCGCACGGCAATCTGCTCATGAACAAGATTTTCAACCCCAAAAATATCAAGCCCCCCGTCCCTACCGATATCGACGAGGCCGATTCGTGCATGGAACGATTTATCCGGCAGAAATATCAGTACCGATCGTTGGAAGATGGAAAGCCCAAGCCCCCGAGTCGCGAAGACGAGAGCTATACCAGAAGTCACGACAGGAGGGAGGAAAGGAGGGAACGACAGAGGAGCTACGACGATTCTCATCGCAACGATATCTCCCCCGAGGGCTCGCCGCCACCGTTGCCCCCAAAGTCCGGCAAGTTCTTTGGATTCGGCCTTCGATCAGCTTCCTCGACCTCGAACCTGCGCCGATTTGGAAACAAGTCCAAGGGATCAATGTCGCCCACCTCTGATCAGCGATCCTGGTCCCCACCGCCTCGCCAGACGAGCGGTCTTGGTGCGCCGGTTGCCGATGTGACAACTGCCTCATTCGAGGCGAAGATGGCCGCGCTGCGGGATATGGGCTTCGACAATGACCGGCGAAACGAGATGGTTCTTCGCGGATTGAATGAGAATCTGGACAAGTCAATTGAGACATTGGTACGACTGGGAGAAGGGAATAAGCAGGCGTCAAGGGCCAAAACTCCCGTTCCAACCAACAACACGGCGACGTCTGCCGGTGCTTTGGTAGCGCCCAAGCCAGCCGCATCGCCAAATCCATTCGACATGCCTACTGCGACGACCGGCAACCAGGTATCACAGCAGCCTCATTCTACGTCTTACAATCCGTTCGACCGACCGGCCCAGATACAGACACCACAACCGGCGCAGCCTCTGGAAGCGTCGTTCCAAAACCTCCAGGTGTCCCAGCCGCTCTTCCCGCACTCGACCGGTGGATATCCAGCTCAAACGGGCTTGATGCCCCAGGCAACTTATCAGCAGCCAATTACTCCCCCAGTCACCTCTACCTTCTCCCAGAACGGTTATGTCTCGTCACCCCAGGCCATGGATAGCAACTACAATCCTTTCTTCCAACCAGTAGCCCAGCCGCAGGGCGGTATGGGCGCCCAATCCTTCCCCAACCCCAGTGCGCCGCAGAGCAATCCTTTCTTCAACACTACGCCGCAAACGCAAAACCAAAACCCTTATCTGCAACCACAGGCTCAGCAGAATGGGGCGTCGGTGCAATCAATGACCGTCCCTCGACAGCCACAGCATGCAAACACCATGCCAGCAATTTCTTCAGCTTCCCCCTTCGGAACCTCTCCTTTCGGCACATCTCCCTTGGGCCAGGCGCCTTCTTTCCAAACCCAGCCGCAACAGCAGCAGCAGCAGCTACAGCAACCCCAGCAATTCCAGCCTCAGGCCCAGGCCACTGCTGCAGGATCTTACAATCCTTTCCAGCAGTCCATGGGACCGCAGAGTACTGGAGCTTACCCCAATCAACTACAGCCTCAGCAACCACAGCAGCTGATGCCTCAGCATACAGCCCGCATGGATAAAAGCAGCATTCTCTCGTTGTACAGTCTCAACCAGGCACCTCCTACTATCCCTTCCATCCCCGAACAATCCCAATATCAGTTCCAGCCTGGCGCAGGAACCAGCCCCGTCCCTCCCCTCACACACTCTCTCATTTCCACGCCCATGACCCAACCTGGCTCCACTATCCAGACTCCGCAACCCAGCGCGAACGGTCCCGCCATGGCATCCCGTAATCCCTTCGGCGCCGCAACCGTCGGCTCGGGTCTGGCAGCACAAGCAGGCGTCTCGGCGTTTCCCCCTTCTTCAGGACTGGGCATTGGAATGGGTACCAACGGGATCGCAGTTCCCGCCCAAGCAAATGGCATGAAAACCTCGCCCTTCTCCGGTCCGCCACCGGTCAACACGGCTTTCCCGAGAAGTCACATGAGCCAGCCGAGCGTGGACATCAACGGCCTGCAGAGCGGGCGTCACAGCCCCGATGCATTCGCCAGTTTGAGCGCGCGCTACGGTTAATCATGTGCTCTGAGGTTACTCTTTGTTTTCAAAAGTCGATATGCAGCTGGATGTTGATAATGGATTGATTCTTCCTAATGACATGGATAATAGATGGATCGACGAGATGTGTATATGTGCATTGCAGGGTGCATCTTTGAGATTTTGTCTGGTCTGACTCGCTCTTTTGTGTTTTGTGTCTGTTGCCTACTATTTTTTTTTTGTTTTGAGGGGGCTTCATTCTTTTCTGTTCGTGGATTCTTCTTTTGTACAAGATTGTTTCTTTCGTTTTGTCCCGTTAGCGGATCAATGGTACATATTTTCTTTTTTTCAGATTTCAGTCTAAAGATATCGACCGTGTTCAATAAACATGTAATTTGTCTGATGGAATCCCTTTCGCGATATCTCAATTGGGAGAAAACTAGGTAGCATTTCAATGCCTCTTGGCGGAATCTTCGAGGTATCAGTATAGCTGAACTGCAAAAAGCACACTATATACACATTACTCTTCCCCTTCTCGATATGCGTGACATTAGACATCCTCAATATCAGCAATGAACTCGCTAAAACAGCAAGAGTCAATAAATATTCAAGACCACATATCCCGATCATCCTCGCTGTTATAATTCGATAAACAACCCAACCACTTAGGCAACGAGAAAGGAACCCAGTCCCAAATACTAGGTGACGGAGCCCAGAATCTCTCCCAAAGCGAACGGGACCGTCGACTCCACGGCCAACCACTCGCAGGCCGTGGCTTAAAAACAGACTGTATCGATTCCCGCCACGAAGGGCGAGGTGAGAAATACGACTGCACGGACCGGCTCCATGAGGTAAACGTTGAAAGTCGAGAGCGGGAACGCGAGGACCAAGGGGAGGTGAAAGAGAAAGAAAATGAAGATCGAGATGGAATTAGAGCTTTCCATCCTTTCTTCTGTTGACGACGTGCGTCTTTTTGGAAGACCTCAACTATTCGCTCGAATTGTCGGTCGCGGTGTTCTTGCGCGCGTTGATGTTTTTCCGCGCGCCATGCGTCTTGTTCGGACGGATCGAGACACCAGACCACCACGTCGCCGCGTCGGCGCCAGTCATCGTGCCATGCGGTGTTGTAGGTGCGCCAGCACTCTGCGTACGAGGATGCGCGGAGGAGGGTGTGCATTGTGGGTTCTAGTTGCTCGAAGAATATTAAGTAGTCGGGCCAGTCGTGTGTCCATGTCGTCTTGCCTGGCTCGGGGGCGGACCGGAGGCCGGAGACGTAGCTTGGTCGGGAGGGGAGGTAGCGTAGACCTCCCTTCATGTTGTCGCGGAGGAATTGGGATGGATCGTCGTAGAATTGGTCCGCTTCGTCGCGATAGACGGCCTTTTCGGCCGCAGTACGATCGATTGGGGGTTCGCATGAGAGTGCCCATGCATCAATTGTGGGATATACTAGATGAGAGCGCCACGGGGTGCTGTGGCAGGGCATCAAGAATCCAGCTGTGATTCCCGGCGCATGCTGCGAGTCCAAAGACTCGGGAGATGAACTGTGGAATTCATGTTGATGGCGCAGATATGTGAGGACATTCACCACTCCGGATGCGTGGTAAAGAGTCGTATAGAGACCAATCACGAGGTTGGCCACCACGAGGAAAATAAGGACCAGCCTTTGCGGGGTATAGGCACTCGATGACCGCGAGTATACCGCGGGATAGAAGAATTGCACAAGCGGTGGCGCAGCCAGGATGTGCAGCGATGGTAGCAACGGGTAAATGAAGCGCACCTCTTTATGCGAAATCAGAGACAGCACGAATGGCATGATCAGACATACAATCGCTAATTGCACTCGGATCTCTGTCTGCAATCTATCGGCGACAGAAGAAGCTCGGGTCCGTAAGGTGCGGTAGAGACCGACAAGCGCAAAGGGCAGCAATGTTGTAAGCAGGAGTGGATAGCCCTGCGATGCATAGTAGTGCCAATCATTGCGGCCGTAGAAGACCGCCAGAGATTGCGCAATGTTGAAGTATAGGAAGCGAAGCGGAGGAAACGTCCAGAATCCGTAGAATAGACGATCTGCGACGGCCGACACTGCGAGGACGGCTAGTCTAGAGAACGTTGAATATCAGCCAATCGCACAAGGTGAGAAAATCCAAGAATCCAACTTACCCGCAGAAGAGAACCTCCCGAATAAGGACTTTGCGCTGGCTCCAGCTGGTGCGAAGCCAAGCGACGGCCGCTAGCGTTGCCCAGATCAGGATGTTAGTCGGGCGGAGAATACAGGCGAGGGCTGCCAGGCACAGGCATTGTCGAAGACTATGCGCGATGCGCGTCAGCGGTTGCATGAGTAGCGTCTGGTGAATCCAGCCATACCTGGTTAGGAGGACCTTTTGACCCTCGGCCGAACTCTTCTTGCGTCCAGCATTATTCTCGCGAGTACTTTCGGTCGAGGTGCCTGCTGACCACTGCCATGGCCAGGAGTCTAGCGCGACAATTGTCACCGTGGTCTCAACGCAATTTGACAAGGTCCTCGTTGAGCAGAACCACTGCCAAGGATTGAGAACCGTGACAATCAACTGTTACACCATCAGCCAATGTGTCCCACCGCGCGCAAATCTCTTGTCGAGTAATATCTCGCGCAGCCACATACCGTTGTCCATGCGCCACGAGAATCAGTCCCGTAGACGCGAGTAGCTAGTTTCCAGGTATAAAAGTCACCGACCGCCGCGATCACGGCCTGCGCGGTCTTCGGCCCGGCAATCAGGAGTTCCGCGCGCGTCGCAGCGGAGAGGCGGAGGGTTGTTGCGAGAAAGGAGACTGTTTTGTAGATGGCGGCGAAGAATAGAGGGTGTAAGGAGGATCGGAGTTGGTGGTGCCATTCCTATTGAAGACCATAAGCGCGATTAGCGATCAAATTCGCGATTGTCGTTCGCGACTGCGATGTCAACTTACCCAGGTCACCCAAGCACCCTGGCCTTTGCCAAACGCGATCTGCCATGCAGGCTCCAATGACTGAAAGAATTCATCGGGTTGAAAGAAAGTGCGGACGACGAGCGCATTGAGTAGTCGGAATGCGACGAGAAAGAGGAAGATGTTTGTCGTCGGGGAGGTGGGTTGCGACGCGACCCGACGCGGGGAAGCCATGGAGGAGGAGATGGGGATGGTCGAGGCGAATGGGCAGCACCAGCGAAACCAATTCGGAAAGGTAATCGCAGTGCTATCACTGGCCTGAGCTTAGATCGCCCTGAGGTGGATGCCGCGGGGCGTGGAGCATGACATCAATGGAAGTTTGAACTAGGAGCAGGGGAGGAGTGTGACACGAGGGACGAAAAGGACGAATAAAACAGCACCTTTTGGCATCCGTCAGCCGGGCCGGTGTATACAGAGTCGCGATTGGAGACTTGAGGAATGTCCTGGAGACGGGGGAAGCAAAAACTTGACGAAACTCGTGTAATCCTGCGTATAGGGGACAGTGGATGTCAAGGGAATTGGAGGCTCGCGACAACCTGCACTTAGGAGAAATCACTTGCACTTAGCGGCATAGCGGCGGATCTATACGCCACGCCCGCTTCCACGGGTTGACTCCCTACATAATCCTTTGCTACGATCTCTTTTCTTTTCTTTTTTTTCCTTCTTCATTCTTCATTTTCTTCTTCTTAAGATTCTCCCAATCTCTGATCAATTGCTGTGTAGCCCTCTCCTTTTTACCTTGCCTTTACACCTTTATTTTATACCCCCAACCTTATCTTTCCCCCTCTCTCTACTTCTCCAACTTTCAAAGTTCCCCGCAATTCATCATCATGGCTACCAACGGGACCAACGGTTCTCTTGCCCATTACCACGCTGCCTCGACTGAGGAGGCAATTCAGGCAGAGCACAACTATGCCGCTCACAACTATCACCCTTTGCCCGTGGTCTTTGCCCGAGCTCAGGGTACCTCCGTCTGGGATCCCGAGGGACGTCACTATCTCGACTTCCTCTCTGCCTACTCTGCCGTGAATCAGGGTCACTGCCACCCCAAGTTGGTCGCCGCTTTGGTGGACCAGGCCTCGCGCGTGACTCTGAGCTCTCGTGCATTCTACAATGACGTCTTCCCCCGCTTCGCCGAGATCGTTACCCGCTACTTCGGCTTCGACATGGTCCTGCCCATGAACACGGGTGCCGAGGCGGTCGAGACGGGTATCAAGATCGCTCGTAAGTGGGGGTACAAGGTCAAGGGTATCCCTGAGAACAAGGCTGTCGTCCTCAGCGCTGAGAACAACTTCCACGGTCGTACTGTAAGTGGCTCCTTGATCCCCTGTCCCTCTTGGTTGGGTGTACACACCCAGATGTACTTGCCGTAAAAGGAAGCTGGTGGCTGATTCTGACCGCCCCTTGCATTAGTTCGCCGCCATCTCCCTGTCCTCCGATCCGGAGTCTCGCGAGAACTACGGCCCCTACCTCCCCGGTATCGGGTGCACCATCCCCGGCACCGAGAAGCCCATCACCTACAATGACAAGGCTGCCCTGCGCGCGGCCTTTGAGGCGGCCGGCCCCAACCTGGCCGCCTTCCTGGTCGAGCCCATCCAGGGTGAGGCCGGTATCGTCGTCCCCGACGAGGATTACCTGCAGGAGGCTCGCGCTTTGTGTGACAAGCACAATGTACTCCTGATCTGTGACGAGATCCAGACCGGTATCGCCCGCACGGGCAAGCTGCTGTGTCACGAGTGGAGCGGAATCAAGCCCGACCTGGTCCTGCTGGGCAAGGCCATCTCGGGTGGTATGTACCCCGTCTCGTGCGTGCTCGGTCGCAAGGACGTCATGCTCACGATTGAGCCCGGCACCCACGGTTCGACCTACGGCGGTAACCCCCTGGGCTGTGCCGTCGCCATCCGTGCTTTGGAGGTTGTCCAGGAGGAGCAGATGGTTGAGCGTGCTGAGAAGCTCGGCCACATCTTCCGCAAGGGCTTGGAGGATCTGAAGAGCCCTCTGATCGAGACCGTTCGCGGAAAGGGTCTGCTCAATGCCATTGTCATTGACGAGTCCAAGACCAACGGACACACTGCTTGGGATCTGTGCATGTTGATGAAGTCCAAGGGTTTGCTGGTACGTAGCTTACACTTTCTCTCTTCCGTTTAAGCTTCGCTGTGGAGACAAGCTAACTGAGAATCTCCGATAGGCCAAGCCTACTCACCAGAACATCATCCGCCTGGCTCCACCCTTGGTCATCACCGAGGAGGAGATCCAGAAGGCTCTGGCCATCATCAACGAGGCCGTGAATGAGCTTCCCACTCTCAAGGGCAAGGCCGAGGCTAAGGTGATCCCCTCGCAGGAGAAGGATGTCAAGATTGGCATCGAGAACTAGATCCACTTTGGGGGATCCCGTACTGGGCGACTAGTCCACCTAAAGGGCCTTGACCCACGATCTTCCGGGAGCAACGCATGCTATATTGCCTCCACCAGGGAAAAGAGCAAAATGCGCGAGCTTATCCCACGCCCGAGGCACGCCCGTGTCCGGTAGAGTGAACTATAGATGTATTTTCCGGCTGGCATGGCTGCCACTACGACTTGACGATGGAACGGATCAACAAAGAAGAACCGGCATTGCTTCCAGATTGAATATGTATACCATAGCTAGCTGCAGCTCCAAGCTGACATAGACCATGAATTGACTTGCCCCGTATTGGCGATCACAATGTGCAGTACATAGTATGCAAACTAATCTTTACAAGTCTATACGTATGCATACAAGATCGTGACTCTATTCAATTGTCCGAATGAATCTGCCATTCTGGGCGTTAGCTCCGCTCCGAGGGGGGCGGAGATACGTCTCCGCCGAGGATCTTTGTACTCTGTACGTACCCTGTACCGTCCAATGTTCCGTCCCGATATAAGAGCTGTAGTATTTCCAGGGCCAATGATTCGCCAAGGATCAGTAATCATCTGTCTGCCACCGATAAGAGCCCCACCTCGGGTTAGTGGGGGACGGGGAATTCGGGGAATGTGATGGGATGATGGATGATGGGACGAGGCTCAAGCACTCTGGGATGGAGATGCCCGATTACTAATCCCCTTTCTGTGGTCCAGGACGGCGGAATCGGGCCTTATGAATGCCGACGGCCGATGCTCTTTCGATAAGGCGGATTGGCTGGAGACTCTAAGCGAACGCGAGAGCGAATGCGTATTCGCTGCGACTGCCGATAGGAGAGCTTTTATTGTTTGGTGATCCGTGGATGACGCTGGCGACCGGGGCTCCGGTTGTTAAATTTCTAGTTTTCTCCGATGTGGGGAGTTGGTAGCTGGAAGCTTAGCTGGGAAATTACATACTTTAGCACCGATACACCGTTGTCTTCAATGTACATAATCCCCGAGTTCCGTCAGAATTGCCGTGACGGGCAAAAATACATGGAGTTGGATCCGCTAGGAGGAGAAAAGGAGCAAACGAATACCACAGATGATGAGTCTTTGTATCAATGAAGAATCTTAGTCTAACTATCCTATGAAACAGTTCATGACTCACATTTTCTATCCTATTATATACACTCATTCCATCCTGAGTAAAATCCAAGCTTCAAGGCTCAAACATTCAATTTCCGTTTTCAGTCCCGCTCCATCGCCCCACATCTCGCATTCGCATGGCTTGTTCGGTGATGGCTTAAGTCCCTTATTTCCATTCGATTCATAATTACAACGAGCCCGGTTTTTTTTCTCCTCTGTTTTCTTTTCTGTCCTTCTGCCAGTTCGGTCTTTTGATCATCCCCCCATCTGCGACCGTTCTGCGCTTTCAGTCGCCATGTCTGCGCCCGATCCACAGCCGCAGGCAGTTGTCGTGGGCGACGAAAAGCTCCAGGCGGCCGATAGTTCTAGATCGGCGTCTGGAGATGAAGCCAAGGCCCCCGATGTGGTTCTGCAGCCCCCCACGCCCAAGAAGAAATGGCATCAACGCTTGAATCCCTTACGTTGGCAGACCCCGCCGCCTGTACCGGAGGAGCGCACGCATTCGAGGGAGTATGGGGCTTCGTTTTTGAGTGTTGTTACCTTTCAATGGATGTCGCCTTTGATGAGGGTATGTTATCTCTAATCCCTGCTTGTACGGATAGCCGAGGTGTATCGGCAAAAGAAAGAGGGGAGAATATCAAGATACTAATTCGAAATGCTATGCAGGTCGGATATTTGCGACCACTCGATTTGCAGGACATCTGGACGGTTAATCCCAACCGTACCGTCGACGTATTATCAGATCGCCTAGACACTGCGTTGGAAGATCGCATCGCGCGCGGAACTAAGCGCGCCCTCGTCTGGGCTTTATACGACACCTTTCGCTTTGAATTTATTCTCGGTGCTGTCTGCCAGTTTTTCAGTTCGCTGTTGCTGGTGTTTGCGCCTTACTTGACCCGGTACTTGATCGCGTATGCGACGGAGGCTTATGCCGCTCAGCATAGCGGTCGCCCGGAACCGCATATCGGGCGTGGTATGGGTTTCGTCGTGGGTATTACCTGCATGCAGGCCTTGCAGAGTCTATGTACGAATCAGTTCCTTTATCGGGGTCAGATGGTTGGTGGGCAGATCCGTGCTGTCCTGATTTCTCAGGTTTTCAATAAGGCTATGAAGTTGTCTGGTCGTGCCAAGGCCGGTGGACAGGCGACGGCGGAGGAAGTTAAAGCTTTGGAGGCTACCAAGGAAGCTTTGATGAAGCAGGATGGCAAGGGGAAGAGTCAGGACCCTAAGGCTGCTGCGGCGGCGACTTCTCCCGCCGGTGTTGCTGGTGATGGTCGCGGATGGAATAATGGCCGCATCATCGCTTTGATGAGTATCGACGTGGATCGCATCAATCTGGCAATGGGCATGTTCCACATGATCTGGTCTGCTCCGATCACCATCATCGTGACTCTGGTTCTGCTGATTGTCAACATTGGCTACAGCTGTCTCTCCGGCTACGCTCTGTTGGTTTTCGGTATGCCATTCTTGACCTACGCCGTGCGATTCCTGATCAAGAGACGACGAAACATCAACAAGATCACCGATCAGCGAGTCTCTCTTACTCAGGAGATTCTGCAGGCCGTTCGATTTGTCAAATTCTTCGGTTGGGAGAGTAGTTTCCTCAATCGTTTGAAGGAGATCCGGAAACGGGAGATTCGCTCTATTCAGACGCTTCTGGCTGTTCGAAATGGTATTCTCTGTGTGTCCATGTCGATTCCAATTTTCGCTTCGATGCTTGCTTTCATCACCTACGCTTTGTCAAAGCATGAGTTGAACCCGGCTCCGATTTTCTCATCGCTCGCTCTGTTCAACTCGCTGCGGATGCCGCTGAATATGATGCCACTCGTCATCGGACAAGTCACGGATGCATGGACTGCTCTCAACCGGATTCAGGAGTTCTTGTTGGCTGAAGAGCAGAAGGAAGACATTGAAAAGGATGAGACCATGTCGGATGCCATCGAAATCGAAAACGCATCTTTCACCTGGGAGCGTTTACCCACTGACGAGAAGGAGGGGAGTAAAGACCAGAAGAAACCCGCGAAAGGCCCTGAATCTACTGCCCTGACTTCCCCCGACGAAAAGGAAAACGCAGATTCGGTTCCCCTGGAGCCGTTCAAGCTCAAGAATGTCACCCTAGAGGTCGGACGAAACGAGCTGCTCGCGGTCATCGGAACCGTTGGCTGTGGCAAGAGTTCTCTGCTTTCTGCACTGGCTGGCGATATGCGCGTGACTGATGGCAAGGTTCGCATGAGTACGACACGATCATTCTGCCCACAGTACGCCTGGATCCAAAACGCCACCGTGCGCAACAACATTCTGTTTGGAAAGGAGTACGATGAGTCCTGGTACGAAAAAGTCATCGATGCCTGTGCTCTGGCTCCAGATTTGGAGATTCTTCCTAATGGCGACTCGACTGAAATTGGAGAGCGTGGTATTACTGTATCTGGTGGTCAGAAGCAACGTTTGAATATCGCTCGTGCTATTTATTTCAATGCAGAGCTCGTGCTTATGGACGATCCTTTGTCGGCTGTGGACGCTCACGTTGGACGTCATATCATGGACAAGGCGATTTGCGGTCTTCTCAAGGATCGCTGCAGAATTCTGGCAACTCATCAGCTCCATGTTCTCAGCCGTTGTGATAGAATTGTTGTTATGGAAGAGGGTCGCATCCACGCTGTCGATACCTTCGACAACCTGATGCGTGATAATGAGCTTTTTAAGCGACTCATGTCTACTTCTGGACAGGAAGACTCGAAGGAGGAGGAGGAGGAGGCTGAGGCTGCAGATGAGGTTGCCGACGCATCTAACGAGAAGGCCGCAACCAAAAAGGTTGCACCAGGTAAGCCTGCTGCTGCTCTGATGCAGCAGGAAGAAAAGGCGACTGCATCTGTTGGATGGAGTGTGTGGAAGGCATACATCCGTGCATCGGGCAGCTACTTCAACGCTGTGATGGTATTCATTCTTCTCGGTCTTGCGAACGTCGCCAACATCTGGACAAGTCTGTGGCTTTCATACTGGACATCTGACAAGTACCCGAGTCTATCGACCGGCCAGTACATTGGTGTTTATGCCGGGCTTGGTGGCATGGTTGTCTTGTTGATGTTCGTTTTCTCGACTTATATGACGACTTGTGGAACCAATGCTAGTCGCACTATGCTTCAGCGTGCGATGACCCGTGTCCTGCGTGCGCCAATGTCATTCTTCGACACAACACCTCTAGGCCGAATCACCAATCGCTTCTCAAAGGATATTCAGGTCATGGATAATGAACTCTCTGACGCGATGCGTATTTACGCTTTGACAATGACTATGATCATCTCGGTTATGGTATTGATTATTGTCTTTTTCTACTACGTGAGTGATGCATCTTTTCGATTCCCTTTTCCTCATTACTGACTATCTCCAGTTTGTCATCGCTCTTGTTCCATTGTTCATCCTCTTCCTGCTTGCGTCAAACTACTACCGCGCCTCTGCACGAGAGATGAAGCGCCACGAAGCAGTCCTGCGATCAATCGTCTACGCGAAATTCGGTGAAGCCATCACCGGTACAGCCTGCATTCGCGCGTACGGTGTCGAGAACCAATTCCGCAAGAGCATTCGAAATTCCATCGATACCATGAACGGCGCCTATTTCCTTACCTTCTCTAATCAACGCTGGCTCAGTGTGCGTCTCGATGCCGTAGCTACGGCACTCGTGTTCGTGACTGGTGTTCTGGTCGTTACCTCTCGATTTAATGTCTCCCCCAGTATCTCCGGGTTGGTTCTGTCTTATATTCTTGCCATCGCGCAGATGCTGCAATTCACTGTTCGCCAACTTGCCGAGGTCGAGAATAACATGAACGCCACGGAGCGTGTGCATTATTATGGAACCGAACTTGAGGAGGAGGCGCCTCTGCACAGGGTCGAGGTGGATGCTAGCTGGCCTGAGAAGGGTCATATTGTCTTTGATAACACGCAGATGCGGTATCGCGATGGCCTTCCTCTCGTCCTGAAGGGCCTGACCATGGACGTCCAAGGAGGCGAGCGCATTGGTATCGTTGGACGGACGGGTGCCGGAAAATCCAGTATCATGTCTGCGCTGTTCCGTCTCACCGAACTCTCCGGTGGTTCTATCCATATCGACGGTATCGACATTTCCACTGTCGGTCTGCATGACCTGCGATCTCGATTGGCAATTATCCCGCAAGATCCCGCTCTCTTCAAGGGCACTATTCGCTCGAACCTTGACCCCTTCAACGAGCACACCGATCTAGAGTTATGGACTGCCCTGCGCAAGGCATACCTGATTGGTGATGAAACAACCGGCCCCGAGACCGAAGCCATCCTGAGCATCCCCGGCACTGGCACCACGACCCCCCCTCACCGGCAGCGATTCCAAGCCCCGCCCCACAAATCGCCTGACACTGGAATCCGCCGTCGACGAAGAAGGTCTGAACTTCTCCCTCGGTCAGCGCCAGCTCATGGCCCTTGCCCGCGCACTCGTGCGTGATGCTCGTATCATCGTCTGCGACGAAGCAACCTCATCCGTTGACTTTGAGACCGATCAGAAGATCCAGCATACGATGGCGCAGGGCTTCGAAGGAAAGACTCTGCTGTGTATTGCGCACCGGCTGCGCACGATCATTCACTACGATCGCATTTGCGTAATGGATCAGGGTAGCATTGCGGAGATGGACTCTCCACTTGCGCTTTGGGATCGGGAAGATGGTATCTTCCGCGCTATGTGTGACCGCAGTGGTATCACCAGAGAGGATATCCTGGGGTCGGATTGAAAAGATGGAATCACCCAAAAAGTATATACATGAAGTAATATGGCGTAATTATGCATAATCTGAACATATAATTATATCACAAAGGCGAGCCTGAATTAAATCTCCACGTATGAAGCACACGAAGGAATCAAACTTGAAGATTCCACAGTCTCAAAGCCCCATCAGCATCTGGAACAACGAGAATCTTGGAATCGGCCGAGCAGACCGTTTCCTCGCGCGGACATGAAGTAACTATATCTTCTGGACCCCGAGTAAACTGCTGCTTGAGATTAGACTCAAAGTCATACACCTCCACCGTTCCCTCGAGTATCCGAAACAGCAACTTCCGTCCCCCATCTATAAAATGCACTCCACTAATCGTCGCAAAGCTCTGACTCAAATAACCCTCTAAGCCCAGACACCACATTCCCTTTCTGACACCCGTACGCGGACCCCAGAGGAACAGCCCGCCATTCTCAAGGGCGCCAGCAAGCAAGCTTCCATCTGGCCTCCACGCCATACCCTGACTGACAGCGAGAAGCGTTCAGGCGAGAAGATGCCGCACCAGAGTTGGCCACCCAGAGGTCCAATAATGCGAAGACACTCTCCAGAGTAGGTATCCCAGATCCGTGCGGTGCCATCCCAGGATATCGATGCTGTGAAAAGACTATTTGGGCTGATACCGATCCACATGACTGCATTGGTATGTCCATGAAGCTGGTGGCGGACGGATCTGCTGCGTATATCCCAGATTGTAACACAAGGTGAGTATTCAGCGCGACGGCTGGGGAAGTGAACTAAGACATTGGGCACGACATATAACATGCTTTTTCCGTCGGGGCTAAACACGGACTACCAAATGAGCCTAATTCACCTGCGAAGCGGAGAGAAATAGTTTGTTCTGGGATAAGATCTATATCGTTGGATTGCACTTGCTTCCCAGTACCATCCAACTCCCAGAGAATGATAAATCCATTCGCCCCTCCTTCCTGCTCGCTTTGGGATGCTAATAAATAGTGTGGACTATTCGTATCCGATCCACAATGGTAGCATGGGGCGAACATCACAGTCACCACTTGACCGGGATGTCCGCGCAAAACTTCAATCTGAGCATGTGTTGCAAGATCGAAGACATGGATTTCATCTCTGACTCCAACCGCGAGCAATTTATCGTCGTGGCTTAGCGAAGGTGTCTTGCATCGCCATTGAGGTTTATTTTGGCCTCGCCCCAGTGCTTGGGATGACCGGAAGTCCAGGTCGCTGGTACGCCGGAGTCAGATGTGAAATCAGAGCACAGAGAATATGACCACTGCTGGAGGAGCTTTTTCTCGTCCATTGAATTTTGATCATCTCCAATAGATGAAACATCATCGTCAGATGAGCTGGAATATGTTGGAGCGGAGGTCGTTTTAGCGGTTGCTATGGTTGTCACAGGGCAGAGGCAAAAGAACATCAATACAGTTTCTTGATGGTCAGAGGCTGATTTCGAAATTATATGCTAATTTTTGTGGCTAAGTATGATGATTCTAACTCACAATATCCTGGCTCAATGTCAAAATGCCCCTCCTCCCTTTGTGGATAAGCATCTAGACTACACGTAGTGCCTTTTCTCCGGTTGCTAGACTCGGTGTATAGATTCCCACAGAATGACGCGTCACCCCACTAGACCCCTACGACGAGTTTTTAAACACTTTGTACACCAGAGTGATAGGCTTTTGGGTTAAAAGGCTTGCTCATTTCTGAGAAATGTTCCGTAATATCCCGGTGCTCACGACATAAAACCTGCTCCAAGTTGTCCATGCCTCAGCCCCCTCTAGATCAATTTGATGCCTGTCTTCGAACGTACACTCTATAATTTGTGAGGATATTGCCTTTTACTGAGATTAAATGGATTCAGTGGAGACAACATCATATTCGATCGTATGGCCCTATTGCGCATCGAGAATTTTTGGTGTCACCGTCCGTTTCTAGGGACTGTCCAGGTATCAAGGTGTACCTTTTTTCGTCACATAGATTACATTTCTTATTTTCATAACTCATATTTTTTTCAAACTCCGCCCTAGTCTATACAAAGAATCCTTGGCTACTCCTTATCCAATTCGCAAACCAACTCCATCCCCAAATTCCTCATCATCCCCTCCACTCCAGACTCTCTCCACCCTTCCACATCCCTCTTATCCAACTCAACCTCAACTTCCTCCTCCGACGCCGCACCTACAGGCAAACCCGTAAATCTCACAGCCAAACCAGGCGCCGTTCCAACAACCCTCATCCTCAAACCCGTCAACACTCCCCGTAATTGATCTGCCGCCTTCCCACCACCCCTTGAACCATACGATACAATCCCCGCCGGCTTCCCCTTCCACTCGTAAAACAGATAGTCGAGCGCATTCTTCAGACTTGCAGGGATACTCCAGTTATACTGCGGCGTAACGAAGATGAATGCGTCATATTCACGGACGACGGCGGACCAGGCGCGCGTGTGTGGTTTTGTGTAGTGGGGTGTTGGGTTGTCCGCGGGGAGACTGGCAGGGATGACGGATTCGTCGTAAAGGGGGAGGGATTGTTTGGCGAGGTCGAGTATTGTGAATGTGATGTGGCGTGGGTCGGTGTCGATGGTATCGGCGGAAGTTGGGGAGGGTTTACGGGTTGGGAGGGTTGGATCGTTGGTTAAGACGTCATAGACATATTGGGTGATGGTTGGGTTGAGACGTGGGGTGCGCGTACTGCTGGTGACAATAGCAATGTGTTTGGGTGGCATGTTGAATTAGAATAGGAAAATGTAAAGGCTGATTGACACTGGAGAATTTAGATTAGTTCAGGAGGGAGTTATAGCTTGGGAGGTTGGAAGATTTTAAGTTGAGGAGGTCTTCGGATCCGCGAAGCTGCGAGCTCTTGTGGGTCTGGCATTCTGTGGCACGATGGGTCAACGGCCCGAGCATATTCAAATGCCCTCTTCATACAGTAATAATACCGTTTTCTTTCTAATTTTCTCATTGGTACGAAGGAATATTGAACAGAGAAGCTCAAGTCCTTTTATCAAAGTATACATCGACATTTACCAATTCAACCCCATCTGAATCCCGACGAGATAGAGGCTCCTGACTCGAAGATGCCTTGATATTCCTCCCAATTGACAGGTTATTGGAGCTCGTCGGATATTGTAGACTCCGACTTCTGTCGTAAGGTGCTGAAGCATCTTGATGTGAGTCAGGAATGCCGAAACAGGCATAGAGAAGCCGGTTGAACTGGCGGCGGATCGCCGGCATGCTGACACAGATCACTGCTGTGTAGCTTTCAATCAGTGACCAGTATGCAACTGGTACATAATCATCTGTAGTTATACGTCAGAGAAATTACATTTCTCAAGTCTCAGTCTTGAAGAATAGAGAATTTTACGCACAGGTTGCATTGGCTGTATGGGCAAATGTCACTACTGACTTGAGCCGGATGATGCTCACAATGGTGATGCTAGAAATTAAAGGGGTTGTCAGTGGTATATACTAACACCAGCTTGATATCACTCACAAGAATCCCGTGCAAAACATAAGCATAACCAGAATCTTCTTCATGGGTCTAAGATTCAACTTCATAATCTCGTGGAGCGGTAAGGCCATCACAGTCACATCGAGGACGATATTGATCACGGCGCACGCAATGCCGAATTTATTAAAGTCGAGACAGCTGCCTTTCGTCTCACCTGTCCATGAAGTCCAGATATAAGACACGGGCAGACAGTTGAAACAAATTCCGAAGAAGAAGGCAAAGAAATATGCGACCACGATTCCCATGACGATATATATCGCATTCCGGAGTCCGAAGTTTGGAAAAATGTGGAGATAAAGATTGAGCAATGCCAATTTGATAGAGGCAATAGCACCAATATATAGCATCTCCACGACCCAATTGTACTACAAAAATAGTGAGCATTTCCAATAGAGGGGTTGGTGTTGCATAGACGGACTTTCAAGACCAGAGTGATGTTCGAGAATGATATGGTCCAAATGTCCCGTCCGTAACCTGCATCAACCACTTGAATTGATAATTTAGTATTTTGGCACTTTTTGGGGTTCAGAAAGTGTAGACCACTCACTCAGAAACTCCAGGATGCCCATCGCGACACTAAAAAGCTACAACGGTCAATAGAGAAACCGACAGTTGCTTGCAAACAATGCCTTACTAGACCAAGTATCACAAAGACGTCTTCGAAGCCAAAATGTTTCCGAAATTCCAGGCTTCGAATCAAGGTTGCAATAACTGCCAGTCCCCCAAACACAGAATTGGTGACAGTTATAACCTCGGACTTGTTGCGGATTGGGTTATGGCACATGGCACCCGTTGCGTTTGCCGTTGCTAAAATATTCATCAGAAAATTTATCACAACCCACTGGTAGTACACTGGGGGTATCCCACTTAGGCTTTCCTTGATTGTGCAGTTGGTTTGGACACAAGCCGTCAAATTGGTCTGTAGCGCCGCATCTGCGCAAATACAACTGGTGTTTGTTAATGTACAAGTCGAGCCTTCAATTCCACTTTTTAGGCACTGAATCTGAATTTGAGTATCAGTATAATTCTAGCCCAAGGATTAGAAAGATTCTCACTGCGCAGGACGGCATGTCCGATGCTTCAGTGATTGCTGCCAACAGCAGCGTAAAGGGGATTATAATGCCCTTTCTGTAGCATCGCATGCTGGATAAAAGGTGGGATCTAGTACCATCGCCATCAGAAGAGAAAAAGGGATTCTTTCCATGGGCAGTCCGCCCAGAGAATATGAGATTATGTGGCCCAGGTTATTTTCGGATCAAAGATGAAACCCTATTCCGCCAAGGAATCACCTTACGCGTGAGCTACGGACCGTCATCTCAAGTGCGACGCCAGGATCACATAGTGCTCAAACTAGAATAGGGATTAGATTCTTTGGTGTTTCGGCCCCAAATTAGCCTGACCGGGGTGTAACCCCAGTTCTCGACTGATTTCTGAGCCATATATCTTGAATCAATTGTTCGTGAATAGTACAGAGAAGAAACCCTCACATCGCTAATACAATGTGGGATTTCCTAAAATGGTTCTTTTGACCTTAATTGGGGGGAGTTTACCGTCTGCACGGTTGATTTCCATGAGTTCTCCCAAAGCCCAAGACACTAGCCTCACGCTAGTTGGATCGAAGACCGGCTCAGTCGACAGCCTTGCAATGAGAACGAACCAGCTAAATTGGGGCAGAAGAACCATGTAACCCCCGCATCCACACTGCCTCAGGGGGTAGAGACTCGAGTTCCCTCTGGCTGGGTTATGACTCGATCCGCTGCCTGACTGGGGATGGAAATAAATGGTAATTCCGAACAGACATTAGTGGCTAGAACGCTTCACAATATAATTGAATGTAGGTACCACCAATAGAGTACGAAGAATTGCAATTCACTAGCCCCACTTATAAAGGAAACGGGGGGTCAAAACTGGACATGCGTTGACAACTTTCTTTCCTTCCATAGGATATTCTCTACCAACTGCTTCGATTAATCATGGGGCGCTTCGAACTTTTGGACTTGCAGCTCACTTACCATGGCTTGCTGCGGGGTTTCGGCTTTTTGCTTGCTACATATTGGTTTACATGGATTGTTTACGCGAGAGTGTTCCATCCACTTGCAAGATTTCCAGGTCCATTCTGGGCATCTGTGTCACGAGCTTGGATTGTGCGCTCCGTGATTCGCGGCAACCCCCACGAAACCCAAAGGTTGCTGCATGCAAAGTATGGTAAGACACACGCCCTATTTCTGTTTTGGGCTCTATCGATTTCCGTTGAATAGGTCGTATTGTACGAATTGCTCCAAATGAGCTTGCGATAAGCGACCCTGAGGCCATCAAAACTATATACGGAGTGAATTCAGGCTTTACAAAGGTCAGTTACAGGGAAAGGAAATGGCAATGAAGATGCCGGTCGCTAGAGGGAAGTAGGCTGACTCTTCAATAGACCGATTTTTATTTGGCGTTTCGCGCACCATACAGTAAGATCTCTTGATAGGTAAGTATCTCTGACCAGAACTAAACATTTTTCCCTCAACAGCCCGATACCCCGATCATTTCACATCAACAGATGAAAAGGTCCATGCTCAAAGGCGCCGTATAGTGAACGGCGTATATAATATGCAGAGCATCCTTCAGTCAGAGCCGTACGTCAATAAATGCACAGATGTCTTGCTACAGAAATTTGGAGATTTCGCGGACTCCAAAAGTTCGATTGACTTACTCGAGTGGGCGCGGATGTAAGTGACTCATCTCATCATTCTTTTTCATCGATATCTAACAAAAGCAAGGTATGCCTACGATGTTATTGGCGAGCTTTACTTCAGTAAAATGTTTGGCTTGATGAAGGCAAATGGCGACCAGCTTGGTATAATGAAGTCTACTGATACCCTAATTCCTGCCATGGCCATTTCAGCTGTCATGCCATCATACCTCCGATCTTTCTTCATGTTTATTGGGGTGTTGTTTGCCGAGACTCGCAAGGCTCTGTCTGCTTTGGATGGTTTAGCGACCACAGCGGACTCTGCTGTTAAGAGTCATGTCCAAGCGTCGAGTGAACCTGATGACACCACAATCCGACGTACTGATATCATATCTAAAGTATTCAACATCCACAAGGATCAAGGCGAAAAGCTTGACTTTCAGATCGATGATGTAAAGCTTGAGGCCTTTGGAGGATAGTAAGTGCAAATAGTACTCCGAGTTACGAGCCGAGAAACTAAGACTTTGTTAGTTTCGCTGGCAGTGATACAACGGCAATTCACTTGTCCACGACTTTGTATCATATCTTGAGAAATCCAGGCGTCTACGCAGCTCTCAACAGCGAGATCACTCAAGCTACAAGCCGTGGCGAGCTGAGTGTTCCGTATATTTCATACCATGAAGCCAGCAAATTGCCGTATCTAAGCGCTTGTATCAAGGAGGGCGCCCGCTTACATCCAAGCGTAGCGCTTACAATGCCTCGCCAGGTGCCGTCCAAAGGCTGTGATATTTCTGGGCAATGGATCCCCGGTGGAGTCCATGTGGGGATCAACCCGACAGTCGTACAACTCGACAGAACGGTGTTTGGAGACGATGCGGAGGAATATAACCCGGATCGATGGCTGAAGCCGGACGCTGATAAGATGAATAAATACATTCTCCAGGTATGTTGATTCAGACGAAACTCAGAACATGAATTAACCGCTCTGGTAATAGTTCGGAGCTGGATCAAGAATGTGTATGGGAAAGAATGTAAGTGCAAATTACTCTCCGACATGATTCGCTGGCCGAGCTGACTCTCGATTAGATATCATTGTGTGAAATATACAAGGTCATCCCTGAGCTGCTTCGCTCGTACCGGCTTGAGTTATTGAGTCCCGAGAAGAATCTAGAGACCAGCGGTTTCTGGTTCTACAAGCCAGTGCCCATGCACATTCGCGTCTATCGCAAGTAGTAGAGACAAGGTGCTACGGATGTTCGAGACATCCAAATTATCTAGGCAGGCTTTTCTAGAGGCATCTATTCGTGTTTTCATTTTCATGGTGATGTCTTGCAAGTTCAAAGCTGTTTCCAAACACGATTTCAGAATGCCCCTGTTCATATGGATCGCACTTCTTCACATCCTTCAGATACCCAACGACCTGCATATCTAATCGGGAGGGAAGTATCCTTATTAGGCAAAAAGCATAGATAATACTGTATCGACATGCATTGAGTTATGCCATTCGGTGTACAGTGGCCGAAGCTTAGCGACCCAATGCGTAGCTTATGCTCCGCTCGCTGAAGAACGCTAATTCTCCAACCGAAGCTAGTCTCGGAGAACTTGCGGATTTAGGCACAATGCGTTCCAGGGCCAAGACTCTTAATTTGTCGGAGAGCCATGCATCGACTTTATTTTTGACACGTGGGGTAGCCCATCTTAGAGTTATCTCAATCTATCTCGTTTAATAATCTAGAATTCTTTTTCGAGAATTCGTCACTTGCGACGCGATATCTCGAGGGATTTTAGGGAGCACCCATCGCCCAACCACGACACGCAAGAGCGTCCACGTTTTGCAGAGAATAGCTCGGCAAGACGCAAGGCGCAAGTAGTTTGTTCGCAGTCTGCAAGCTAACCACTTTAGCTCAAAATATTCATATTCACAACTTAGTATCCGTGCTTCGTTACCCCCCCCTCCCGGGAATATGGAAGTCCACCAACACCATCCAGGCATGAAATATCTTATAAAAGGACGATGAGATCCTTCAATATCTGACGCTATCCTCGCGAGAAAATAAGAGTCAGATTTGCAAGATGAGGTCTCTTTTCGTTCTTGGTGTCTTCTTCACGGCGTCTGCTCACGCGACGACCACCAGCGGCAAATTTACCGCTCTGAGCTTCAATGTTGCAGGTCTCCCTTCTATTCTGCAGTCTAATGACGTGAATGGATCTAAAACTGAAAACGCTGGAGAGATTGGTACCTACTTTTCTGAATATGGCTACGATATCATTCATATGCAGGAGGTGAATAGTTCTTCATTCGCTTAGAGACCTATGCGTTAACATTATAAATAGGATTTTAACTACCATGCGTACATTTACGCTACCGATGACCATGCCTACCGCACCGCCACTTCCGGGGGTGCGGGTATTGGAAGTGGACTGAACACTGTCTCAAACTACGATTGGGTTGATTTCGCACGTGAGAAATGGGATGACTGCTCTGATGATTCCGGAAGCGATTGTCTTACTCCAAAGGGATTCACCTTCATGCGCTGGAACCCATCCACTGGAGTATACATTGACTTCTACAATGTCCATGCCGATGCTGGGTAAGTCAGAACTCATTCTTCGCGGCAATGAAAACTTCTAACTCCTATTCAAGCACCGAAGATGGAGACGAGACTGCGCGCAATAGCAATTTGCAGCAAGTGGCGGACTACATCGACACCTGGTCTATCGGAAATGCAGTTGTTGTGATGGGCGACACTAACAGTCGTTACACTCGAAGTGAAGATACTGGCGTTCGGGTCTTCAAGTCTCAGAACAGCCTCACTGATGCCTGGGTTCAACTGGAAATGAGCGGTGTCTATCCGACAGCGGGAGCTGATGCCGTCGTGTGTGACAACCCGTCTACCGTTGAAACTTGCGAGACTGTCGATAAGGTCCTCTACCGTGGATCTGACATCGTCACCCTTTCTGCCACCAGCTTCTACTATGATGGCGAAAAGTTCCTCAACACCGACTCTGATTATCTGGGTGACGTTTTGTCTGACCACAACCCTGTTCTGGTCAACTTCACTTGGGCTATGTCGAGTTCCCTTCGACAGAGCGAATTCTCTGGTGGTCCATATGGAACCTGGTTCAATGATCTGCCCAACATCCCATCTTCTCCCAAGGCTTCCGTGTTGACCTTCCGTGGCGCCAATCGTCTGGATGCTGTCGCACTGGAACTTACCGACGGAACATCCTTCAGCCACGGAGGAACTGGTGGCACTGAAGTGACCCTGACCCTCGGCTCCGGAGAGCACTGGATCACTACTGAGCTTTGCACCGGTACATACAACAGCGAGACTCGGAACTTCTACATCAAGGCTACTACCAGTGCTGGAAACACTTTGGAAGCTGGAACCTCCACCGACAGTTGTACCACGTATACTGCCGATTCTGGGTATGCAGTTGTTGGATTTATGGGACAGGATGGTGATGAGATGGACCAGTTGGCTCTTATCTATGCTCCTTTCTAGTAATGGAGCCTTTTCAAATGTTGAGCGAGTTGAGTTTGACGGAAAGGGTACTTAGCATTAACCGCACAATCCGTCTCACGGATTTTTTCGCTGTGAAATTTTGTCTCTCCGGCACTCCTTTTCAAAAGTCACAATTCTTGAATCGTATCAAGTGTGGAGATTTAGTTTATCCCAGAAGTTATTCAAAATTGCCCAATCGTGTTGCCGAGGCACTATTATAGCTTAGAAGTTTGAGTTCAACGGAGGCAACACCCAAAGCTAACCACTCTAGCAAACTGCTGAGCCTACCTGCGCCTCAGGCTTCTGAGCGACGCTTGGCATGTAGGTTCTCCATCGGTGCATCGACACCGTAATTCATGGCCTTCTTCAAATCTCCCAAAAACAAACTGGCAATGCACGCCAAAACGCCAAAGGGGACCGCGATAATAAAGACAACCCTCAACCCATCAGCGTATGCCTGCTTTAGGGCGCTGACGCCGGAGTTGATGATCTCCAAATTGACACCAGATATGCTTTCCAAGGCTGCACTGTTGTCGGATGAGAGGGCTTTGATAAAAGCTTCGAGAGAAGACTTTGGAAGGCCCGCTTGTAGGGCTGCCTTGGAAACATACTCAGGAATATACTTATCAAGACGTGCGCCTAATGCAGCAGAAAATATAGCCGTGAAGACAGCGGTCGCTATGGCCCGAGAGCAAGTTGTAGCTGCCGTTGCTGTTGCGATAAGATGATGTGGCGTTGAGAGCTGGACTCCGGCAATTACCAAGATCAGGGGAGATCCAAAGCCGAGACCAGCTAAAGCGACAAATGCCATGGCACTGAAGTTGTTCTTGGGTTGAATCGTGGATAGGCCAATGAAACCACAAGTGAAGATGATGAAGCCGACCAGCATTGGGGAGCGGATAGTCTTAAACTTAGTGCTACAGTAGCCATAGATCACCGTACTGATAGCCGAAGCGATCCAATATGGCAATTGTCGAGCCGCCTCTAGGAATGGGTCTGTTTCAAACAGACTCGCCGTCCTTTAAGGAGTCATTATTAGCATCTTAGCCAGCAGATCCCGTGCGAAAAGAAGTGCTTACAGAACCGGATAGAAAATCACGAAAGCAAAAAGTAGAATTCCTTCAATGAAAATAAGACCAATGCAGATAGCAAAGGTATGGCCAGCACTATCACCAGTCTTTCCGCCGTGGAAAAGATCATGATGTAGGATTCCAGTCTTGGTGAATTTCCACTCATAGATCCCAAAGGCGACCAAAGTGAGGATTCCTATGATCAAAGTGGCCAGAACCGGCGCACTAGACCAAGTATACAGGCCACCTCCAAGATTGAGTCCAGTCAGGAAAATGGTCAATCCGGCGGTTAGGAGGAAAAAGCCTGGAAGATCGACACGGCCAAGCTTCTGCCAGAACGAGAGATGATCAAATCGAGTGTGCCTTTTAGGGGGTCTGTATCCAACGAAAAGGCCAATCGCTGTCATACCCCAAAGAGCCATTTGAATCCACTTCACATATTATTAGCTCTGACCTGACCAAGAAAGAAGGTCGAGAGGGCCACATGCATAAAAGTTCCTCCACCCAGTGTGGGGATTCGCTCTTGTCAGTCCACCAATGATCAAGGGACCCGAACAAGCGCCCCCAGCCGCAGCAATATTGATGAAAGCTTGAATCACTGTATAATAGTTAGAATATGCAGATAATCTTGTTCATTCGGCCCAATCATATATATCCAACTCACTTGGCCTCCATTTTCTAGGCAATATATCACTTGGTACGCAGTAAGCCAGCGGAACAGTCGCAAACCCGAACCCGATCAGCACCTGTGCTGCTATAAGACGATATATATCGGTTGAGCCGGGGGCAATTGCACAGCCAATAAACGAGATGATAGCTGGCCCGACAAGGAATGCTTTTCTCGCCTGGAATGTATCTGAAAGGGATGCAATGAGAGGTGCCAGGACGGCTTGAACTAGCGATAGGGAGTTGGGAACCCAAGTTCCTGCGACAGTGTTGTTGAGATCTTTTTCGATATAGGAAAGCTATAAAGCCCCCTGTCAGCTATTTGATTGCTCCATTGGAGAAAAGACGACAGTACCGCAGCTGGGGGACCTAGAAGTCCAAAAACCTGAACCAGATTCAGCAAGAACATTGCAGCCAAGGCAAAATAAGTCTGCGCATGTAGCTCTGGCTCTTCATCCTCTTCGTAAACTAGATTTTCCTCAATCTGCTCTTTTGTATTTTCCACGTGTTGAAACTGTTCTACCGCACCATCCTTTCTATCACGTTCCGGACCGTCATGTGCGGCCGTGGAAGACATTTCGGATATATTGTACGGCGAGATATAGAATTGAATTGATGAGAGACTCGGTAGAGAATGGTTGGGTATTAGACCGGATGATTTACCTTACTTATAAACCCTTGCTCTGTGGTTTCGGTGGGCCTGGAACTTTAAACGCCTGGGGCCCCGCGTTTCCCCCAGACCCTGTTCTGATCGTCCCCACAAACGGAATGACAGGGCCCGCAAGACATGTTCTATGGAAATTAAATAGTAGAAGCATTGCCGAGGACGTAAATTACTGAAATTTTGCTTTCCAGTGTCCTTGAAAGGCTCATCTGGTAACCGAAGGAAGACATCGGAGATTCGTTTGGTATTTTCCCTCGGCTATCATACAAGCGACAACGACGGAACTGTAAGCATCTTCTCCAACGTTAAACTTAATATGCTAGGATCTTGACGTAAATCAACGATTAGCGGGGATACTGCGGGTATACAACGGGCTGGGCGTATACGTCGGGGAAGGGCCGCTTCCAACCCTGGTAAAAAGGAGCTTGACGGTATTCGTTCTTTGATTATCCTTTCAATTATCAATTTGATTTTCACGGCTTCTATATACTTATTGAGTGATGGTCGATTTTTCTGAAAGAAAGTCCAGTATTCATTAACATGGCACTTCAGGTTATCCTTTGTGAAGTTACCACGTCAACCATCCATCGATACACCTCATACCGTAGGCCCCACGCTCTATGGATCTCAACGGAAATCCTAATCATAACATTATCTTTAAAGCTAGGCTATGAGGAAAACTAATTAGCCATGGGACTCTCAAGAGTTTCGTAGCGAAATCTTTTTTTTATAAACGAGGTGCGGAAAATCGAGCTTTTAGTCATTTATTCAATTTTGGACTACGCATCAGTCTGAATTGAATAGCTGAGAAAGTGTTATTGACTCGGAAATTTAAACAATAAGTTAGCATTACTGTAGACCTAAAAGGGTACTACGAGCGTGATCGGGTAGGTTAATATATTGTGTAAATCGCCTAGATGGAAAAGTCAATTGATATTTCTAGCTAATGACTAGAAGAAATTCGGATCCTAAGCCCTCCCTCGCTAGGCTGAAAGCTTCAAGTTGAACCCTTATCATTTACGGGATCTTTCACGCTTAGGTATAGCTTCACACAAGGTAGCGCAGCTATCATGCGAGCTATCTTTATTTATCACGAAAATTTGAGTTGGGGAAATTATGGTTGGTCTTACTGATACTTCCGTCATATAAGCCAGTGGGTTGTACATCCAACACCCTAAGACCAAATGGAAATCGACGAAATCGAGGACTGGGAGAGGATTATCTGTGACTTGGAAGAAGGCATAATTTCCCTGCCTATTTTTCACAGCGACTATTTCCACCTAACCCTGATTTCTCTAGGCCACGCAGCTCGTCTGATGCCCCGTTTGAAGTACATACTGTACGAATGTTCACATAGCCCGAACTTTCGATTTAATTTTGAGCCCGATACCTCATCTGGAAAGGCAGCGTGGCAGCTTCATTTTCCAGATCTCTATCACCCGAATCAATTGGTAGCGGATGCCTGGAAATTTCCGTTGGCGGAGCTAGATGCGGACTTGCCTGCGAAATTGATCGAGACGACTATTGAGAACTGGGACCAAAATGGAGCTAAATCTCAGAGCATTGGGCAAGGCTGAGGTGAAGTTCTCGGGGCTTCGAGAGTTTCCAATCCCGATATCCCTGACTTTTTCAAATGACAAAGATACACGGTCCTGTGTACCTTTCTCTATTTTATGGAGGAAGACTATATATAAATTAGTACTATAAAGGGTAGGTTTTGAACTCCTTAAGAAATAGTCTTATCACGAACTCGAATTAGTGCTTTTCAACCTTACCTGATTAATAGGCCTTCTACTCTGTAAGTAGCGATCTTTATAGAGAGATCCGTATCTCATAAGGAAGCCAGTTTTATATATAAATGGTGGTGTCATGGACAGCTGCGCAAGGAAGCAAGAAGAGAGATCTGAGTCCAATTGGTCTATCTAGACATGAAGACAAAGATGATCTAGAGAAGAAGGAAAAGAAGAAGGGGAAGACCTAAATAGTCTACAAGACAAAGAATAAAGGGCTGGTCCTGGAATCAACCATCCAACCTGCAGATCAATCTATGCAGGTGCAAGCAGGAGGACGCGGCACCAAATGACCGAGTAGTCGAGGTCAATGGGGTCGAGTCATCAATAAATCATAAAAGGATCTAAAGGCATTCACGCAAGATATGAGACAATGGCACGAATATTCTCCTCCCTAAAAAAGTGGGTTACAGTAGTTACTGCGTGCCCTTAGTAGGGCATTATTACACAAATGAATTCAAGTGAATTCATCTTGCTCAAAATGGCCCTAGAAAATTGTACTAAAATCGACTAGAAGCGGGGAGTCCTTAGCTGGCCGCGAACCAACCACTCCCGCCCCCACGTGCGTTCGGCTTGGCTCCGCTGCTCGTGATACCTTCGGTGCGAAGTCCTGCTGTACCTTTCGTCCTTCTGGAACCACCAACAGGTATTCGGAGTCTCGGACTACTCGGAAAAGAGGTAATATGCATTGCTTTTGGCCTATTTTGGACGATCTAATGCGATTAGCAGTGAGCTCAGCCGGCGGCTAGCAACGTCCCGGTTCCGATTCGCAGCAGGTCAAGCGAGATCAAGTAGAGTACCCCTGCATTGCGTCGCATAATCATGGAAGAAGTGTCGTTGTCCTCACCGCCAGCCGTGATTGCCTTACGAGAATCATTTGGCGACCGTAAGCCGCCTGATATCACTCGCAAAATCACCGCCTGCGTGGCATGCCGAAAACAAAAGGTTGTATCTTCAATACCTTTGTTGAGTTACTTATGGCTCATGAATGAAAAAGGTAAAATGCCATATGCGAGATGGACAAGTCCCGTGTTCAAGGTGCAAGAAGCGAGGTTTACCCTGTGCTGTTAATCGCAGCCTGCAAACACTTCTAGAAGAAGATGTTACGTGAGTAACATATCGGCCTGAAGGGTAAATACACCACTAACTGATTCCAGATGGAAAGGTGCGGTTGTAAAAAAGATCAAAAGACTCGAAGATACAATTGCAAAGATTGCGGCCAAGGTCGACTTATCCGACCTTGATTTTCAACCGCGGCCGGAGGAGCCAGAATCAATGAGCCCGCCCGCTGTTGAGATGGCCAATGCAGAGCAACCAGCTAGCCCAGAACCGCAATCAAGGGAAGAAAAGGAACCGACACAGACTTGGGAGGTAATCATGGATCCTCACGGGGGTCCAGCATCAATACCAGCATCCTGCCTATCGGAGAATATCAGAGCGACATTGCCAAATAGCCTCCCAACTTCTCGGAGGCCGGATTTGATATCAACAGGAATCATCACACTACGACAAGCATTAGCCTTATTTGATACATACCATCTACGATTGGATCATTTCTTGTATCGCATATTGGGTGATCATATCAGTTTGGATTCGGTGCGAATCGCATCACCATTATTGACGGCAGCGGTCTGCACAGTGGGGGCTCTCCACTCGCCGTCCTTGGGTCACTTGTTTGATACCTGTTATGCAGAGTACAAAGACCTTGTGACCTCGCAAGTATTCTCGAAAAATGCAAACCCAGACGATATTCGGGGGCTTTGCATTGGTGCGTTCTGGCTGCATGAGCTTTCATGGGCCTTGATAGGAAACGGTACGTCTGTTCAAGTCTTTTCTGGAGGGGAAATTATTGATTTGAACTAGCGGTTCGAGTTGCATCCGATATAAATCTTCATAGTGGAATCTACAAGGCTCTCAAAGGTGATCGAGAAGGCTACGTCCAGGCTCGAATATACTACCTTGTCTACGTGTGCGATCATCACTTTTCCGTGGCGTACGGTCGGCCTCCAATGTCTCGCGAGGGTTTTATCATCGATTCCGCCAGTCGGCTGCTGGATACTGAGCATGCAACTGAGGATGATGCAAGATTGATCAGTCAAGTAAAAGAGTGGTCTATTCTGGGCAAAGTATTTGACACGTTTGGCGTCGATGTGGATACGGCGATTGCCCCTGAAACGATCCCCCAGCTACGCCGATACTCGATTGCATTGGATACCTGGTTTGCCGACTGGCATGAGAGCTTCAGCGAGAACAGAAGAGTTGGAAACTATCCTCAAAAGGGCGTGGGTTTCCACTTTCACTTTGCCAAACTTTACCTTTGTTCTCACACATTCCGAGGCGTTCCCGCTGGTGAGAATGCCACCCAATGTTTCTCGCCCGAGTTGGAAGAAATCGCCAATGCCGGTGTTCTATCCGCCATGTCGATTCTTCGAGTCATCGTATCTGACGCAGAATTCCGATCTTTCATGAACGGTCTTCCTCTATACTTCGACACAATGCTCGCGTTCGCCGTCATTTTCCTGCTCAAAGTGGCCACCAAATACGCGGCCGTCATCAGGATTGATACATCCAAGATTCTGTCACTCGTTTCCCAAACGGTGGTCGCTCTGAAGGCAACCACTCAATCCATGCATCGACAACATCTACTAGTCGTTATAGCTGAGGGGCTTGAAAGGCTCCTCGTGAGATGTCAAGTTCCAGTGCAGACAACACAAGAATCAATTTACCATGCATCGCCGGCATTGGAGCATCATGCAACTTTCGAAACGGGATGGATGGAAAATATGGCGAGCTTCGATTTTCAGACAAATTTCCCTGACATGGATGACTGGTGGCTTCATTATAACAACTCAATGGGTCCGGGTCGTGCCATAGGACCAATCTAGACGACGGAATGCTTGATAGTCGAGTTCTGGGTGGAAGTGGGTTTGCATGGAGACAGAAATCTCTACCGTTTTTATCAAAAACATACAATGGGTGGGAACACACGGTGGATACGCCTAGCAATACCCCGAGTGACTGCTAAGAAGTCATGAATTATGAAAATTGTTTTGTACATACAGAACCCATTCACCATCTCGCATTTCTTCATCAGGATATAGACAATGCAGCAGCACCTATACTCAATACTGCTATCAGGATCCAAAGGACCCAATTGTGGGGGGAGATGACATTTGACCACTGGCCTGCCATGCTGCTCTTCGCCATCACCGTTGGCTTGGCTGTGACGCTTGTCACTTCATGGATATCTTCATTCACAGGGGAATCCGTTGAGTCGAAGCCCTTCTTTTCTGAGTCGGGGCTCGTAGGAGGGTTGCCAGACAACGACACAGAGTCTGGAGAGGCAGTCAAAGTTTCCATCGTCTCTTGAGATTCTGTCGGAGATGACTCGACAGCAGGTGTCTTCTCAGCTGGGTCTGACGGCGAGGTTCCTTCTTCAGCTACGGTAATGGATTCTTGCGACGAAGGCATATCAGAAAGTTTCCCGAGTTCCAAAAGCAGGTTGGCAATGTCTTGGTGGTTATAAACCCGTGCCAAGGCAAATGGTGTATGCCCCAGTGCATTCTTTCTCCAAACTTCCGCACCTGCTGCAACCAGTCTCCGAACAGCATTTTCCTTCCCATAAATGACGGCTAGATCGAGCATGGTGTTCAACTCGCGACGTTCTTGGGGCAGGACAGCACCATGCTCAATAAATGCAGCACTGATGCTCTCCTCATAGCCTGTGGCTGTCGACAAGGGAGATTCGCCCCAATCATCCTTTATGTTGACATCAGCACCTGCAGCCAGGAGAATATCCGCAACTTCCGCGCTGTTATAAAGCGCTGTCAAATGTATAGGGGTACGGCCGTAGTTGTTGGGTAGGTTCAAAGGTGCGCCGTGCTCGATTAGCAAGCGAGCTATTTCGGAGTTGTTGCGAGTAGCACTATAATGGAGAGCCGAGTCACCGACATCTGGATCTTGTGCACTGATCTCAGCTGCGGTGGCAGTTGGAAGTCGTTCACGGAGCTCTTCAAGTGACTCGGCACTTGATAATGCCCATATTGGCAAAGGTTCGTTAACGGAAAACTCTGTGTCTGTCCGAACGGGCGATTGAATGATAGTGCCCGTTGCGGTTCGTTGAGGAGGCTGAGGGAGCTCAGTGTCACTCATTGCCCGCTTTTTCTCTGCAAGTCTTGCTTCTCGAAGGATTTCAAGAATAGCATTTTTGTTTGTCTCGCGAGCGACATACATGGGTGTGCGGCCATAGTTGTCTTTAATGGTTGGATCGGCACCATGGGTAAGAAGGATTCTTACTGTCGCTGTAGATCCCGACCTGGCCGCGTCGTGAAGTGTTGTCTTTCCATTGACATCCTGCATATTGACATCCAACGTTGGATCAAACTTCAGCAGGATATCGATAATCTCGCTTTGAGCGTTGATGGCGGCAGAATGAAGCATTCCCCGTTGGAACACGTCTTTATGGTGAACATTCGCACCTCGATCAAGCAGTAGTTCAACAACGGGTATCTGATTGTAATCAATTGCTCGATTGAGAGCAGTTCCAAAAGATCCCTCTTGCTGGACTTCGGTATCCGCACCATGGTCAAGAAGGGTTTCTACCACTCGGCGATGACCATCTTCAGCGGCCATGAGTAGAGCAGTCGAGCCTGCTGTATCTTGGATGTTGATGTTGATGTTAGGGTGGGCCAAAAGGACTTCGACAACTTCCTTCTCGTTACCAAGAGCTGCGTGCATTAACGCAGTTGTTCCGCGAGACCTAGAGCCCTTGTTGATGTCGAGCCCAGGCTTGCGTAATATAGACTTTACCACGTCAAGGTATCCTTGGTATGCAGCAGTCATCAGCGGCGTAAATTCTCCAACGAGAAGGTTCACGTCAGTATTATCCTGTTCCAAGAGGACCTTCACTGTTGATTGATGATCATTTTGGGCAGCGCCATACAGTGGAGTGCTTCCAAGATTGTCCATGGAGTTCACATCTGCACCAGCAGCGATCAAAGTTGAGGCTACATCATGAAGACCACGTATAGCGGCCAAAGCCAGAGGTGTAACACCATTCAAATCTCGAACGTTAGGATCGATGCCACCAGCAAGGAGCTCGAGCACCAACTTGTTCAAGCCGAAGTGGGTAGCGAGGTGCAGAGGAGTACTGCCATCCTTGCCGGCCCAGCTAGCAGAATCCTCATCATCGAAATACCACAAAGCCTGCGATATAGCTGCGAAACGTTGAGGATCAAGAATAAGCGCTCGTGCAAGATCAAATAGATCATCGCGAGGAGTTGTGAGAAGATGCTTGCCCCAATGCTCTGCAGCGTATTGAAGGAATGGGTATGCCTGAACCCTCGCGTCAAAATCGGTTGCTTCAGAAGGGCCAGAGCAGGCTCCCTGCTGGAATGGGTCAAACATGAGATAGGTCAAGCAGTTCGAAGTCAGTTTGATAGCACCCTCAGGAAACCAGCGGTCTTGATGTTCGGTTTCGGAAAAGTAATTCTTGGCTGAGTAGTGGACCAGTCTGACGCGGTCGGATTCGTCGAATTTCACTAACCCGGCACACATTGAGGCTAGGATTTGCACTCGAATGATGTTATCAGGGTCAATGTCACGATCTCCGTCCGAGATAGCAATTGCATGCTCGATCTCACGACATTCCAAAGGGCGTTCAGCAAAAACGACCCATCGAAGAAAGTCCATCGCCACTTCTTTTTGGCTTTCAGGCAAGTCTTTGATCCGAAGCATTGCATCACTGTATGTACCATTCAACTCTTTTGGAAGGGAATTCAGTGCTTCAACCACCTCCCCAGGCCGAAGCTTGGACGCAAGCGTATCCATATTGAATTTTGCCAGAAGGAACATCCCGTCATTCTTTTCAACGACGGTCTCCACAATATCTGCCATCAGGCCCGTTTTGGTATCCACGCAACGTTGCAGAAAGTCTGACGAGCCAACTCTCCACTTGACATAGGCTAATAAATCCTGCTCCATGGCGGTGATGTCAATTCTGATGCTGTTGAACTGCTTGACAAGAATGTGACCTTTGTGACCACACCGTTCTCCTTTGTCATGGCACTCTTCGCAAAGATCAAAGCCGTCAGGAACTGCTTCATCGCAGTCAAAGCAATGGAATTGATAGCGCTGATCGGGCTTTCCACAGCCATCGCAATAGATACTCCTTTCGATGTCGGCAAAATGTCGTGTAATGTTATCAACCGGTCGAGATGTAACCATTATATTGACCTTTGCCTCGAGCGATGTGAGGGTTTCTAGAAGCACCAGTCTGCTTTTCTCATCTCGCAGCTCATCGAGCCCGTCCACAATGATAAACGTTTTTGGAAAGTGTCGCAGCTCAGAATTCAGAGTCGACACAAATTCATCACTCCCGGGGCTCGTGCCGGCCTTGCTATGCTTGGAGAACATATCGGAGGTCCCTTCCCAAAATACTCCATAACGCTGGGCAATCTGCTTGACCAAACTTGCCAGCAGACCGTTGATAGACTGAGATTGCGAGTCGTCCCATTTGCAGTACAGCATCAAGATTGCCGCGTTTTCGACACCACCTTTTTCACTGAGTCGAAGTTTGTCCAGTTCGTTAACCACGATGGATGACAGCATGGTTTTGCCAGCCCCTGGAATTCCCGGACAGAATAGAATCGCGTTCTCACTCTCCTTCCATCTTCGAAATTCGTCACATCCAAGGAACCATTTACAAGTTCCTTCATGCTGCTCTTTGAAGAGTAGGCTTTGCTTTGCGATGAAATTCAGTGGAGACAACCAGTTAATCATCTCCTTCAGTCGCGTTTCGTCCATGGTGGCTTTCATTGCCTGGCCATCTCGATGGATCTCTTGCGTGAGCGCATAATTAGATTGCTCAAGGGCAAAATGTAACGTTTGCTGCATCCGTGAGATCTTGGCCACCATTTGGATGACATCCGCCTTGGCTAGCGGCCAAGCCAGCGTTTGCCGAAGACTTCCACGCGTGGAACGAGGCTTGAGCTTATCCTCAACATCCTTGACCAGACCGTCGAGCTCTTTCAAGATCCCATCAGACTCGAACAGCGGCAGTAATTGCGATGGGAAATTCTCTTTATCAACGACATTTCCATCGGGGGCAAGTTGAGCCTGAAGGGCCGTGATGGTGATCCACAAATTCGACAGTTCTTGAAGAAGTGATAGCCGCTCTTTGCCTCCCCCAGCGACCGTTCCGAGGTACCCAATGATCTGAAACGCGGCAGTTGCAACTCCAGCGATGCTGGCTGCCAAGCTCAACGGGTCCATTGAGAACTATATGTCCTCCTAGGGCTGTAGGGCCATACGAACCGTGGATCGTGGACCCGAGAAGATCGGGAGTGCCGCCAAAATATCACCAGGGTTCAACCCCGTGGGCGCGAGAGCGCGACCGATGATGGCAAACACCGACCCCATCCAGCATGCAGCAAGATGGGGGCCAAAAACTGGATTATTTCACACTGACCACTCAGCATCGCTGAAACGGAGGTTTCTTTTTCGACTTGCGCAGCCCCTTTTGCTATACTTGGTCTGGCGTGGCGAGCATCAAACCAATGGGAGAGTTGCTGAGCGCCATTTTGTGGGGCTGCGTCTTGATATCCACCGTGCTGACTGCTTGATCCTACTATTTATGGTGATAGCTTTGTCCATAGATAAAATTGGCCTTCGGATCAAAAATAAATGTAACGGATTGTATTTGATCAAGATATGTCATTCACATTGTTTCCACGGCGGTCAATCGATGTCATTTCATATGTCTCTCTATTTTGTCGGAGCTCATAGTCGCTGCTGTAGACATCACTTTTTCAAATTTAAGCTCCTGGCCGATCGATTCGGTAAATGGTCGAAGCAACGTTTAGATAAGCTTCGTATTCAACCTCTTCACCCTCATCTTGCAAGTCATAATGATAATGCCCTCCTTTCCGATTGCCATCCACCTCAAAACAGTGCGTATGCTCCATTCTCAGCCCCAACCCTTCCGGATCAGAGCTGTGCATCACAGTCAGGCAAATAACGGGGGCTCCAAAATCATGATACGTAAGCCAATTCTTTTCTAGTTGTTCACGATCTCGGAATGGCAGATTCTCTTCCTTGGGGAAATCCGGCATGATGTGGAATTTGGCCTTGCCCGCCTTCAAAAGGAATACCCCGCCAAGACTGATAGGTCTCGAGTCACCGTAGTGATCTGCTAGACCAAGCCGAATGCAATGGGTAAAGTTCTTGTCGCCCGTCCGTGCTCGAGCAGTGATCTTGAGAACTGGTCCCGTATCGCCAGTAGATCCGAAGAGGTTGACCATAAGTCCACAATTGAGGCTCCCGATGGGTTCGCAGCATGGCGAACCATCCTTGTTGACTTGGATAATGCGAGTCCCATTCCTCACTTGATCAATATCTGGGTCACTAGTCCCTACGTGAGGTCCCGGTGGAGTGTAAAGATTCACAGCAAGCTCGGCATTATACCCTGTGTCGTGGAAGGGTGCTGCGCCAGCACCAATCAAGAAGCCGCCTTCTCCCTCCGTCATCTGCATGTCCTTCGCTAGAGAGCGAAGGTCAAATTTGGCGTCAAAGTTGGGACGTGGAAAGAGATTAGCCTGGCCGCCAACATCGGCGATGCAGGGGTTTCCTGATAGACCAGAGCTGGCCAGGTGGAATGGCGGCTGGCGAAGGTCGGGACATTCCACGACGCTCACGGAGGCGCTTGCAAAATTGGCCAAGAGCGACCGTTGAATAATAGCTGCTAATTCTCCCAATGGGGGAGGATCTCTGGGATGTGTGGTCACCGTCATAGTTGCCCGGCTGGTAGCCAAATTGATTTAAGAATCATAGGTGGTTTGTGATGACGATGGACCTTTTGCGGGGAAGAAGGGAATCGGTAATGGTTGGTCGGCATCACGTCACACCGTTTTGCCGACGCAAATACAGACTACCGGAGAAAGGCAAAATGAAAAGTTCTCGATTATTTTTCGGTGATAACAAATATTTAATTCAAACATGCCCTGGACTAAATCAAAACATTCTTGTAGAACAAATTCGATCTCCGATCACCGCCCTTCCCTGAAGCAAAGCCCAAGAAAAGGCGAACTTCCCCACCAACAGTCTTATAGATCGCCAATCCTTCCGGTTCACGGAATGACAGGGTAGATCCAGCCTTCGTCAACGTTGGACCTTGCACAACAGCACCGGTATTCATATTGACACTGGTTATCTCAGAGTTGACCACACCCCCAGAGGTATCGTATGAGTTGCCAGTCAACAAATAGATATACTGCCCATAGGCAGCATAACCCTGGAACGTATCGGATTTGGTGTTCTCAGATGGATGTTTGAAGTTGGCCAGCGGGTTGGTGAAGTCTCCACTGGTCGCCTTGTCCAAATCAAAGACAGCAATATGTTTACCGCTGAGATTGTATCGCACGATCAGGCGGTTGTTGACAGGGTCGATAGAGCAAGTGTGTTCGGTTGCAGAAGCGATAGGTTGGAACTTCTTCAGAGAAGTAGAAGAAGCCGAGATCTTGCCCCCATTGGTGAACTTGAATCGCGCAAGCTTCTTTCCGTATCCATTTGTGTTGGCCTCAACCTCGGTCCACAGATATGTGGATGATCCTTCGGCCTGGGCGCCGAAGGAGACGCCGTGGCCAAAGCCAGTCAGGTACATATGGCCAACATAGTTGCCATCAAAGTCTAGTTGAGTAATACACAGGTCTCCCGATGTTTCCGAGGAACCATCACGACGCTGAGCGACGAAGAGGCGTCGATTGGTATTGTCGAATGCGAAGCCCTGTTGAACAGTCGAGTCTTGTAACGCTTTATTGCGGTAGAGGTCGTAGGACGGAGTGGTTAGATCAAAGCGCTTTGATGAGGGGACTGTAGCTGATGCTGTTTGGAAACTGGAGCAGAGGGCAAGAATTGCGATGCCAATATTGGCTGGCTTGAGGAAGCTCTTCCAACTAAGTGATGAAACCATATCGGGAAGGCCTTTTTGAAACCCAAAGAAAGATGATAGTGATGAAGAATGACAGAGCAACTGAGCAGGAAATATACCGGATTTATACCCTCAATTCTGGAAATCCTGCAAGTCTGTATACGAGTAATTTCCGAGAAAATTGTTGATCGTTGCCTTTAGAGCCCTCAGCCTCTCGTATTAAGACTAACAATAGCGGTGCCAAGAGGAATCCGGTGGCTTGGCGACATCCCGCGATGATCTTGGTTACAGATACTTTTTTCACATTTAAAAACTAAATCTAAGCTAAATCTAGGTTAGAAAATGAACTACTGTATATCTAAACGAGCATACGAGGCATGATGGCCGATTTTGCTTGCCTCAGGCAGCTTCCATGGTCACATATTCGGCCCCGCTCTAGAACTTGGAACTTGGCCAATAATTCAATCTGACAGAACTGTCTAGCTTGAATTCGAGTCTTTGGCAATACTGCAATCAACCGCGAGTCCCTCATTCAGGCAGTCAGCATTCGATAATGGGTGGGCTAGAGCCTTTACCGGATGAGGCTCTTCCGCTGGGATAACAGACCGTAGCACCCTGATGCAACTCCTCCCCAAAGCCTAACTCTTCCCCACTCTCCACCAACCGTCTTAATAACAGTCCATCAACAACAATGGCAGAAACCACGGAATCAGAGACCACCAGAGTCATGACTACTCCAGTTCTGACAACCCCAGAAATCCTAGAGATGATTCTGCTTCATACAGACATGCGCACGCTTCTTACCTCCGCCCAACGCGTCTGCCGGGACTGGTTGAATCTAATCGCCAAGTCACCGTCAATCCAAAAGGCTTTATTCTTCACCCCAATCAAAGATTCCGAATGGGGCACCAAGGAAAAGACAATCAACCCGCTATTAGCCGAGTCGTTTCCTCCCATCTTCCCACCCAAGGACGGATCGCGGAGCCACAAATTCGACTTTTCCGATTTAAAATGGACTCAAGATCCTTCGAGTATGACTCGCTTTATACGAAAAGATGCTAGCTGGCGCAAGATGCTCGTCCAACAACCTCCCCCTCCAGAACTTGGTCTATTCAATCTTTACCACGCTAGAGGCGGCGACACGGCCGCGTGTCTCACTATCCCCGTAAGCGGCATCCCTTCAACAACCTACCATCTACCGAATGTTCCAGCATATAGCTAACACATTCTAATCAGGCATACAAAAAGAACAAACCCCCCAAAATCAAAGGTCTCCGCATGTCAAGACTCTTCGAAGTCCTCCTATTCAGCCACCAAGTTCAATTCTCAATCGGCACAATCGCACGGGTATACTGGTCTACCGAAGAACCCTTTGAATTCAATGGGAGCTATGACAATATTAATGCCGAGTTCCATCGGATGTTGGGCCAGATAGGCGTTGTGCTGTATACTCGCAAGGTCATGCAGTGCACTATAGGTCTTGAGAGGCCGGTGTCCAAGGCGGAAAGGACTAGGATGGAGATTATTAAGGCGTATCGGGAAGGTGGGTTTGATGTTGATGGTATAAAAGAGGAGATTGAGGCTTCGAAGAGTCCGATGGTTAGGGAGAGGGGATCACGGAATGGGAAAAGGGAGAGGGAATGGGAGGGGACACCGGCTATTGTGGAAGGGATACTCCGTAGATAATGATGGATAATGATTGATGTAGGGTTGTTGAAGGATTCGAATATCCTGACTTATTCTCTCCAGATCATGCTGGTTTCTTTTAGATAATTGTTGCTGACAATTTGGAACACTGAATATACCATTATCTTTCCAAATGATCTGATATTGTAAAGGGGTAAAAGGTAAACTAGCTAAACGCTACAGGCTATCAAGATTCTCCAATGAAAAAAAAGCCAAAGCATAAGATACATCTTGCAACGGGCATCATTCAAAAAACCAAGTTTTGTATGTCCAAGTCCATCCCCCTCATTCCATTGCATAGCCTCATTAGTGCATTCAAATCACATCGTAAATCATGAAAAGACAGAAAGAAATTCTCGCATCAACATCAATCCTGTACAGGTTTCTTCACAGCCTAGACCACATAGCTAGGTCTCCGGCTGGAGCTGCGGTGGCGGTGGTGCGACGAAGAGTGACCACGACGACTGCTATGGCTGCGCCGACGAACGGTGGTCTCCTTAACAATAACCTCACGGTTCTTGCTGTGGATGAACAGTGCCAGGAATGCAGTCCAGATAAAGAAGACTACTTCCATGATTCCCAGCGCAAAGCTAGTCTTCAGCATCGCGCAAGTCTTGTTGACGTGCAGCGCCAGTGGGTTGTTCACCTGCGAGCCGTACTCGCCAAAGGGACCGAGGGAAACCCAGACGGAACCGCCATCCCAGTGTGCGCAATCAGCGTTTGCAATGAAGCGCAGCTGGTAGACTCCTGCGATGAAAGCGCCGAAGAAGCACATGTCAAGGAAGGAGACGAAGAACGAGGAGCGCTTGGTTGCGGAGAAGCGGATCAAGGTATCGATGCACCAGAAGACGGCAATCACGCTGACGATGAAGAGGACCAAGATGTATGGCGGCGTGAGCATGTTGGCTTTTAGGTAACCATCGACGAAGTAAGCCTGTGCAACAAGGAATGAGTTAGTATGATGGATGGGTGATGCACATTTTCCATGCGCGCAAGAAAGGAGATCGCCTTACCATGATACCGATGATCGGAATGAGAAAGGTAATCTCAACCAACCGGTTGAAGATGAAAAAGATACTTCCAATCATCTTGACGGTAGCCTGATGGACACAGAGTTCAAAGGAGACTTGATCTCAGGAATGCGACAAAGGTAAAGACGTTGCGAAAGGGTCCAAAAGGGTTCAGCGCCAGATAAAAGGGAGGCGGGGGAGAGGTATGTAGATCAAAAGTATAGCAATCAAAGGGAAGTCAATGTGTGGGTAGTGTTGATCTTGTCTTGAGGTTTACGCTCGCATCGCGTGGATATCAAAGGACGATGCAAGGTGAGTGAGTGTATTGCAATCACAACCTGTGCAGCTTTACTGCAAGAGATGAGAGAAGATGAACTGAAAAAGAAAGAGAGAGGGGCGAGGAGCATAGAAAAAAGATCTCGGTGCCGTCATCTTGCGCTGACAGCGGGTGGGGGGAGGGGAGGCTGGGCGAGTCACGGTGCACGTCTGAGGTGGCTGGGGCAACACTCAATTGAGACGGGGTCCAGCTCCTTGACATTGTCACTATGGCACGCAGCTGTGAGACGTGGGTGATCATAATAGGGTTAGTGGCAGCCCTTTCGTCAGATTTAATTAATGTTCTGCATCTGATTGACTGTTGATCCGCTTAGTCCTGCCGGAGGTTGTTTTAGTTGGAAGGGCAACCCGGCCCGTGGTTGAGTGGGGGAAGTCTCCCGGCAGAGCCAATAGGGGATTATCTATGAAGTACTAAACATTGGACAACTGTAGAGATTAGAAAATGACATACAGCAGGAAAATAGAGGCTTGAAGTCAATTTTAATAAAATATTCACGTATCATATCACAAAAGTCGAAGGCATAGGGAAGAAACCAGTTCCAGCCTCGAATGCCACATCCTGAATTTTCGTACATGAAGAAACATAGAAAAGTAAAACACTGCTAACACTCATCAAGTCTCATGCAATTACACCCGGAAATCAAGTCACACATGCTCGCTTGTGATGCAATGCAATTCCGTGTCAGAAACAGATCATCATAGGATATAGTTTAGACCTAAACGTCGCGCAGCGGTGTATCGGTCAATTGTCGCCCTCGACTGGAATGATCACCAGCAGTCTCTGGATTAGGGTGCATTGCACCTGCATGGGTCTGTGACTGATACGCAGTATTGGTCTCGAATGGTGGTGAGTATCCCCGAGCCGCAACAGGGGTTTGCGTTATTGCATAGCCATGCTGCATCTCATACCCATTTCCAACATCGTCCTCACTAGATGACCAGTTGCCGTCAGGGTCCTGGTCATGTCGGCGACGGGGATACACCTGAGAGGTGAACGGGTTACTCGGGACTGCATATCCCGAAGCGCCAGGGGGAGATGGTCGACCCGAGGGCGATACTGAGCGTTCGGGTCCAGTTGGTGGATTAAGACGGTCTTGCTCGGGGTTGCGAAGAGCAGAGGTACTATCATTATTGAACGCGGTCAATTGAGTATTCACTGGGCGGGGTGGCTCAGTACCCCAGGTACGGATGGGATAGGCTCGACCCTTGCGCCAGGCCTCGGTGATCGGAGGGAAGTATTGGCGGTAAGAGACAATGGCGCACACAACTCCCAGAAGAGAGCCAGTAATGACGTCGAAAGGGTGATGGCGGGCATCCATGATCCGAGACACTGCAACAAGGGTTGCCGCAAGGATGGGTACCATGACCAAAAGGCTCTTCCAGGCCTCGCCGCGGTTGTCCATGATGTGAAGCTTTCCCCCCAGCCACAAGGAAGTATAGAATAGTCCTGCGAAGGAGGCTATCATCGCCAGATTAGTTAGTATATCGAAATTCTTAAGATCGCGAGCGCAGGATAACGGAGTAGGGCTGATGGTAAGACTCACAACTACTGTGACCTATAGGAGGATGATCGATTAGCAACTCATTGCTGACCAAATTGGAATTTGAGGAACAACCTACCTGATGGCCATGAACGGAACCCGTCTTTGATAATCTTCGGATCTCCAGTACAGATCGTCGAATTGGACAAGCCGTACACCGGCAGGTCATGACTCCCACTGAGCGGCTGACACCGATCGATCAAGTCCGGCCGGGGTTTACCACAGGCATTCTTCAGTACCTGAGTAATAACAAAGGCCAATCCTTGCGACAGCAAAAGTCCCAGTATACCACAGTTCATCTCCCACAGACGATCCTTCCATCGCCACGGCCCGCGTAGCTTACGCTTCCCCGACAGTGGGTCCTGGGGCTTGTGGTGTGAGAACAGCCCATCGATGAAGAGTGTGTAGATGATGATGAGCACGAGGGGGAAAGCGCCGGAGATACAGAGGGCGTAGTAGATGGGGATTCGTTCATGTACAGCGTAGGGATATTGGAGGGAGATGTTTTGGAGGGAGAAGTGTTGGTGGTAGGGTTCGATGGAGTCGAGAATCCAGAAGCCGATGACGCACGCGCTAGTTCGATCGAAGAGTAGCGGTCAGTCCAATTACCATTGTCATGTTGAGTTAGGGAGATGGGAGGGATAGGCGGTAGGGTACATACATGATGATCACATAGTCGAAGATGTAGCTACAGAGAAGCAAGGTCAGTTCGGAGACGGAGCGGGGAAGAAGAGCAAAGGAGCAGCACGCACGAAATGACGACTCTCGGTCGGAGCCGCCGTTTGGAGAACGGCAATTTGGCCGGAATCTCCATAATTACCCCGGTGTGGATGACTTGAAGGGAAGAAAATAATAATATCCAACAGAGGATTTAAAAAAGTAAAAGTACTCTGCCAGCAGCAGCCAAAAATTAGGCAGCTTCAAAACGGTGAAGATCGAATCTGGTCGCGTGCCTTAGGCGTGCCGATTGGCGCTGGGCGCAAAGGCGCGTTGCTTGGCGTTTATAGTGCCCCTGGACCCTGCTTTGACTTTCTTTTAGCCCTGCGGTGACGAACCAGCGTGGTTGGGAATGTCACTGGAGTCGACTTTGAGTACTTTGTAGTGGAGCAGTACACTACAAAAGAGTCGAGACCGATAGCTCACTTAACATAACAGCACGCGTTCCTGATTCATGTTCCTAGTCTAGGCCTGTTTCTACTAGACCTTAAACCCACTCCGTTTCAAACTACACTACCCTGGCCAATCTATGCATCCGAGAGGAACATACGGCAGATGAGTAGATTATCAATTGTACATAATAGTCTCCCTTCAAGTCTAACTTTGGACACGCTACGCCACCACGTGCCTTCCAAGCCGCTTTGCAAATTCTTTCTCCGAAACAATCTGCTCTTTTTATTCGGATTTATCTAACTCCGGATGATTTATACTCTATAGTCTATCTTAAGAGCTAAGACCCTGCCAAGATCCATACCTAAAGCACCTGAACCCTCAAATCTAAACTTTCATAAATCATGATCCAATCTGAAAGCCAAAATAAGAAAAGAAAAAGGCTTGATCTCTCGGCTGTGAACCTTTTCTTTTGCCGGAGACCATCCCTACGCTGATCCGCTATTCTCCTGAAGTAGAAAATGCTGGCGCGACACCCTTCGAGGCGCAGTTGAGCTACAATTGGGTTTGTAGTCGATCAGCCCGAGAAACGTGTGCAATCTGACATATCTCATTTGCCGCCGCCACGGTTGACAACTCGACAAACTTTGACCTTGCACAGATCCACATCTGATTAGGCAGCATGATTGATCCACCGCAGGATTCATGCAGGGTAGGTATTCCGCACTACTCTGTATCTCACCGCAAAAAAAGACATCAATACCGCGTATGCAATAAGCAGTGTTTGGAGAACTAGTCGATCATCATTGACTATGTTCAAATTACCAACCGAGCAGCGCCTGCTCGGGCATTAACTTTTTTTCAGAAACTGCACCAAACTAAACAAAGGAAGACATGCACTCCAGTTTTACCCTGAAGCATCAGCCACAACAGTCAAAACAATTACTCCAACCGGTCATAATCTCATAGATTGTCTCAGAGCATGGCCTCGAATTAGCAAGCGGTGATGAATAGACCCAGACTAAAAATCATGTTAGCCGATATACTCCGGAGGTATACTTCTCCTTGGGGGGCCTGAGGAGTTGGACATACGGAGATGGGTTCCAGTCTTCGAAGAACTCAAAGTTGGTAGTTCCTGCATTCTTCATCTCGAATGACACTGCCTGTCCGGCCGGGCACGAGAAGGTGGACAGCAAAAATGAATTGCCGGGGGAGATGGTAATAGTGCCCAAGCCCTGCGACACGGAAGGAACGTTGTTTTCAGTCGTCGAACTGGTGATGGTTTGCGAAAGCTTGCCAAAGGCAACCTTGCCGTCACCGCTGAAGCTAAACGAAGTAGTCTGGAGTTCTTCCTTCCTGGGGAACAAGAAGATCAAGCTACAGGTCTTGCCCGAGTACGACTGAGGAATATCAAAGTTGAAGGTAGTCGCAACGGTGGCGTTGACTGTTCCGTTCAAGCCAGTACCGTGGGGGGTATCCGGCTTGGCAGAATCGATTCGAACAATGAGATGCGGAAATTGGAACTCTCCAGAGAGATTGGTGGGGCAGCTGGTCGACGTCGAGGTGGAAGTAGCACTGGTCGAAGTCGAGTTCACGGGGTGGATACTGGTCGAAGGAGTCGTTGCCGGAGATGTGGCTGGGACACTCGATATATGAGTGCTGTTGGCGAAAGAAGTCACACTGAATGTGAGACTGCTACTCGTGACAGCAGATTGAGGGCACGATGGACAAGGGGTCGTGGCATGAGCAGTGCTGGTACCAGCTGACTGACATGAGGGACACGGAGTCGAGGCTCCCGTAGTACCTGAAGTAGCCGAGTGGCTACATGAGGGACAAGGGCTTGGAGAGCTCGTGGCTGATCCCCCGCTGGCAGAAGCCGACTTGCTACACGAGGGGCACGGAGTCGAAGGATGGGTGCTAGTAGCCCCGCTGGCATGAGAGGTCTCGGAGGCAGACGCAGTGCTCGCAGAAGTAGCAGAGGACTGTCCAGGCACCGGAACGACGGGAACAACAGAGGTATGAGCACTGGCCGTGGCACTAGCAGTAGCACTGGATGCCGATGCAGCACCGCCAGTGGGAGCCGTAGTACTTGCTGAAGAAACAGAAGAGTGACCAGGAGCCGAGGCAATTGGTACCGCTGCAGTAGCGCTACCAGCGGGAGCAGCAGATGTTTGCGAGCTAGCACCGGAGGCTGCAGGGCTCGAGGCACTGGAAGCTTGACCTGGTGCTGCCGGAGCACCAGGAGCACCAGGTGCGGCCGTAGCAGAGCATACACAGTTGGATACCGTAACCGTGGAGATGATGGTGACGGGAGGACAAACTGCGGCCGAGGCTCCAGGTGCTCCAGGTGCTCCAGGTACCCCAGATGCGGCAGCACCTCCAGGACCAGTCACATTGGAACCAGGAGCCGGGGGAATGCTAACGACAGGAACACTGCCCGCATTAATGCAAGAGTCCGCATTTAGATAGACGGCCTTGCAACGAGTGACGGAAGTGCTGTTGGTGGTATAGATGTTCTTGCCACCGTTTTGGCCAGTCTCACAGGCAATGAAGTAGTCGCTGCCATGGAATTGCAATTGACCAGATGACGAGATGGAGAAGCCCGGAGTACCAGCTTTACCCTCATCACACTGGAACTGAGTAGTCTCCGCTGTGGGTGGGATTCTATTAGTTTTTAATGTTATTCAAGAATCTAGGGACTATACTCACGGGTAATGATACAACCCTTGCCGGTGCTGTCGGTAATGACACCGGTAGAGTTGATACAGAACGTAGATTGATTGAGGCTGTGGTCGCCAACCCGACTCTGGCCATCGGTCAGTTGGCCAAGGGGGCCAGTAACTTCTCCGGTGACGTTGAGATGGAAGCAGCAGGCCTGTTCAGCCCTTCCAAAGAGAGCAAGGCCATTAGCGCTCGCAGCAAAGGCTGCTAGAAAAAAGAAACATTTCATGATTCCAGAAGCGTATAGAGAGAGGGCCACTGGGTTAGGGAACGAGATGCCTCTTTAGAGACCGTTGATCTTATATTGATCTGAATATCCCTGCACGTCGATTCTGCGTGCCGACAATAATTTGCGACTAGATATTTCATCGTTGCTCTGGGAAATTTGGGTCTTCTTATAATTGGCAGTAGACTGGTGAGTTGGGGATCGCATCATTAGTGAGCAGGCAGGGTACTTGACCAATCGAGCAGAGGATTGGCACGCCCGCGAAGGATTCGGGTTATATCTCCGAGATATTGGTGAATAATATAGCAGGTAAAGGTGATTGAGCTGGTGGTTTGTCACGGGTGAGCTATGTCATTGTTCCTGTGGAGGGACCACGGCGAGCAAACATGCGGAACCTCGACCCAGCCGGACTGTTCCTCCGCAGCAATCAGAGATTAGACGTCATCTGATATACTCCAGATCAGGATGTGGAGATAGTTCCATTTTCTACCTGAGTCCTGGCGAGAGTGGGCAACGTCAAAACTGATCACTGCCGATGGCTCTTTCCGAATCCGGTAGATCATGAGGGCTTACCATGAAAATTGGTGTCAACTTTCTACGAATGTACTCTTATCCTCTTCTTCAGAAATCTAATGGTGATTCCTCCATAAAAATAAAATTGGATTGACTTGCAAATTACACGAATGCTAGCAGATTTCCCCTGATTGATGCGACGGGGTTCTTCTAATGCTCGGACCGAGCGGATGGCGGGAATCCCTTTCCATGGTTGGTATTCACTTTATTCCAATCTCATTGATCCCCGTATAATTCCTGGAGACGGTAAAATAGTACAGAGAGAAGGTTCACATTAACTTGGCTTTCCAATGAGGAGAGATATGCATAGACATGAGGAATTCTTCTCCGAAGAACACCCCACCACTCGATGCTCGATGATTCTCAAAGTGTTGATCTAGTACACACAACAACTCGAAATTTATCTCAAACGAAATGTAAATAGCTCAAAATTTCACAATAATCCCCCTTCTCTGCGACCGTGGCCAGCGGCTACCTAAAGCTTGATTTTCCTTGACATCATTATGGACAACCTCCCTACAAACGGCCGAGTAGGCTGAGAAAGACGTACAGCCTCCCCCATTCGTGATCAAAAGTCAAGCAGTTGTGTCATCAGCTACCGCTATTTTCAAATACAAACCCAAAGACATCCTAATAGATTCGAGTCGTGTCAATCCCGAAGTATATTTTTTGCACCAGCCCTTGAATTAACCATGGAGGCCATGCTGCTGGTGGTATATCCAGTCGCTCCATTTTTCTACGTACTCAAAGGCGGACGGCGCGCTTGAGATCAGTTTGGCTAAGTTGTATACACAATAATTAAATTAAAGATTTTGAGCAGATCTTCTACAGTCTAGAGGGTGGTAGGGGTCTCGGTAAGGAGACTCAATCTGGATATTCGCAGCCTTACTCTTGTGTCAGACTGACGATCGACGCGGTCTATAGAAACAATAATACTGCATTCCATGCCTTTATAGTAGAATTCCCATGGTGTCCGGCAAGTTCTTGTACCGAGAGACCCATCGGTGACGAAACAAGCCGCTCAACCTGATCAAGGAAATGAGCGGGAAACTGGTGAATCCAGTTCATCCGCATCGTCCCGAGGTCCAGGTACACCACTATCTGCGGGGACAATCCATGGGTAAATTATACGCATACCAGCTCCTTTCGGCTCCGCCGGACAGAAAGTTGAGACATCTTGACGGCATGTTATTCAAAGAGACTTACCACTGACTTGATTCTGCCAGTAATCGACATCTCAGCAATTACCTGACAATGGGATGACGATCGCAACGCATAATACGCACTCCTGTTCTTCTTCAAGGTAAAGCAGTTTTTTTTCATTATGCGGCCAGTACATTGTTCCAAGAAATAACGGTTATGCATTCGGGATGTCTTTGCAATCGTCATATCATGACCAAGGCCTCCAATCTTTATATTGATAAAAAGGGAGCATCAAGCTCAGATAGCAGCGAGTTCCAATCGAAAAGAGTAGATGGAGCAACGCTAGCATCAAACGTCTGCCAAAAATCCAACGAAGGGAGCGTAGGCTCAGTGAGCATTGATTCCATGTCGGCTGTGCCAGGTGTCACCGAGATTGTAGCTGGAACAGGGGGGTTAAGCCCATTGGCATTTCTTGATCTGGACGATCGTTTTTCGGAAGGTAACGGAACCTTGTTGCGTTGGAGGATGGAGTTGAAGGTGTCGAGGAGTTTGCCCGCGAATGAGGACTGACTTTTACCCTCTTCGAGAATTCTTAGCGCATCTTTGATTTCGTTTCGTCGCTCCCGGTCCTCATCCGGCTGGAGGCTCTTATTGTGGCAGAAATCCATCAACAATGCAATAATAGCCATGCATATACAGAGTAGACTTCCAGAGAATTTAAGTCTGGTCATAACAAAGGGGATATCTTCCGAGGATAACTGTAGTTCCATGCGAATAACCATTCGCGCCGCGTCAAGGCACGCATCTCTCGAATAAGAGTATAAGTTCTCTTGTCCGCGAGAGAGGTACGGCAAATGCAACCTGCAACGTTGCGTTTGTAGCATGGCATTAATGACGTATCGATGGACGATTATGGTAGGCGATCTGCAGGGACCGGACTCTGGTGTGTCACTCGTGTCATAATCCAAATGAAAGAACGGCGGTAATGCTTGACTGAATTCACATATCCTTCTATCAATCTCCTTGACCTGTGTGTAGTCTGGACTGCCGAGTTCAGTCTCCCATAAGCAAGACTGATCACTGATTTCTCGACAAATCTCTCCAAGGCGGATCCGCTGGATGAAATAAGACATGATCGTCGGTTGATCAAGTGGCTTGTCAATATTGATCATCCCATCAAAAAGATCTTCGTCGTTTGCATTGGATGGTTTCTTAGTTGCCATGTGACGAGGATTGATCATATAAATGCCTTTCTGCGAGCCACCAAACTGAGACATCTGCCTTGAACTCCAAGTTAGTTTTACCCATGTATAGTTCAGTCGAAAGGCATACCAGTCGGTTGCAACAAGATACCACCACACCCTTCTTCCAATTTCTGCTTGAACTGAGTTTGGATGAGGAACACTGAGCTCAGCATTGTGCTTGTGATCAATCCGATGTAATGACAGCTGCCATGCGATTGACACGGCCGTTGAGAAGAGATACCGAGCTTGAGAGGTGATGCCAACGATATTGCACACCACAAAAGCAACAATAATAAGAGCTTGAATATCCTCGATGGACTCCGAGCATGTAAAACGAGAATATTCCAGAACTTCAAAGGAAGCTGCCATCCATTTCTTCGATTGGTCATTAGCGCTCCTTACCGAGAGGAATACCGTTAAATCGTTGTGCATGTCTCGTTCGGTCCAAAAGAAGGCCGTGTTAGCCAAAATTGCTAGGAGCAAAGACACTTGGCCCAGTTTGACAGCGCTTTTTGTGGCGAGATTCTCATAGAGCTCATCCACAAGTGCCCGGACTGAGGGACCATGTACGACATGATGGAGGAATGTGATATCCGTGAGGTATTTATTGACTATTTGTTTTGACTCTTCGTGAAGCGGAAGCCAAACGATTTTGGTCGAATTCACCTCATGTCCATCTACCACAGGTGTGGGTATGGATGCTTCTTTTATGGAACATGTTTTGAACTCTGGTAAATCAAGTCAGCATGGGTTGAAATAATGCAATAGGGCTGATCCGAGTGGGAAACTGTTTACCGTATTCAGCAATGCATAGCCCTGCTGCTGGGCCTGGGTGTGTTATCTGCGACTCTAGCCATTCCACATCAACGGTAGAGGGATTCTCAGTGAAAGATGTTGAAATATCGCGTTTGCGACGAGAAGGAGGTGGTCCTGGTCGGGAACCACTCTGATCGGATGGCGACCGCGTAGGCTCCCGTTGGGTCATCACAATCTCCTCCAACTTGCGCAACCGGGCTAGCACATCCTGTTGAAAGTTCCCCGTGGGTTGATCGGAACTCTCATCGGCGCTGCTAGTCGACAAAACTGACGAGGACTCCAATTGGCATGGGAGTCCACGACTCGAGCAATTGACGCAGGGAAACTGTCGACTGCATCTCAGCTTCCGTGATCGACAGAACAGGCAAGAAACCGGGCGTGAGCGCGATGACCCTGTGCGATTCTTCTCAACCCGTCCCATGATGAATCCTGTATATTCATAGACTTTACAGTATTCGAAAAGTATTATCTGAACGAGGCTGCGCGATGAACTGGAGGTCTGCGGTCAACCAATGAGGGGGCGCCTTTCTCCGCGGAACTTCCGCGGCATCCGCCCGGAGTATCAATTGGAAGACTGAAATATGGGGGCCATGTGTGTAATATAAAAGTAAGGCTTTGTGCAGAAGCGAAACAACATCTTCTATCGTACAAGATACAGATTCAGCTTGAAACCTCAAACTCTACCGATCATCATCTCGACTCAAAATGGACGTCATCATCGATCAAATCCACGCTTTGGCCAAGACCTCTGACGAGGTCGGTCGTCTGGAAATTCAAAGAGCTCTGCATGATGTTCAAATGGAGATGCAAAGTCCCAAGGATCTCATGTACAATCTAGCAAACTCGGTTAGTTGCTCTGGTGTCCACTTTTGTGTTGGCTGTTGACTAATTTGCTTAGCAACTCCTCCTTGGGATTATTCGCCTTGGGGCTGACTTGAAGCTGTTCCGCATAATCGCTAGCCAGAATGGATCCGTGACTGTCTCCCAGCTGGCCAAGACTACTCAAGCATCTCCATTATTGCTAGGTGAGAGCTCTATCAGCTACCTCAGTATAGGAGGTCATTGAACTAACCCTGCCTCGCTCTCAAAGAGAGACTGCTCCGGTATCTCGCTTCGAACAGCATGATCAAGGAAACCGGTCTCAATGAATATCAGGCAAACAAAAATACTCACATCCTTGCTGATGAAAAGGGAGAGGCCATGGTGTACCACGGGTAAATATTCCCGGTCTTACGAAAGATCAATTTTTGATGAGAGTGATACTAAATCTTGGGCTATAGATTTGATTTCCATGGACCCATTGTCAGCGCAATGCCTGAATTTTTCAAAGAAAACAACTATCAAGACATTGATAGCACTACCAATACCCCCTTCCAAAAGGCTCACAATACTACGCTCAGTTCCTTTGAATGGTTTGTTCAGCACCCAAAGCATTTCGAGTCTTTGCAAAAGGTCATGACTGTACTTGAGGGTGCGGAGTGGACTGTCGGATTCGACCACTTGGATTTGGCGGCCAAAGCAGTCCCCTCTATCTCTCCTCGGCCTTCCGAGAAGCCCTTCTTTGTGGATGTAGGAGGTGGCCACGGACATCAGTGCATTCAGCTTGGCAAGAAATACCCGAACCTTCTAGGACGTCTTGTCCTTCAGGATCTTCCAGAGGCTATCAATAAGCTGCCCTTGATTGAGGGTGTGAAGGCTGAAGCTTATGACTTCTTCAAGAGGCAGCCCGTTACTGGTCAGTCGCTCTGATTTGCTTTTCTACTACGATCGTGGGTAGATTTTGACTATTTTTACCTTGATTAGGTGCCAAATTTTATTATCTTCGACGTATCCTGCACGATTGGCCCGATAAAGAGTGCACAAAGATTCTCCAAAACACCCTCGATGCCATGGATGCAGACTCCCGCATTCTCATTGATGACGTTGTCTTGCCGGATACTGGAGCCGTTTGGCAGGCGACGATGGCTGATATTTCCATGATGATTGGACTTGGAGGAAAGGAACGGACAGTCCATCAGTGGCATTCACTGGCCGGATCTGCAGGCTTGCGGGTTGAGCAAATCCATACCTACACTGCATCTACCTACACCTCTATTGTCGTCATGGCGCCGAAATAGGGCGGGTTGACGAATTAGGCGATGTATAGTAGCTAAGGCTAGATAGACACCCAATCTCCACATCTCAATATTTCTTATAGACAATACTTGATCATCCAACATCAATACTACTCTCGTGTGGCGCACCACCACATCATTCGCATCTTCTCATCCGCCCAAGGCATGTCCTTGGTCTGATCAATCTCTTCATTCCAGTAGAGACCGGCCTCGACCTTCCAGCACGATTGTGTAGCCTCTCCAACAGCAGCCCAGAAACGTTCCATTGTTTCCGGGTCGTGCCGGTAGTGCACCGCATTGTCCTTCATACCTGTCATGGTATAATGATCGCCTTTAGTACTTCTCATCTGCCGACCAGTGATCATGACACCCGACTTTGGACGACAGATCTTGACTAGCCGCGTTGCAACCTTGAACTGGGTGTCCCAATCCCACATGTGTAATAAAGAGCTCGCGAAGACGATATCGATCTTGCCATGTAGCTTCTGGAAGGGTTCACCATCATTAAATGTGGCTTCATCGGCATTAAGGTCACCGACGGCGAAGCTTGCCTTCAAGCGATCCGTGTCTCGAAAGAGACGGTAGCCGAGATCAATGAAGACTTGCTCTAGATCACACCCAAAGAGTTGTTCGCCCGCGATATCTTGGTCGGCTAAGACCGGATTTCCTGTCTAAAACAGCATCCAGCCTCGAGGAAACCGTAGGAAGGGTCGGCGCGAAGTCGTTCCAAACTCCGAGGCCAGAAAGGCATATGGGACAGGTTGAACGAGAGAAACCTCATCAGACCGATGCAAGCATAGTGGTAGATATCGAATGCCTCATCTCGCTGGTACAGAAACCCAGTCCGGAACAATCAAACAGGTGAGCAAGAAGAGCAAGAGGTTTTTACCAAGGACAAACCACGTGGGAGGACTTCTTCGGGTGCCAGGCTACTGTAAGTTTGAAGGAGTCGTTGAGCATCGTCATTGATGCTCTGGACATCCTTCTAGTACCGTTCGAGTCTCTTCGCTTCGGACCACATTGTTAGAACGAGAAGGGGATTGAAAAGGACTGTACAGTAAGAAGATGAACGGACGAAATACTTGTTTGAAGCAGGCGAGGAACCCTTGCCCTGCGTATATGGGGTCTATTGCAGCCGCGTTGAGCTGCGCTAAGCAACGCTAAGCATCGCCTGATCGGCACCAAGTGCTCGTCCGCCTCTCGAGACAAGTGTTCCAGGAGATTGATATACTATACAGCTCATAAAGAGGTTTATGTTGAAGATTCCATCCGACGTAGGGTAAGATGCGAAGAAAACAAATGCAGGGGCTCAAAAAATATTGTACATGATCTCCTCAAATACCAAACAACGTCACATCACAGCTTGCCTCCAGTAATCTGCTCGCCCAGCTTCTTGACCCGGTCTTGAGTGACATCCCAGCGAGCAGTCTCGCTCTTCCGAGTCTCGTTGACGATGGACTGAACAGTAGGCGGCATGCCCAAGTTCCAGATATTCTCGCCGTGCTGGTGGTCGTTGCGCCAGGCCTCGTTTTCGCCCTCGGGGAACACGCGGTCGATCTCGGCGGCAAGTTGCTCTTCGGTAGTGATGAAGGTACGGGCGTTCATATATAGAGACTGCAGGTGATCGCGGCGCACCGCATCTTTTTCGGCCTGCTTGGCCTCCATCCGCGCCCGCGAAAGAACCAAAGTCTGTTCCCGGTTAGGGTCCGCCAGGATTGTGTGTGGCTGAGGCTGCATTGCAGAAACGACGGATGGCCGAGTCAAGCGCTCATCTTCCGGCTCCGGTTGTTGAAGGATGCGTTCACGTCGCCTCTGGTTCTCGAGACTGCGGTTGAACATGGTCTCCTCCGCTACTTGCTTCCGCTTGTACAGTGTCTGCAGACCTTCCCGCAGATTCTTGCGCCGCAAAACCGCCATCTTCAGCTTGAAGGCCTGCTTCTCGGGGTCGCTGCTTTTCGGGTTGACGGTACGCTCGGACGAGGGAAGTGGTGTCACGGCATCGAGGTATGCTTTGCGAGGCTTGTCCGTACGACGAGCCGGGAAGAGCTCGCGGGGAACTGGGAGGGTACCCTGGACGCGAGGCTTGGCGGGATTGCTAGCCTGAACGATTCGGGGGACATCGATGAAATGAGGGGACTCGGGTCCGACTCGAAGATTTGGTGAAGTTGCGAAGCCACGGACCTGCACGCTGGCAGTCCGGCTGGTGCGGAGGACGGACATACTGCGCCAATTGCACCTTGAGTTCGTCCCAAGGAGAGCAAATTGGGATGGAAGTTGGGGAGGGGTATGTTCGATTCAATGAAACAATTCCCAATCAGTCAAAAAGACCGACGCGTCTGGCTTCTGGAAAGGAGGACTCTCGGCAGAGCAGGAGTCCAGCGCCGGAAGAAACAGAAGCGATTTTGCCATGGTCCGTGCACTCTCATTTCTTGGCGCCCTAAAAAAAATCACCTCTCCGCCTTTTTTTTTCCTTTCCCTCTTTTTCTTCGCGCTCTGCCACTACTTTTTGTTTTGGTCTACCTTCGAAATTTTTTCGCAAGGTCGAAATATTTTCACACTCTTGAAGACCACAAGAGATCCCAAACATGGGTACAGGCAAGAAGGAGGCCTCACGTAAAGTGAGGCAGGGGAAGGTTGACGATGGCATGGCCAACGTGCGGATGAAAGGTGAAAATTTCTACCGGTAGGTCTCTCGTGCCAATCAGTTGAAATGAGAGAGGCAGCCAAGGCTGACATGTTCTCTATCCAGCGATGCCAAGAAGATCAAGACGTTGAACATGTTCAAGGATGGCAAGGCTCGACGCAACGCCGCGGGTGAAATCACCGTTGCCGCCTCCTACCAATCTCGTGATGCCCCCGTTGCTCGTATTGAGCCCAACCGGAAATGGTTCGGTAACACTCGGGTTATCTCCCAGGAGGCCTTGACTTCTTTCCGCGAGGCTGTCGCTGAGCGTGCGTCTGATCCGTACCAGGTGCTGCTGAAGACCAACAAGCTCCCCATGAGCTTGATCCACGATAACAAGGGCGTGAACGGTCTGAAGCAGCATCAGGCTAAGATGGAGATCGAGAACAACCCATTCGGCGATACCTTTGGACCCAAGGCCCAGCGCAAGCGTGTCAAGCTGGGAGTTACTTCTCTGGAAGATCTCGCCGGCGAAACCGCCAAGGTGCACGACTCATACCTCGAGAAGACGGACCAGGGCACCCACGAGGATGGTACCCCCATCGTCGCTAGTGATGTCGGTGCGGTGGAAGATACCACCTTCACCACTGCTCGTGAGTCTGTCTTCTCCAAGGGTCAGAGTAAGCGTATCTGGAACGAGCTGTACAAGGTCATTGACTCATCTGACGTTGTTATCCACGTTCTGGATGCCCGTGACCCCGTTGGCACTCGCTGCCGCAGTGTTGAAAAATACATCCGCGAGGAAGCACCCCACAAGCATCTGATCTTTGTCTTGAACAAGACCGACCTGGTTCCTACTGGTGTTGCTGTAAGTGTCACATTTCTTCCCCTTTCGTTTCACTCGTACTATTCCCAATTCTCGTTCTGTTATTTTCTTCCCTTTTGCGGTTTGTTTTTTGGTTTTTCTTGCTTTCTTCCGGCCATCAAGCCGTTCCATCGCTAAGTCAAGGCTTCTTCCTGCGACTCATGTCGTGTTTTCTTTCAATGGAGGTCTGTCTGTTACAGCTTTGGTAGATCGACAATGTCCCGCACCAAACTTCTTTCTGAAGCGAGGTTGACTGGCCTTCGTCTTGAAGGCCAATCGTAAGGGTCATACGTGTTTTGTTTAAGAGTTGAGTTCTACTACTGCCTTTTTTGGTGGCTTGATAGTTGAACTCTTAGTAACATCCCACACATTCCCGATTGTTTTCATATACATTCTTTGGTGACTGCTTGCTAACATGGCATCTTCCACCAGGCTGCTTGGGTTCGTCATCTGTCTAAGGACTACCCGACTCTTGCGTTCCACGCATCTATCAACAACTCCTTTGGCAAGGGTTCTTTGATCCAGCTTCTCCGCCAGTTCTCTGCCCTGCACTCGGACCGTAAGCAAATCTCGGTTGGTTTGATTGGATATCCCAACACGGGCAAGTCCTCCATCATCAACACTCTTCGCAAGAAGAAGGTCTGCACGGTCGCTCCTATCCCTGGCGAGACCAAGGTGTGGCAGTATGTCACTCTGATGAAGCGCATCTACCTCATCGACTGCCCTGGTGTTGTCCCGCCCAACCAGAACGACACTGAAGAGGATATTCTTCTGCGTGGTGTTTGCCGTGTCGAGAACGTGGAGAACCCTGAGCAGTACATTCCCGCTGTCCTACGTCGTGTCCAGCCCCGCCACCTAGAGCGCACCTATGGCATCAAGGAGCCCCAGGATGCCATCGACTTCCTCAGCCGACTTGCTCGCAAGGGTGGTCGTCTGTTGAGGGGAGGCGAGCCTGACTTGGATGGTGTGGCCAAGATGGTTATCAACGATTTCCTTCGCGGAAAGATCCCTTGGTACACTCCTCCCCCCAAGGGAGACGGTGGCGACAACGAGAAGATCGAGGGTCGTGAGGGCCGCCTGGGCGAGATGGGTCGCAAGCGCAAGCTGGATGAGACTGCCTCTGAGCCCGCCGATGAAGCCGAGTCTTCCGAGTCGAAGGCTGACGGTGAATTCGAAGGCTTTGACGATGAGGATGACGACGATGATTCCATCGCGAACCTCGAGATCAGCGATGTCGAGAGCGGCGAGGAGGATTGAAGGTACAATGGGCTTCGGTTCATCCCTGAACCAGCCATTGACTGCGTGTCTCCTGAAACATCACATGCTCCGTGCTACCTCTATGACTTAAAGAGGATCCAGTCGCCGATTCGCGCTTCCAGCGGCCACCCAAGCTGAGCCGTGCCGCGAACGTCCCGGGTACCTACCCATACTTTGGGAACGGGGAAGGCCAAGCTTCCTTCCACGTTATCTACCAGATGGCAAGATCAAGCTGCCTTCTCAGCGCAGCCCAGAATCGCCAGCATCCATGAAAAATGCGTGTTCGGCTCAGATCTCGCCAAGCTCCATCGCTAGGGCGCTCACTTCTTAAGATACCCACGATTTCAAAAGAAATCGAATAAAAGGTTCACTTTCTCTCCGGACATTCCTTCTCAAATTATACACAGATGTAGATTTTGCTTCGTATAGGTATATTCGAGTAAAGAACGTAAATAAGCAGCTCGTCGTTGGCTCAGCCACAGATCGGCTTGGAGATCTCACCGCCCTCGGCGTGGGGTTTCACCTTCGTCATCTCTCGGCTTCAAGCTGCACGCGACCGTCGCATAACGACTGAACGTCTAAATCTGCTTTGCTGTCTCCCGCAATGACGACAAAGTCATGCCGGACGACATGTCTATGATTCCCTACAATGGGGGCAACCTGGATGTTGTGCTGTACGTTCCAGTGCTTCCTACCACCTTCCGAAGCTAACAACGCGCAGCCGGCATAATGACTCGGTTGTCGTGTTTGACCATGATTCCCAGCAGCTAGCTCTCCGAAACACAGCAGATGATCATGATGGAAATCTAGAACTTGCAAATTGTCCCCTATGTCACCGGCCAATGCATGAAAGCAGCCGAGGAAGGCATCGTGGGAGTACAGACCCAGAGGCGGAATTCATCAACCCAAACTACTTTCGCATGCTTAACAACAGCTTGCCAAGCTCTGCAAGCTCATCGAGACCCTGTTCGCCGCGCCGTCGTCTAGTTCAGTCTGCCATCCCGGACGGTCCCACCAGCACGCCATCTTCTGGACCTGCCCCAACCAGCCAAGGAATATCCTCGTCAGCATTCAGTCCAGACTACTTCAAGCGATTTTTTGTGGAAGAAAAAGTTCTTGGAAAAGGTGGAAAGGGCGTGGTCCTGCTTGTGAAACACGTATTGGATGGCGTCTCTCTCGGCCATTTCGCCTGCAAACGTGTCCCAGTCGGTGACGATCACGAATGGCTGGAAAAGGTGCTGGGCGAAGTACAACTATTACAAAACCTTTCCCATCAAAACCTCGTCTCTTATCGCCATGTCTGGCTTGAGAACGCTAGAATCAGCACATTCGGGCCTAGTGTACCATGCGCCTTTATCATACAGCAATATTGCAATGCGGGTGACCTACACAACTACATCTGCGGTGCGATTCAAACAACCACAACGGCTCAACAGCTCAAGGATCGACTTCGAAGAAAGTCAAAGGGGGAGCCAGAGGTAAAACCCGAGGTGGGAGGGCCTCGTATGCTTCAGTTGGATGAAATTTACTCCTTCTTCAGAGATATCACAGCCGGATTACGCCATCTGCACATGAATGGCTATATCCATCGTGACTTGAAGCCAAACAATTGCCTTCTTCACGAGACAAGCGACGGCATTCGAGTACTAGTCAGTGACTTTGGTGAAGTCCAATCACAGAACGCAATGCGCAAGTCAACAGGCGCCACGGGAACAGTCTCTTACTGTGCCCCTGAAGTTCTTCGACAAGAATACCCCGGTGGTCCATTCGGGAATTTCACTTTCAAATCCGACATATTCTCACTGGGAATGATTCTGTACTTCTTGTGTTTCGGAGAACTTCCCTACCGCAGTGCCGATATTCTCAACGAAGACAATGAAGACTTGGATCAGCTCCGCGACGAGATTACACATTGGACCGGGTTCGACAATGCTCGGAGGAGAAGACCCGATCTTCCTGCCAAGCTCTACTCTTTTCTGGACCAATTACTCTCTGTGGACCCAGATCGACGTCCGACTGCGGACGATGTTTTGAATGGCATTCAAGCTGCGAACAACGCCGGTGAGAATTTCCGATTCAAACGCAACAGTTCAGCTAGCCCTGACTTGCCCGGGTCAACTCGAATCCGCACAGTCGAGAGCCCAGGCCCACAACCAGGCATGGAAAGAGCCCTCTCGCCCATCAAAAAGAAGATTGCACGAAGTCCCGTGTCATTGAGGCGTGACTCAATGTTTGACTTGCCATCTGGGCCCAGCGGCGGCCCAGCACCAGAGACGGTCTTGGCACACAGGCCCTCAATAACCTCTGACAAAGACCTAGTAATGCGGCGATATTCTACCTCTCCGCCAAATGCATCCACAAGACCAATCCACGCACACGGGGAGTCTATCAACTCACCAGCCCAGCCTATCACTCGTACACGGCAACTCCTTCCGCCACCTCCCACTTCATCCACATTCTTGAGCTACATAAGTGATTCGAGCCTTTTCCCGGGCTTAAAAGTCTCATTTTTCTTGGTCAAGGTGGTTACTGTCTTGCATCCCTGCTCACCCGTAGCAGTCAGACCCTGGTTCCTTTACCCCCTTCTTCTGCTGGCAGCGATTACCTTGCAGGTGCATGATGTACGTGTGCAAGCTTTATCAACGGTAGCACACGTGCTTCTTGTAGTGCTTGCGATGAAATTTGGGTTACTTTGTACATGGCATGGCGACTATGCTATGGGACTTTGATATTGCCCCCGTTCTGTGTTAATATGAGATACGATTATGCTACCAGGAAAACTTTTGAATGAGCATCCAATACATTAGGCCAGATCTGTGAGCCTGCTTCAAATACACAAGCTTGTATTTCTTAAGATTCTCAACACATATGTCGTTCTAAAACCACGATCCTCAATCTAAAAATAATCTAGAATTGTCGGGGGAGAAAAAAATAACGGCATCTCCATTATCTTGGATCCCTACCAGGTTGATCTCACAAGAAAAAAATGCCCGTAAGTACTGTCCTTGCGGACGAGCACAATACAGACAAATCCATCAAGCTGGAAAAGCTCAGAAGGGGCCCAAAGGTGATGCAGCCAGAGATGTCCCCGAATAATATTGATCTTGGAAGTTTGTGATGGATGTGCCATGTTGCTTCTTGAGGAAGAGACATATCCATTTTTGCCACGGTAGAGACCATGACAGCACATGTTCCTGTGTTGCTAACCTTGCGGGGAAACAATGGAGAAGAAGAAATAAGGTTGTAGATATAGATGGCCGATCAGTACCTACGAAAGACCAAGGTGAATAATCATAAACATAATATATCGTCTAAATTTTGGTATTTGTAGCCAAATTGACACTTGGACATTTTTCAAAAGCAGACAGAGCTAAGGTCGCAGCCGTGCAGCCTTGAACCGGCTCACGCGTTGAGCCGGCTCCTCAACAGGGACAAACTCCGGCTCTTCCTCATTGACGAAGCCACCCTGCTGTTGGATCTTGCTATTCCGCATTCTGTAAAACTCAGAAGCAATCTCGCGGCGGTGGATCTCTTCGTTCAACTCGTCTGGTTCAGGAGCCGTGATGGATCCAGGAGCAATATCTCGCTCGACCAGCTTGTCGGCTAGGGTCTTGCCCTCTGGAGGTGTGGGAGCTGATGGTCCAACAGGAATGTCCATGATTGGCGTGGAGAAGGGCTTTGGCTCATGAGGGGTAGCAGGGAACAAACCAGGGGGCGTTGCTGATGGGAGGCCGTTGGTTTGCTTCCGGGAGGTCTGGGTTCCGGAAATCTGAGGGGGCAATTGGGAAGATGCTGGTTTGGCGGGTGATTCGAAAGTGGTAGCCGCAGGATCAACTATGCGAGCGCTCTTGAAGCGAGAGGCCTTCTTGGGCCCATTGGATGGTGCTGGTTTAGACTCCTTTGGCTGCTCTGTACGCTCAACGATAGCATCGGAGAGGACCTGGACGGTTGCCTGAGGCTTTGGCGCAGGAGGCTTCTTGTCAACTACAGCGGGCTTGGATGCTGGCGCGATATCCAAATCATCCGCAAAAGCGACCTTCTTTTTCGGTTTCTTGCCCTTCTCAGAGCTATCAATCTTTGCATTCTCTTGAGCAGGTTCCGTGGCAGAGTTTTCAATCTCCAGTCGAACTTCCTCAGGGAAAGTCTGAGTGTCCTTGCCCAGATTGGTCATGCCTCTCGCGTTAAGTTTGGCTTCCAACTCCCGCATTTGTCGGTGGTATTCCTCGGACAACTCGAGGTGTGACCGGCCATATTCGTCTTCATCCTCGTCTTCAGTGCCCATGTCGTACTCATCGTCTGAAATAGAGAATTCGCTGCCATCCTCATCCAGCTCCAGCTCTGCAACGATTGCGCCAACTTCGTGGATGCCGTATTCCAGCATTTCTCGTCGGAGTGTTGCCTCGTCGGCGGGTTCGTCGATATCGGTAACTGGGGATTGTGCACGATCCTCTGGCGTGACAAGCGACACTGGTTTCGACAGGTCCAGCTCGTCTTCCTGGGATACATCGTTTCGGTTCGAGGAGGAGACGTGTCCATTTGAGATCACCTCAGACTGCTCTTTGGTCTGATCCTCCTCCGCCGCATCTGCCTTCTCTTCTCGGGTAGCTGAGCTAGGTCCAGCAGTGCTCTCGCTTTGCTGAGAGGCGTCCGGGATATCATCAACACCAGCTTTCTTCAGGGCTTCTAGGAGGGCGGGTGCGTGATCTCCGGGAGTGTTAACTGAGCTGGAAATCACATTTCCTTCCTCGTCAAGCTCTTCCACAATTTCACTCATGGGAAATCCTTGATCGCCAGAGATATCCACAGGAAGCTGGTCGTTCGAGTCCAATGTGTACAACTCATCCTCAACTTTTCGAAGCCTCTTCTCAATTGTCGCGGCATTCTGCTTCACGTAATCGATCCGTCTGCCGAGAAGGTCGACAACTTGGGTACGGGATCGCGTGACGCCTGCTTCGGTTCGAAGGATGGTCTGGATTTCCTTCTCGTTCACCAACGATCCTTCGTATTGGCGCGCAACGGCGAGAAAGTCATCGGATGTGGCATCATCGTTCAGCTCGTTGATTTCCTCTCGAAGGCCATCGTATTCTGCCTCCCAGGTTCGCCAGTGGTAAAGGGACTTTTGGAGTTCGGAGATATTGTCTTCGAGCGCGAGTCGCCGCTGCTCGAGGTCGTCGAGGTTGTGATTCGGGATACCCATAGTGTCCTCAGTGATAGTCGGTCTCGTCAAGCGTCATATAACTCACTTCATTTCACACAGATCTGAGAGAGAAGTGCAGTGACCGGAGGGGCAAAAAAAAAGAAGAACGCCGAAGACCGAAGACTTGGTCCGTGCACGTGGTGGGCCCGCCTTTATCTCCAGCTTAAGCTCATCTCCGCCGCCTTTCACCTTCCGGCAGACTACAACACACCACCATGGCGTCCAAGAATGGGATCGACCGTCGGGATGAGGATGGTAAGCTCATACTGACATGGCTTTTAATATAACACTGCTAATATGTTCTTTGATAGAGGTCTGCCCCGTCTGCAAGTCCTCACGGTATCTCAACCCGAACATGCGATTTCTCATCAACCCAGAATGCTACCACAAGATGTGCGAGTCCTGCGTCGACCGAATATTCTCGTCTGGCCCAGCCAGTTGCCCCGTCGCAGGATGCCGCAAGACCCTTCGAAAGAACCGCTTCCGCCAGCAGACCTTCGAGGACATTGGAGTTGAGCGAGAAGTGGATATCCGGCGGCGTGTGATGCACATGTAGGTCACTTTCCTCCACACAACCATACTAGAAATTTTTCTAACAAGATCTCTTCCAGCCTCAATCGCCGTGAAGAAGAATTCGATTCCAAGCGCGCCTACGACGATTTCCTCGAACAACGCGAAGAAATAATCGCCAACCTAGTATGCCGAATCGACGTGGCGAGAACAGAAGCCCAGCTCCAAGCCTACGCACAAGAGAACATGCAATCAATAAAAGCAAACCAAGCACTCGAAGAACAAGAGGCAACGTCATTCCAAAAGAAGATCCTCCTGGAACAAGAAGAGGCCCGAATGCGCCAACAAATCGCCAGAGAGGAATACGAGAACGAGCGCCGCGAGCAACAGGCTACACGAGAAGACTTCCTTACCCGACTTGCATCCGGCTCTGCTGCAGATGCAGCTGCCATCGCTCGCGAGGGACATAAAGTGCACCTCAAGAAGTCTTCTGCACGGCGCAGCGAGGAGGATCGTATTCGGCAGAAACAGGCTGCTCTTCGCGGGACGGAGGTCAAGCGTACTGGTACACCTCTTACGGCGGCGGATACTGCCGGTGCTACACCTGGAGCTGGACTTATCAAGGGTCTGCGGAAGATCAAGACTCCCGAGCCAGAGAAGCCGTACGATCCGTTTATGGGTCTTGTGCCTGGAAAGCGCGATTACTACACTCAACTGGAGTCCTATCCGTATGCCTTTTTGGACAAACTCCGGTCAGATACGACTGTCCAGGCTGGTGGGTACGATCTGCAGGAGTATTATTCGCGCACTCTTTTGGAGGCATTTGCTGGTCTGGGCTGCTTTGTTCAGGAAGAGGTTGCACAGCGTGATGCTACTTCGTCTCTAGGGATGTCAAAGCCTGCTTCTACTGAGGGAGCTGCGATGGCTGCCGTTGGTAAAAACGCTGCATAATTGATATTAGGGAAATTGGCATAGCGATGGCGTTTTTATTTGACTTTTCTATACCAAACACTAGGTAGTTTGAAATACAACTATTGAATTGAATGAAGAATGAGCATCTTATTTCTGCGCTATGGGGCCTTTCTTCAAAGTGTGACACGCTTCTTTACAACCTCTGATTTAATGGTCAACCTTCGGTAATCGAGAAGAAAGAAAAAACTCGCAGTGGAAAATGCAAAACTCCAGTAGGAATACCATTCACAGAAATAGTAGAGTCGCCAATAGCTAAAAAAAGAACCCACAGAATCCGAACACCAAAATTTATGTGCGACCAGTCAACTCCGCAGTGCTTTCAATACCCTCCCAGGGTAAGTCATCTTCATCTTCATCCTCCAAATCGACCAGACCAGAACGAGACTTGGCGCTGTTCGCGGTCACATCAATGCCAATAGATTCCAAGGTAATATCAAGGTCTCGCTTCGTGATCTCTCCCTTGCAAGTTTCGAGAACATCGTAAAGGGCATAGATCTGATCAGACTTCAGATCAATGTCCTTGAGCACAGTCTCGATCTTCTGCATGACTGCTTTGCGCTGGCGTTTGCCGAGCGATGCGTCAAGCTTGTTGTAGGCACTTTGGTAAGAAGCAAGTTGCATCTTCAGGTGAGAGAGTTCGTCCTCCAGTGTCTTGAGAACGGTGGCCAGGGCAACAGCAGGGGGCTGAGAGGGACGCATTGTCGGGTCTTCTGTTGCTGGCATGCGCTCTGAAACGGGGATGGGCTTAGGGATCTTGACAGCCTCGTGGTTGCAAGGGCCTTCATGAGGAAGGACGTTCTTGCAAATCATGCAGTTGTTTCCGTCATGCTGGGCGATGTTGTCCAGAACTCGCTGAGCTGACTCGGGCAGGCGAGAGGGGTTGTTGCCCGCCAGCTCTGCGCGGCTCAGGGTGATGTCAGGTAGAATGAAGGCCGAGGTCATGTCTTCAATGTTCCTGCGCTTCTTACGTTGTGACAATGAAGCCACGGAGTGGTCTGAGTGACGCCTCGGCCGTTCGGCAGTGGGAACGACGAGACTGGTGTCGCCATCCGTGGTAGCTGCCGATCTGGTGGTGACATCGCCGGCAGCTGACGCAGGGCGGGAGATGATGGGCTTGGGTTCACGGAGGGATGATTTGCGAGGAAGAGGGGCCTTGAGGATGCTCTGGCGGGTTGAGTTCACAGTCTCGGTGGCAGTAGTGTCTTTTGTGGCACTGGACCGGCGCTGCTTGCGCGACAATCGTTCTTCCTCCAATGTTTTCCGAAGCCGGGCAATTTCATGTTCCTGTAACGTCAATAGTTAGCAATGTGTTAATATCAAGGATGCTGGCAGTTCAGCAACTCACATCAATAACGCTCAGCAGCGTAAGGTCCTCGGCATCTGACGACGCCTTCGTCTGTTCAGTAGACTCAACAGCGCTGCTTATATCTTCCAAAATGACACGCTTAACGCGCTGCTTAGAGGTATTTGGCTGTTTCCTGGATCCCTTAGATTCAGAATGGCCAGATTTACCCGACTTGGATGTTGATGCCCGCTTTGAAGTAGGCATGACAATCGAGAACAGGGCCTCCTCTGCGCGCTCCTTCTCAAGGCGAGAGATCTCCTTATCCACCTGAGTCGAGACCTTGGCCCGAGAGTCATTCTGACGCTTGGACTTCAAATTTTTGCGGCTGCTCTTGGAGGTAAGGTTCCTTGTGCTGCGGCTCACGTCTGTGCTATACACATTGCTATCATCAGCATCAGAAGCGGAGATGCTTGAATCCGTTTCTGAAACCTCCTGATCGCGAGACTTGCCCGAGACACGGGCCAGCTGAGACTTGAGGCTTGTATTTTCTTCGCGCAGTTGATCATTCTCGGCCTTGAGTTCTCTGGTTTCAAGATATGCCACGCCCAATTGAGAAATGGCAGATTCTCTCTCGTGGTTGAGGCGTTTGACCGCTGCATCTTGGACTTGAGATTTGCGGTCGGCGATATCCAATTGATTCTGTAGAGCTATATTGGCAGCTTCAAGCTCTGTAAGGCAATGTTAGCTTATGAAGACCCTCTGGGAACAAGGTATGCTTACTCTGAATTTCTGAATTCAGACGCTTTGAGCTCTTCTTATAGTCGACATCCTCCACTGCATACTTGTCGGAATTCCGAGACCGGCTAGCCTTGAGCAATGCATTTTCCTCCCGGTAGTTTTCAATTCGTCTCTCCGCGTCAGATTTGTACATCTCCAACTCTGCGACCTTATCCTGCAGGAGTCGGAGGGAAACAAACAACGCCTTCTCATCTTCGGGGATTGGAACAGCATCGAGAGGCATATGTTCACGCGAAAAGGAAACATCGGTCGCGTCGTGAGGTGGTGACACGAATCGAGTAGAGCGCATCTTGTGCTGACGAGGGAAGACGGGCGTGCCATCCTCATACACACCCGAAACGAGCTCTGAGATATTGGGGAGATCGGGAAGGAGGAAGGACTGGCGCGTCATAGTATCGCCCATCGTGTTGGTGTGGTTGTTGCTTGCCTTGCGGGGAGTGCCACCACCACTGGCTTTACGCATCTCTTTCGCGTAGGCTTCCCGCGAAGCACGCTCGACCGCATCGGCAATTTCTTGGGAGTTGTTTAGGTTACCGAAACGCGTTGATCGCGTGTTGGTTGTAACTGGGGCCGGACGTTCATCTCCGATGAATGACCCGTCGTAGTTATCGCGTACTTTCGCGTGCATCTCCGACAGTGTCCTCCGCTGGTCGCGTTGTGATTTGCCAGACACTTGGGGGCTCATGGTTTCCTTCTGTGCTTGAGTTGCGCGTCGCAATTGAGCATCTTTTCGGAGGTTCTCGCTCACGGCGCGTCGGGCTGTCGTACGCGCGGCAGGTTGCTTCTGGGGGGTCGGGTAGTCGACGCGAACGGCTGGGGAGGAGGAGCGAATGCTATTCTGGAACGACATGATGGAGTCGCGAGAGTCATCGAGGCGACGAGAGGGTTTGCCCGAGGGGCCACGGCCCATCTCCATGGACAGTTCACTGACATCAGACATGGTGTCGCGGTCCAGATTTCTGTGTTGTTCTGCTTCGTTGTCTTCTTCCTCCGATGTGGGTAACTGAGAAAACTCGGGAAAGGCGCGCTCCAAAGTTGACGTGTTGATCACAAAGTCTGGCTCCTCTTCTTCTTCGTGGGAGCGTCTCATGTTGGGAAGCTGCGGACTGCCGAACTCGCGGGTGGATGCCAACGCTTCGTGTTCAGGGTCGAAGTCGGACACGGTAAAATCCAATTCTGAAAGAGGCATACTCAAGATCTCGGGCTGAAAAACAGACCGAAGTAATTTAGAGCTTGAGAGGCCGGTAGGTGGACATGAAGTAACCTGATACCCGGACGAGGTTGTTGACGGGCGGTTTTGTTTTGGAGGCTGGGAATGTTTTGGTCGCGCGTCTTGGCCAATCACCCGCGATGCCCCCGCCCGTCCCGCTCCACTATACCACTCTAGAGTATATCACTACCATCAACACCGTTATTCAAAGGCAACACTTGGTTATATGAATTGTTTGTCTCTCTAATTTGGATTTTGGAGACTCTGTCTTCTCTTTTCAAGTCATAACTTGCAATTACAAAGGCTGCTACTTTATTTATCAGGACCTGAGACTCGGGTATTGGACTAACCACGGAGATATATACATCAGCGTGCAGTACACTCTACCTTTATTCTATTTAGCAAAACTTACATCCAAAAACATGGACGAATGCCAGAGCATATCCCAGGCTGCCCACCATCTCTAGGTTAGACAGCCCTTCGATTTGCGTCTAGGGGATAGAACCATAGATATTTCCCAAAGCATGGACTGGGCAGCCGAAGTTGCACAACTCTATCTTGACTAAAACGAGATTGATACCACTATTTAGATATCCCTAGAATACCGTCTTTTAAAATAGGTAGATTGATTTCATTTGTTCTATCTAAATGTTCAACATTTAAAATCCCAAAGCCCCTCCCAGCAAACCACGCATCCTACCCACTGGTGGCACAGAAAGCCCACCAGAATCCCGCGGCAACCGAAAAGACCAGCCAATTCCAACCCAAAACGCCATGCTCTTCAGAAAAGCAACGAGCTCAATAAGGCGCTCAAAGCAGAAACCAAATGAAAACAAAACAAAAAGCAGGGGTGCTAGTACAATCGTGAATATCGTGCTCATTAATATGGGGTTGGGAGAATGTGTCAGCCCGTCCGAATACGCTCAGACGACTCTAGAATTTACCCGGGCAGGGGAAATTCATCATCATGTAGAGGTATGCCCAGTTGTTGGTCCCTGATTATTGACAGGGGCATTGTCTGACGCAGCGGTCGTCTCCGTTGCTTCTGTTGAAGTTGCCGGGTTCGGAGGGTGGGGTAGAGACTCCTCTAGGGTCTGAGGTGCCGTAGGTGTGACCGGAGAAAACGTGATTGGACTGGCGATATTCACATGGATAGATGGTAATCGCATGATTCCCGGTAGCTGCTGCTCATCCCGCGGGTTTGTAGGACTTTCGTAGGCAGGTGCTTCACCCCACTCAAGGTGGTCGTACTCGGGTGGCGGTGGTATATTGAGGGTACCTAGGTCTCCCTCCTCGACTGCCTGAGAGACTGGTCGAATAGATGATCCGCGAGTTGAAGTAGGGCGGAGAGCCAGCGGATCTGCCTCGTTAGACAGTGTGGATGCAAACGACTCCACTCGTGAGCGGGTGCTGGGAGGATCCGTCAACGAAGGCGATGATGCATGCATGGCAGCATTCTGAAGGAGAGGGTGGTGGTCGGAATCGGAGGCATGTGAATCAGCTCGAAGACGGGATCCATCGTGTCGAACGTGGCCGATATCAGCGTAACTGACGCTGGCAATACGTCGATCTCTTTCGCGGGATTGGTGCTCGGCAATGACGGCCGATGCAGTGAGTGAAGTGTTGCTTTCGGTAGCCTCACGGCGACGTCGGCTTCGAGCACGGGATTCTTCGTTGAGCTGCTCTAGACGGATTGAATCACCTCGAGCACGGGCTTCCCGGCGTTCCCGACGGCGAGTCTCGCGATCGGCTAGTTCCTGTCGACGTTGTACGCGGAGTTGATAGAGGGCTTCCATCTGATCTTCGCGGCGTGATTCTTGTTCCTCGGCCGTCTCCGGAAACTCGACGACCATATCCATGCCGGCTCGTTCTCCCTCACGAGCGATAATTTGCTCGGTCGGTTTTGGACTCGCCGAGTACGGTGGTAAGGTTATAATAGATCGGATGGACGTTTCCCGGCGCGGACCACTGTTGTGATTGCGATTGTTGTTGGAGCCGATAGTGGCCATTTCGGGGCCCGATCCCCGATAGGAGGTGTCCTGATCATTGTTTTGACCACTTTGGTTCGGTACCTGTCCATAAGAGGCACTTCCGGGACACCATTGCTTCCATTTCCGCTTCAAGGTCTGACCGGGAATGTACTTGGGCTCATAGTAGCGCTGTCGAAGCCACCTAGCGCCGAAATAGAGGCAAACGCAGACGGCAAGGACGAAGATGATGACCGAGGCGCACTAGAAGATAAGGCCAGGTTAGTATTCTGAAGCACGAGACTAGAGATTCGAACGATGCGACCGCATCAAATGGTGATGGAGGTGGTCGGATCAGCTCGGAAGCACCAGATCAACATACGATGATGAAGACGCTATTCTTGCGGCTGAGGTCCCGTTTCCGTGGAATGTACATGGTGGGAGGCACGGGCAGCGGGCCCTAGAGATCTCCCCGAGGCATGGAAGACCCCCCAGATATGGAAGCAGTCAAAGGAATGATGAAAGAGTAAAAGAAGGAGGAAGACTAGGAAGGAGAAGCGGAGTCCAGCAGGGTAATCTGAAGAGTAATAAATTCTAGGCACGAGTGGAGTAGGCAAGAAGCTCAGAGACTTGCCTATAATTATCCACGATGGAAAACAAAGTGGAGCGGCGCAGCAGAAACTGGAATAATCAGCAGGATGGCGTGGCCCAAGTGGAGTGGCTGGGTTGGACTGGGCGTCACAGCGTCGATCTTGTTTGAGGCGTGCAGTCAGTCTGTGCGATCCAGCATGTTGAGCTACTCGGAGCTACTAGGATCAGGCCCCCAGGAATAATCCGATGTCCTTGGAAGTTGTCCAAGTGTCCATGGTCGTGTCAACTTGGCCGATACGGGAGATCCGCGTGGTGGATACGATAGTTTAACTTCCCCCCAGCTGAGACTGTTTCGGCTAACCAAACCCGCATTGGCGCTCGTGCAGTGTCCATTGCACGAGTCAATCGGTTTCGCTTGTAAGGAGGTCCAGGTGTTGACAGTAAGGAGCACGGCTTTTGGTGAGTTGTGACACAAGCGCCCATCGCCCTTACATTGGAGGGTTATCGCCGTCGGGAAAGTGGATTGGGGGCTTTATCTGCGACAATTGAAAGTGGCAGGGGCATTACCCCCAGCCTTCTTTTTTCAATGCGGACTTATAAACGAGGACCACTTAATAAATTGAGTATCACCTGCAATCTCAAGTAGAACTCGCATGCTTTAATAGACTTCCTTCTATGCTTCTACGGGTAAACCTACCAACCCCTGGATATCCTGCCAATCAACACCCGCACGATGGAGCTGTATTGGGTGAATAACTGGCCATGTCGAGAAAACAGCCACTTGTATACACATTTAAGCATTTAATATCCATTCATTCATTAGACACGGTGAGGTATATCTAATAAGAAGTGTGGATATTTTCAAATTCAAAGGGTCCAGGGGGCACTACTTTTTCAAGTGGCCAGCGAGAACACCCCCCCCCCCCCCCGAGAGCTCAAGCGCTCAAGTCAATACTAGACTCACGTGCCCATATTCTCAACTGCATGCAGCTTTATCAAGTCCCCAGAGTCCTAGAGGCGAGAATACATACAGTACAAAGTAACACAGTAGTGGATCAGTTGCAGTTGCGCGCTGGCTACCACTCACCGATAGCCGCCTGGATGCAACCAGCAACGTATACCCGAGAATAACGAGAATTGTTCAATGACAACGCTTGGTTATCCTCATACATGATGTATTTCTCCGCGAACCCAATACCCCCAGCCAGCATGATTTTCCAAAAGTCTTGCTCTTTTCTCATGAAAAAAATAGTGGCTGTTATGGCGTGGACTGAAGCAAATATCGAAGTCTGGGGACAGCCGAAGCTACTTGTCTCCGGATATCGGTCCATCACGGTAGAGCTTGGCGGGTAACCATTATCCTATACGAAGTGCAACTATGCCGTATTTTCCTCGTTGCCTTTAGAATTTCCGTTGTTCGTTTTGTGTTCCCTTGGAGCCGAAGCACACAATCCACAACGCAGATCCAAGGCAATAAGGCAAAACTCAGAACCGAAACCGTGGACAGGATAGGCAACGATGAGCCGCCATATTCTATCCCTCACAAACTGAGCGGCCTGCCCAATGCACGACCAAGTATCGTCATTTTCATGCCCGATCAACTCCGGTATGATACGCTCCATTGCTCTGGGATGAACCCGATTGCGAAAACGCCAAATATCGACAACTTCGCGGCCCGAGGTGTGCGACTCAAGGAATGTTATGTTCAAGCATCAGTCTGTACGCAATCTCGATGTTCCATGTTTACCGGACTGTATCCGCACGTGTCCGGTTATCGGTCCTTGGAGAACTTGCTAAAACCACGGGAGCAAAATCTGTTCCGATCATTGAAAGAGGGTGGCTATCACATCGCTTGTATGGCACGACGAGGAGATCTATTTGCTTCGACCGTCACCGAGCTGAGTTTGACCGAGTATAGGTTCTTGGAGCCGCTAGAGGTATCTAAGATCATTGGTGGAGACGAGGTTGAGCGGCTAGAAGAGGAGCGTACTATTTAGGAGCGATTGTTCTATAAAGGGCGTCGTGATGTGAGTAAGGTACGATATCGTTGACCTCTCCTACGAGTATACCTCGCTGACACACCTCAGACAGGATACGAACCACAGTATATGCAGATGATCCGCAATCGGTACGGAACTCATCGCGCTACTCTAGAGATATGGGCCGAAGTATCTGCGACATATCACGGCATGATCTCGCGACTGGACGACGTTTGGCCGGATAGTCAAGAAACTAGAATCGAGCGGACTTTGGGACAAGACCATTACCATGTTTTTCACCGATCATGGCGAGTACTTAGGAGACCACGGCCTCATCGAAAAGTGGCCCAGTGGCTTATCAGAAACTCTGGTCCGCGATCCCCTAATTATTAGCGGGGGTGGCATCCCTTCTGGTCTTGTTCGCAATAGCATGACCCAGATAGTTGGCCTAGTTCCGACCATCCTCCAACTATGTGGCATTGACGACACTTTCCCTCACAATGGAAAGTCACCACTTCCAGCCGTGAGAGTTCGCTTTCTCAGAAGGTGGCTTCCTACTTTCGGAGGAGCCGCTTCTGGAGAGAGCCTCGTTCCTGTACGACATAAATTCCAAGTTGCAGCATGAAGACACACGATTGGTGGGCAAGGCGATATCCATGCGAGATCAAAATTGGACGTATATCTATAGGTTGTACGAACCAGCGGAGTTGTATGACCGTAGCGCCGATCCCTTGGAACTGCACAACCTACCGGCTGATCCGCGGTTTGTGCACCAGGCACGATTCATGGAGAGCCAGATGTTCCGATGGATGGTGGAAACGAGCGACTCTTTGCCATATTTAGAGGACGGTCGTTTCCCTCAGGTGGATTTACCTCATCCAAAGGCCCAGTGGGAGAAGCGGAAAGAGAAACAGAAGGAGTAGAAAGAATTCAAGCCAAGAACTAAACACGTAATTGAACGCTTTGATGTTGTAACGTGAGAATCTTGTTCCTGGTGGTGTGAAGGAAACCCAACCTTAAGAGCCTTTGGGTGCCTCCCTACTGGTCGATCACATAGAAAGAAGACTTGTCTGAGCAGAGCCAAGGATCGTCCAACCATCACGCTACTTCAACAGTTGACAACTTGACAAGTAATCACCACCTTGACAACCCCGGACTCGGCATTTCGTGCATGATATCGTGGCCAATATTTCCCCGTGGAGACGCCCAGCCCCGCAAAATAAAAACGCGCTCGCAGATCGACACGCGGGAAAACGAGATCATCTGCGTGCCCGGCATGATCGCGCAGTGGCGCCGACCGGGTTCACTTGCAGCCGGAGCACCTCTCGGATCCCGGAGTGTAGCCTCATCCCAGCAAAGATCGACACATGCGAAAGGATGAAGGGATGTCATATCCAATCGGTGTGGTTATTCATCGGCCAGGGGGTACTGCGCGAGGTCATCGCGAGGTTAAATCACCGGGTCTTGTCAGCATGCCCTTCTGCACTCGATGACGGAGAGAATGGCCGTCTCCAAGCAAGGCAGAGTTCCCCGGAAATGCTATATTATGGACTCGGCTGGCTGATTGAGATGGTGTCTGAACCAACCCAGATCTCTCAACAGCCCTGTGGCTTTCCCTCCCGCTCTTAGTGGGCCCTGATCTCTTCCTATCAGAGTGTCTCCCTGTGTTGTGGTTTCTCAAGGCCCAGACTACTTCTATCCAAGCGAGTTAGTATTTAGTTGCTGCCCTTGACCCTAGACTCTCTTTCAACCGTATCGACGTGCAATATGTCTACCTTGAACTTCGCGTTGAAGAACCAGACCGGTTCAAACACGGTCTATGCATATATCACCGGTCAAGCAATCGACAACAACAATGCGTTGTTCCTGCTACAAGCCGACGGCAAGACGGCGTACTATCCAACCTCGCCGTCCGCTACCCAGACGGCCCTCGCACAAGACTGTGCAATTCCACTCGGCGCATCGGGCAGTACCAAGACAGTAACCATCCCACATATTGCGGGAGGTCGACTTTGGTTTGTGCGCGATGCCAAACTCACATTCTACTTGAACCCGGGCCCTGCACTCGTAGAGCCCTCGTCGTCTAATCCGTCAGACGCTAACTATAACCTGTATTGGGACTTTTGCGAGTTCACTTGGAACTCGTCTCAGCTCTACGTGAACATTACCTTTGTTGATTTCGTCTCGCTGCCCATTGCCCTGACGCTTACCAATACATCGGGAACCTCGAAGAGTGTCCAGGGTTTACCGTCCGATGGACTCGCCACGATTTGCACGGCACTCAAGACGCAGAACTCCAAGGACAGTGCCGGATGGGACAAGCTTATTGTCACGACTAATGGGAACAACCTCCGAGCTGTATCCCCGAACACGGGCATTACATTGGACAACACCCTGTTTAAGACCTACTATGATTCCTACGTCGATCAAGTCTGGTCCAAATATACCGATACCGCCTTGACCGTCAATACCCAGGGTAGCGCAGGCGATGTCACAGCCAAAGTCTCGAACGGCAAGCTCACCTTCTCCACCGGAAGCATATCATACGACCAGCCATCGACAGCAGATATCTTCAGTAACAGTTCCGGAGCCTTTGCAGTCTCTGGGGATGCCACCAAAGATGCCATCACTGCCCGCTTGGCGGCAGCTTTCAATCGCTCCACGCTATTGACTGACACCAACCAGCCGAACGGCGAGACGGTGGCCAATTACTACCAGGATGCCGTGACGAACCATTACTCGCGGATCTGCCATGCTACTACCTCGGATAATCGGGGCTATGCGTTCCCTTATGATGATGTCGCACCCACTGATGGTGCCGATCAGTCTGGGAGTGTGTATGATCCGAATCCTCAATTGTTGACGGTGACTGTTGGCGGTGCTTCGAGTAGTAATTCGACCAATAAATCTGTCAATCAGGGGGATACTACTACCCCATCTCAGGGTACTCAGAAGAAGAGTCGGTTTGCTGGTCTGAAGAAAGTGATGCAGAAGTTGTCCCGCAAGAGATGAATGACGTGTGGAACAATGCCGGCTTGCAATGTTTGCTTTTTCTGGGCGTTATGCACACTTTTTTTTTCTTGAAGTTTGAACATGACCTTGTGCTATCGATGTGGATAAGCTCGTGCTTTGCTTATATCTGATCTCTTAGTTAGTTATCTATTGTGGGACTTCTTTGTTCGGCGAGGGATATCCAAATGAATACGATTGAAATACATTCCAGCTCCGATAATGCAGTACACGGTCCTAAAGCATTTGAACGTCTAAACCTGCTCACCCGCCTGCTTTCGAATATAAGCTATCACCTGATTAGGAACGACTAGCCACGGCGAGTGTCCGGCGTTGATCTTCTCCGTTTCAATACTAGCACCATTCCTCTGGGCCCGATCGACCATCAACTGCTGCACGGCGAGCGGGATAGCAAAATCGTCTACGCATAGCAAGTATGAAGCTGGGATCTTCATGTATGCGGCGCTGGTGGCGGGTGCGTTCTTGGTGGCCCAGGCGTGTGGGCGGAGTGTGCTGGCCCATTCTTGACCATCGGGTGCGTCGTGGAAGAATAGCGCGAATGGATCGCTGGCTGTCACGGTGCCATTTGCCTCCTAAGATAGCGAGTCAATAAATTGAGTTCGTAGATATGTCTATGTTTGCGATACTTATAGAAAGGTCCAAGGGTTGGTTTACTTACATCTCGCACATACCAAGGCGGCGGGGTCCCACCAAATGCGCCGATCAAACTCTCGCCGATTTGCGGGATAAAAGCAGAGATGAAGACCAGCTTGACCACGCCTCCTTTCTGACCGGCTTGTTCACGCTCGGTGCGCTCTAGTCCATCCAGTGCGCTGTTGACTGGTAGACCGGACCAACTATGGGAGACAATGATCACTTCTTGGCCGGCATCGACCTCTTGCTCGACGACTGTTCGCACCGCAGCGATATCGGGCTGCAGATCTTGAACGGTAGTAGCTTGTTGGATAGAGGGGAATGCGATCGTATGGCATTTATAGCCATGTTCATTTAATATCTTGGTGATCCCATCGAAGACAGTTGGCGGGTACCAGGCGCCAGGGGTGAAGATGATGGTTGGTTTCGACATGAGTAGAATAGTGAATGGTATGCTTCTCAAGCAAGAAGAATGAAAGAAAACAAGAAACACAAGTGTTGACCAAGATCTTGTTAGAGTCGTGGTAGGGCTGAGACACCGTACTTATTTGACCAAATCTTCCCCTCGACCCGGCAGGTACGGCAGGTTTGTCCTCCGAAGGGCACTACCCGCGACTTCTTGGCAAAACCGGACAGCCTTACGGGACCTCTCCGGCCCCCAAGACTTGCGTGGCCCAATCTACTTTACCAGATTGTACTCGTTAGGTCTCAGACTAGTGGACAAATTACAGTTATCTGGTTGGTTGAAGCGTGGACAGAGGTTACTACTACTAAAATAAGGGAAAAGTTGGCGCATGGGCCTCGCGGAGTACTTTGGGCTTTGCATGGATTAGGAAAATTACACCGACTGGGCTTGGGAGGAACTGCAGCTTGTATGGAAGATGGGTATTTCGGAGATACATTCCGAAATCGCTCGTGGACCCTTAACTGCTGTTACAGGATGATTCTTAATTTGTGTTGCGTTAAGGGTTGTGGTTTAGGGAAATCATTGTTCTACCTCAATTGCGATTTATCGAGAAATAGTTTGGAGAAAGAAATGCTAGAGCGAGATGATGCAACAGGCCTCATCTGGATCAAAACGAAGCCAATGAAAAAAAGAAAAAAAGAGGCCATGCTAGAGTAGAACTATGCTTGCTCAGGGTCATTCATCAACCCATATAGTTTCCCACCCACTCGCTGCGAAAGATCCCGGTACGACCCATCTTCCACGACAACCCCCTGATCAAGAACAATAACATGATCTGCAATTTCAATCATCTCCTTCGCATGGGTGATGATAATCACAGTGAGGTCCTTCCGGGTGGCCACGAGCTTCTGCACCGTTTGACGAACAAGCTCTGCACCCGCAGGATCGAGACTGGAAGTTGCCTCGTCCAAGATGAGGATCTGGGGCTCACGAAGCAGAGCACGGGCAATCACCAAACGCTGCTTCTGGCCGCCCGACAGCCCGATACCACCATCACCGATCACAGTGAAGTATCCGTTTGGAAGAGAGAGGATGAAATCGTCGATGCCAGCTGCCTCCGCTGCGACACGTACGCTGTGTATGGAAGCCCGGTCTGCGAGTCCGTAGCTGATGTTGGCGTAGATGGTTCCGGGGAATATAATTGGCTGCTGCGATACGATTGAGATGTGCGATCTTAGAGTTGGAATGTGCAAGCGTGATATGCCTGCTCCACCGAGTTTCACGGTAGGCCAACCATCTTTGGACACGGGCGCTTCGTATAGCGCCAGTAGTAACGAAGCAATGGTCGACTTGCCGGATCCAGAGCGACCGACGATCGCAGTGCATGAATTCTGGGCGATTTGGATTGACACGTTAGCCAAGACCGTTGTGTCGGGTCTCGAGGGATATCTGAAGTCAAGATTGAAAATTTGAATCGGAGTGAGCCTGGGGAGCCTGAGGTCACCCCGATGTTCATGGGAATTCGCTGCGGGAAGATTGGCAAGCCGAAGAAGTTGGGTTGCAACCTCACGGGAGGTGTTGATTTGAGGGACTGGAATGACATATTAGAAGGAAATCTTTTTGCATGTGGGGGAATTCGTTGCTTACTCCATGATAGAATTTGAGCCGCATATCCGATGCTGAAAAGAAGTAGCGAGAACACCATCATCACATCATTGACGGTAAATTCGGAAGCCACAAGTACGGCACCATAGTAAAATATCAAAGCTATTGATCTTAGTGGCTGTTGTATCCTCGATTTTTGGGAACACACTTACCACTTGCAAACATCACCGTCGACTCCAGCATGCCGAAGAGCAGGCCAGTGTAACCTGCACGTTTCAACCCAATTGCCAGACATTTCGAGATAGCGTCCGCCTGCTTGTTATGAAAGTAACCCTCCAACGTGAGAGTTCTGACGGTGCGAATCTCCGCAAAAGTTTCCATGAAGATGTCTGTGGCAACTGCACTGGCTTCGTTGCACCGATGCTCCCAAATCCCATTGACGCCTTCGAAGCCTCGAGTAATTGCGTAAATGAATGGGCCACAAGCAAGGGCCACCAAGGTCAACTTCCAGCAGACAATCAAGCTCCAGATAATCGCCATCACTGTGATTGATGCAGCAACGATCACGAATCCAGCAAAGCGACCAAGCAGGTTCCGCATGTCCTCACCATTTTGATCCAGATAAGCTGTGAGCCTGAACGAGCTGTTTCCCTCTTGCTCAAACCAGGCCCGAGGTTGATCAAGCACTCGCTCGAACGCTTTCTTCCGGAGTGCGTCCATCCATGCCTCGCCGCAGAACTCGAGGAAGTAATGCATGAAGAAAGAAGCTAGGCCATCTCCAATGGAGACTCCGAGTACAGCCAGCGACCATGTCATCGTTAGCTTGGCGCTGTTGGTGCCGGCATAGAAGGTGCTGAATAGCTGCGACAGGCAGTATGAGAAGATTGGGGTCGCACTGGCATGAGCCAGAGCCGCGAGAACCCCTAGGAAGAGGATGACACGTTGTTTTGGGGTCAATATAGGCACAATAGTACCCATGATTTGAGATAAAGATATCATGCCCTTTTCATCTTGTTCCTTCTGTGGCTTTGAGATCTGGTCCGTTTGAACAAGCCTTGAGTGCTTCGAATCAAGATCGGGAGCAGACTCGTAAGACAATGTGTGACTTGAAGGGTCATCCAGGAAGCTGCGGTCGATTCGAATCATCTCGAATTCCTCCATTGGTCTTGAGTAGTATGAGGCCGGTCTTACTGGCGACATCTCCCTTCTAGGAATACCAACCAAAGATCCATGTTTGCTGAGATCATATGATATGTTCAACATAGTGTCATCGACAGAGATGGCATCATCTCTTCTCAGGGTCGAATTCCGTGCACTTGACCATGAACTGGAGCGAGCGTGATGTTGCGCCAACAATTCTCTTGGATTAAAGCGTGCACTGGGAGGTCTGGCAGGCTCAGTTGTCAGGTTTTGGCGAGATGGATCCTCCCAAGAAAGGCCATAATATGCCCTCTCCCCTAACTCTTTCCCCAGGCTGCCGGTATTCTGATCTGCCGTATTCTGATCTGCCTTTGTTGTGGCGCGAAAGTATTTCTCACTCCCAGGCTGCTTCTCCACAGTATCCCGGTACCCACTCTGCACAATTGTGCCATTTTCCAAAATATAGACATAATCTTGTTCGGTGATGTGCGACATGTCGTGAGTGATGATAATGGTTGTCTTTTCGCTCCGCCACTCTCGGATCGCCTTCATCACTGCCACTCGATTTGCAGGATCCAAAGCACTGGTTGGCTCATCCAAGATCAGAATCGGCGTGTCGCGTAACCTCGCTCTGGCAATGGCAACTCGCTGTTTCTGACCTCCACTCAAATGATTCCCACCGGGACCAACACAAGTATCAAGTCCCTCGGGAAGGCTCTCAAGAACGCTTTTCAACATTGCAACCTCGATCGAGCTTTGAACGTCTCCTCTTGACACGTTCTCATAGTCCTGACGACCAAAAGCGATATTCTTCAGTACGGAGTCATTGAACAGCACACTTCGTTGTTCCACCAGCGTAATATTATTCCTGACCCAGTTGATGTTGAGTGCATCGATCGGGTTCCCATCAATCAGGATTTCTCCAGAGGTAAGAGGATAAAATCGCATCAATAGCTGACCGAGGGTGGTTTTCCCAGAGCCACTCTTGCCAATGACGAAGGTCGTCTCACCGGCTGGGAAGAAAAATGTCGATGGATTTAGAACGACACGGTCTGGTTGACTGGGGTATGAGAATGATACCTGATCAAATTGTTAGTACGATGCCAGACAATGAGGAGCTGCAAATAATATACATACATTGTTAACCTCGATATCACCTTCACAGTGTTCGGGATACAGAGTTCCTTTGGTCTCGCTCACAACCCTCTCCGGCGCCGGTTGGCGCATGATTGACTTGAGCATGGCACTCGCAACTTTTCCTTTCTCCAATACAATAATTTGTGGCAGCACTTGCTCGATAGACTGCGCTGCAGTTAAGCATGCCCAAAAAGTTCTCAGAACTTCACCAGAGGTGATCTTGCCGTTTCTAGCAAGGGAGCTTCCGTACCAAAACCCTTGAACGAACATGCCAAACATCATCCACCGAACGAACGAGATTTGCAAAGAATTGAGCCTTGCTTGTCGGAGGTAGTGAATAGCGGATTGCTCGATCCGACTGGAGAAGCTCCACAATTCTATCCGCTGGCCGTTCAAGCATTTGACTGCATCGATAGAATTGATGGCATTGCTCGCAACCTTCGAAGCCTGGGTTAGCTCCTCTTGCTGTGCTTTGATGCTGGGTTTCATCCTTGTGGATAGGAAGACAATGACGGACGAGAAAATGGGGATTCCGGCTAATGTCACGAGGGAAAGACTCCACGAAGTATAGAATCCTAATCCCAGGGACACTAATGAGCGACAGAGATACTGCAAAAGCAGACCAAGAGGCTGTGATGTAGCCATTTGAAGTTCGTGGATGTGACTAGACGATATATTAGTAATACTTCAGATATGAACGAAGAAACAACTCACGCTTGGACTCCAGACAGGAAAGCCCCTGACCCTTCCTGCTGGGCCTCGAACCATTCAACATCTCGTTGGATCAACTCAGTAAAGACCTTGTTGCGGATATTCGAAGCTTGGAGCTCTCCGAATGCGATGAATACCGCGAAGTATGCGCTATTGAGAAACCAGCCAGCGGCTCCCAGCCCAAGCATACCAAAACAACTGGTAACAATTTTGCTGCGAAGCCCATCGATGGCAATCTGACCGGCTCCGAATGATGTAAACGCATCGAAGACGTTTCCCAGAGATATAGCTAGGGCAGGTGTCACGCATCCAGCGAGCAGGGCAAGGAAGGCCCCTATGATGAGCGTTGGCAAGTGTCGCCGGGTCGTGAAACTGAATAGGGATTTCCAGCCGGGTGCCAGCCCAGCTGCATTATCATTTTGAATTGAAGCACTGTCGTGGTCTGGGATCTTAGTTTTGAGGCCCATTGCTTCTGGTGATCATAGCAGGTATGCGTATCATAGAAAGCAGAATTTTTTAAATATCGAGACCATGGTACCAGACGAGAAAGAGGAGTTCGAAATCCCCTCGTGTAGGCATAAATGCCGTCGTATAAGCCATGGTGATTCATTGTTCTCGAAGAACAATCACAAAAGTTTCCTGATGCGGAAAGATTGATGAGAGGAAGGGTGGGGAACGAGATGCAACAATCCTGGTCGATTCATTGTTCTCGATTGTCACGTGGAGAGGGGCTAGGCTGCATCCACGAAAGGGAACGTTCTTTGTTTGCAGGGTGCGAGTGCCTCCAGGAAGATAAGATTGGTTAGTTTCAGGGATGATCACAATTTCTAGTTTGTTTGTCGAGTTCAAAGCGCCACCGCACAGTCGTGGACCTGATGCGGGCCCAACTAGCCAGCCACCCATGTTCGGGTCAAAGCAGAAAATAATCACTAATCATGAAATGCCATTTTAATTCCGGGTATATTGTAAATTCTCATGATGGCCTCTAATTCGGAGATCATGGCCAATCCACCTCTAAATGACAAGCACCATATCAAAATCGTTATCACTTGTCCATCACTGCCCCCCATCTGCTCAGTCGGTCGAGAAACGACCCAGCGGAGCACTTCCGTCTGAGTCGCTACAAATCATAAGCCGTGACCCTCAGGGGAGCCACGAAACAGGTACATGCCGTCGGTCTAACAGCCCGGTTGTGGAGCCGAACTTGGGTTCAAGTCAAGCACAGTAGATGACATGGGTATGTGTGCTCAAGAGCTAGCCTTCTGGGAGCGCTCGTAGATCCAGTCGTTCAGACCCGCACGGTTACTATATAGGTCAGTCTGATTGTGCAAACAATGTGTTGGAGAAAGTCTTACCGAGCAATCTCAACAGCGTAGAATTGCATGCGAACACCTGGGTTCCACCATTAGCTAATGTCCCTACTTCAACAGAGCCGTTCCTGTGTTCACGATAGCTTACCGAAGAGGGTGGTATCCTCGTCATACTCGACATCGGGGCGGAGGCGAATGATCGTGCCGAAGTTGAAATCCTCAATCTTCTTCTCGAACTTGTTGATCCAGTTGCGCCACTTCTCCTTGCCAGCCTTGCTCTTCATCTCGTCCTCGTTGAGGGGCGCGGCGGGGTCAAATTCGGGGAAGTCGGCCTTGAAGGAATCGTAGATCTCGTCGTCCATCTTGGTGAGGCGCAGCTGCGAGCCCTTCACCTTCTCGAGGATCGCCCAGTATGTCATGAGGTGTTCGACAGCTGTGTGGAGGTTTGTACGTCAGCGCTGACTGCATTTCATTTGGCATTGATTAAGAGGAAGATTGTTGGTGGATAAGCTTAATCACGATGTGATATTGCGTTTGGCGACTAACCCTTGACAGCGAACTGCTTCTCCATCTGTGGAAATGGTTAACGATGAGCTGGTCTCCGGACTGCGGGGAAGCGCTCGGTAACGTACATCCTCCAGGTTCTCAGCCTGCTCGGGATCAAATGGCTTAGACATCTTGATTGTGTGTTGATGAATTCAACGCTTGTGAAAAATTACAGCGAGAAGAGAAAGTATCGGGGTAATATAGTCAAGGTGGGGAGCGCGTGCTGTGCCCCGCGCATATTTTTTTTCGGCGGGCGGCGAGGAGTACTGCCGCCCGAAATCCGTGTCCGCCCACGGTACGTCATCGGGCCGGTCTGCACTGGAATCGACAAGTGATTACTCTATACTTCTTTCCGCTTCGAGTCACTTCTCGAAAAAAAATCATGTTAATATAGAAAAATTATAACACAAGGAATTATCGTACTTGATGATATAAACATTAGTATACACGAGTCACGTGGTTTGCTCCTAGGTATACGGCACCTTTAGTATGGTGGGGTTTCTGCACGATGTGAATAGCACGTTAACCTGAGCTTAATTCGGTTGGTTTCCTCTCCGTTTATAAGTCTGAATATAGCGACAAGAGGAAGAGTCTGGCCAGATACGCTTTGTTTACCATTATTTTGAAAAATCCTTCTAAAGGTGTTTTTAAAGATCTGTTCGAAAGTTTTTTAAGCCGTCTCCATAGATAGCTTCAGAATCATCCGGGCTATCTTTTGGGTTATGATTAGAGTTCTTTGGAAATTTAGGCAAGGAATAGAGTTATCCTCATTAAGCCTATGCCATGCAAGCTACAGCTTTTGGCTTGCCAATAACAAGATCCACTATATAGGTATCTCTCTCGTGCTACTCTAATGCGAATCTCGAGTCTCGTGAATGGAAGAGAATCATCCAATGCATGAAATATAGGCCGATTAAGTATCTCAAAATGAAGTCCTACCTTAGACTTCCTCAATCGCTATCGGCATCATCCGGGAGTTCTTCAAAGCGCCCCTCCCGGACTGCCTGCGCCACAGGGTTTTCCATGGTTATAAGACCATTTGCCTTCGCCCTGTAATGGAAAAAGATCAATCAGTAAACAAGTATCGCCACGTAGATACACGGGAACACCAACCTTTCAAACAAGACAAAGAGTCTTTCTGCTTCTCTCTCCTTCTCCTCATCAGTCATAGGAGGACCCGTATCCTTCGGCTCGGCGGCCCAGCGCTGTCCAGTGATTGGATTGACCTCCGAATCCAGGTCATTAGCGTTATTCGTGGCAAAGGCTTCGCCAGCAGTCTGCGGGATCTCCATGCCACGGGAAGCCAAGAAGCCAGCAGCAAATCCATATCCGATACGCCGTGTCAGATTTTCAGCATCCTTTCCAGAAAGAACGAACATCAGTTCAGAGATGCCGGTTTTCAAGTTAGGATAGGGACTTGTAGACAGCTGCAACAGTTTTGAAGCAAGAGTGTCCGAGCGTCCAATTGGCAAGCTGCGGTCACTATCTTCAGGGAGGAGAAGCCATTGCATATACTTGCGGGGACCATCAGGGGCAATTTCATGGACAATGATGAGAGAGTGTAAAAGTGGGACTGCTTTCTCTTCAAGCTCTTCTGGGCGGTAGAGTGAAACCGCTTGGTCAAGGATATTGATTAGCTTGTCAACATTGCAGTTTTGGTTGAACTTGGGGAAGAGAGGGTTGCTTTCAAAATGCTTCTCCTTCTTCTCCTCTAGATCCAGGACCGATAAAGAGTTGATTAGGTAGCTGATCAAACCATCAAGCGGCTTGGCTGGGATTTCCATCCGGCTGATAATCTTCAAGATGTGGGGGATTGAAGGCGAGAAGGTGACAGCAAGGTCGGGGTACAACTTTGAAACGTTGAAAATGAGCTTCAGGGTATCGGTAAGTGCTAATTCGTCCATCTGCGTCAATGGAGGTCGACCGGATTTAGGGAATTGTTTAGCGTGTCGGGATAGTTGCTGTTCTAATGAGTCTATGTCCTCAAAGTTGAAGGGGCGGGAGACACACATAATTAACGTTATCCCCTAGGGAGTGTTTGTTGATTAGGACATCAAAGTCCATGTTGCTGTCATAAGTCGAAAGGAACAAGATTCGACTAGTCACCATCTCGTCTTCTGAATTATCAGTCTGGAGAGTTTAATAACCGATCAGCAATGCTCGCAAGTTTTCGAAATGGAGGGCATTATTATCCACCTTGAGCCTTTCCGCCAGTCTGCCACCGTATCCCGTGTCGGCGAAGACCTGGCGCATGCTGGAGTCGAGAAGGAGAGCATTGGCCACGCAGCGCAAGGCAGCGCGTCGCACATCGGCCGTCTCTCCTTCAACTCCATAACGCGCCAATAGTCCAATCCCCTAGAACAGTTGTCAGAGCCCAGTATATGGTAAGGAACGCGACGGCGGGTCTTCATCGTACATCGCTGCAATAGATCGGTCCGGCGTCGACAGGATTCGTGCCATGCTGGCGCAGCTGTAGAAGGGTCTGAACCTTTTCTGTAATCACACGAGACTCGTACGTTAGCCTCAATTATCTAGCGACATCTTAATCCTAAAACTTACGAGTCGGGGTAAGCTGCTTCTCTTGCAGGTCTTTTTTGAGGATGCCCAGCAACTGAGTGACCTGCTGCAGCTTGGCTGTAATAGCTAGTTAGTCTATGCTGGTATTCCGATTATGTGACTGCGAGTAGACGGCTATCTGCAAAGACACACCTGCTCCTTGCAGCTGGTTAAGACTCATGCTATCCTGCGGTCGTCCGACTCGGAACTTCACCTCGGTCGTTCGAAGGATAGGCCGCCAGTCGGGATGGGAATTGGTGGCGGTTGAGTTCGTATGTTGCCCGACAATGCTATGCCTTGATCATGACATACAAAGCAAGTTGGTGGGATGTTGCGCTCGAGTGGAAGTGGGAGAAGAAGGAAGAAGCGACGCGGGGAAAGTAGCGACTCCGTCATGAATCAGGAAGCAGCGCACCCCACCTGAGCTGTGGTTTTTAGTTTTAGGCCCGCCTGCAGGATGATCCCATCAATGTTGAACCCTGGAAATTCGACTAGGGCCGGCAACCATCGTCAGACCGGTAGCTTTGTTAGTTTTTAGTTTCTACACCAAGAAATACCTTTGCTAATCTGCATACTGCAACCTTGAAATCCTCCGCTATCGTAATTGGAACATCAGTTCCGCTGGTCTGCGGTGGCCTCGGCAGCCACACCGCTGGTTTTCAAGATTGATCTAGCAACAGAGTTGTATGTTATGGCAAATAAGATTTACACAAGCAATGAAAGGAGCTAGAAACCAAGAAAGTAGAGGGACCAGAGATGTAAACTGTAGAATACTCAACGAGTCAACAAAGAAGGACCGATCGATCGTTTGGCAGGTGTGACCCGCTTCCGTGTGCCTGGATGCCTGGGTGCCTTTTCGCCTGAGAGATCGGGCTTCACGCGGCCACTTTACGCGATTCGCGACAGGCGCGTTGCCCGTTTAGTTTTCACTGGCCCTGGCCTCAACGCTACTCCCGATTCCACTACGATCAAGCAAGGAATTCGTTGGGAGGGCTCGTCTTTGTCTACTCAACACCCAGCAATGGTCCTTACTCTCATTTATTTCTCATCCTCATCTCGTCTCTAAACCATGGTAGAGATCCTCGGCCCTCTCCCTGCTCGCCCACCAACACCTCCTAGGCCGGGTTCTCGAATCGATCAGAACGACCCCCAATCCCCGCATCCTCTCCAGACCCCGGGAGCTTCGTCGCAAACGGCGGATGCTTCCAGGGCGCCTCCGTCAAGCCACGGTTCCAAACGTGTGAACTTCTCGCCATGGCTGTACACCGTCATCGGGTCACCCAAATCCCAATCGGTCAGCAGACCTAACGACGCAAACCCCATTACGAACGCAGCATTCGACAGCACCCAAGGCAGCGAAGGCAGACCTTTCAAGTCGATTCTCAAGGAGACAAGCTCTCCGATCCCCGTGTGGTCCCCAAATGTTAACAAGTACACAACCGAATCATTCGACATGCTGCTCCAGTCGGTAGTTCAGCAATTGGCAGGAGAGTCCGTCTCTTCTCGCCTTGATGCATATATCAACTTCTTTGGAGCATTACGGACATATGATGGATTGCTGCGCGGGAACGAAATCGGGGAGAAGCTAGGCTTGATCACGGATTTCATCCAACGCGACGTGACTCGCGACTTGGTCAACGGGACACCTATGGATACAAGTCTGGCTAATCAAGCCTTGAAACTATCCGCTGCTTTTATATGGCAAACAGACATATCATCGCACCTCTCGGAGGATTTCAAAATCTTTCTGGTGGAGCACGCGATCACCTCTCTCCAGGAGACCAAAGGTGCAAAGTCCGTCCTAACCCACTACCTGTCGATTCTCTCCACGCAGAATTTCACTTCGAAGATCATGACGACCTCTCGAGTCATCCGTCTTCTTACAGCGTTGCAAGAACTCACCAAACACGTCAATGGCAAAGCCATTTCCTTCCATCGATTGTGCATCTATTCGCGACTCTTGTCCCAATCCAAGTCAACTTTCCTCTCACAACCATCACTATGGATGGAGCACCTCGTCTTCGGCTTGCTTCATTCTCACAAAGAGACACGGGCCAAAGCCATTTCTCTTGGTTTCCAAATTTCCCTCGCCGCGGGCCCAACACTTGCGTTATCGAACAACATCCGGATGCTTTTTGAACGACCATTGGAGGGCGATCGAAAATTAGTAACGGAGATTCGAGAGCGAATGTCACGAATGATGGCATCCAGTGACACGGGCATACACGTCCCGCAGATTTGGACCATCGTGATTCTTTTGTTGCGAAGCAAAAAGTGGAATCTCGACCAATGGGAGCATTTCAAAGAATGGCTTCTTGTCCTCCAGAAGTGTTTCAATTGCAGCGAGCCGGCTATAAAAGCTCAAGCTATTTTGGGCTGGATCTGGTTTATCTATGCCGTGAGCCCCAACGAATCCACCGACCGATTGCTTCTCAAGATGCTAGGCAAACCAGTGTTCTCGCAATTCGAGCGAAAGAAGTCCGACAAATCTGGGTCACCACCCTCTCAACTTGCATTGAGCAGCTATAACTACTTGCTCTATTACGCTTTCCGTCCATCTCTCCCTTATCACCATGTCGATATGATTTGGGAGGAATACGTCGCAGCTCCGTCCTCTACTATTTTCTCCGCTTTCCCCGCCCTGGCCGATAGCGCGTCACTTGTGTTGGCGCACTTGCTATGGTGCCCACAGGCAAAAGTATGGACTGAGACCCGGATCGCCGACTCTCGCATTACCGACTCTCGGATCACCGAGATTTCCAAAATGGAGGTCGAAGAACTGCCATCGGTTGAACCTCGCTGGGTTCGTTCGAAAATACCATCAGTTCTGGGAGTTTTCGAGTCTCTTTTCAAGTCTTCGGTCTGGAACCAACAGGAACTCGAGAAGTCAAATATCGCCCTCGCCTGGAACGGTCTAGCTAGCGCACTTTCTCTTGCCTCCAGCAAAGAAATCACACCATCTGGGGAGTCTATGCAAGCTGTTGCCAGTGTTCTTGGTTTGTTACATCGTCTCTGGGCCACAGGGCCGTCTTCCTTGAACGCCACCGGAGGGCACGGCGAGGAAGCTTTCTTTGAAAGGTTCCAGTTCTTGTCTACGACCATGATTCTCTCCCTTGGAGGCATTCCCTTTACCGAAAAGCTCATGCTGAAAATTGGGGATGGGTCATTCCAGACCTCTAGTACTCCAACACATCGCCCTTCCGCCTCGGGTACCAATTTGGATAGCCCTATTCTACATCTTTTGCGCACCATCAGCAGAATTACCGTGATATCGTCGCCAACCCCATCATACATTCGCCTTATCGACGGATTAATCACAGCATCGTGTAATGGAAGGATATCGCGTGGATCTCGTCTCGAACTTCTCCACCAGTGTGCTGAATTGAGCGTCGTGGAATTGAAGTTCACTTCCAATTCGCCGCAACTGTTGGAAGTAATTTGGAAAGGGACGGCACTCGCAGCAGCAGATGCATTGCAATCGTTCCCCATTGAGTCTGCACGAGAGCGCGACGGCTCTGTTTCTCGGGATTACGAGATAATCACCAAGATCCTTGTGGCTGGTATTTCTTTCCCGTGTGCATCTCAAGAATGGTCGCGACTTCTCGACGCGTATGTGCGTGTGGCAAGAACGGAGAAAGGAGATCACGTCCTTTACGGTCTCATTGTAGAGCCCATTGCTGAAAGTCTGTCTTCAATCTCGGTCAATGACACGTATCTCCCCACAAACGCACTGCTCGGTCATTGTCTTTCTATCCCATTTGCGCGGGAGACCGGGTTGGGAATTGACGACCCCATCTCTCATGCAGTTACGTCGTCAGCCTTCCCCCACAAACTTCTGGAGACTGTCGGACGAAGCTTGGATTTAGGCTACCACAGCTTTGACTCCTCTCACACACTTCATCTTTCTGCCTTTATCGAATCTTTGACTTCTTTCCTGGGCTCTGGCACGCCGTCTTTTCGCGCTCAGGCACTCGAGACTCTCCAGGGATCACTGGGACTGTGGATCCAAGACAGCGAGCTCAAGGTTGATGTCACATCCGGGGTGGACAGTCGTGCTTTGACTGCAGTGAGTTATCTTGTCACTATATCTCTCGCCAGTCGTTAACCCGTTCGAATAGTGCCGCGCTCTTTCATCTGCTGTTCTCAACATCTTGCAAACCGCTGTTGTCGACGAGCTGTCGACATTGCAAAATTTTGCGACAATCATCTGCGCTGGCTTGAAATCGCCTCATATCTCAAGAACCAAGCGATTCGTCGATTTCTGGAGGTCTACAAAGACATCGTTGGATACTCTGATCTCCTCCACTCCAATGGGCCAAGAATTGTCAACTGCGGCCTCCAGGCTCTCTGCCCCGGTCCAGCCGGCGCAAGCTGTAGTTCAGGTAAGCCCCCCCCCCCCAACTGGCGCTTTTAGTCCCCCGTATTAATCCCTGTGCTCAGGAGTCCAAATTGGCACCATCGAGTTCGGCCAAACCAGCAAACCAGCGACTGATCAAGCCAATTCCCACAAAGTCCATCGAAAATGGCAGCACCAACTTCCATTCATCGCCCGTCATAGGGACAAATGAACCAGCTCTGCCTGACCCTGTAGAGCTCGGCGAACCTCAACTTCCTACGAACCCTGGCACAGCAGCACCCGAGGCTCCGGCTACCTTCCAAAAGAGTCGACGTGAGATGTTCCGAATGATAGAATCTATTAGGTCCTCCTCGCCGGCGAATACTCCTGGCAAGCTAGGCTTCGACACGCCCAGTCACCTGCGCAGACTGCATGCTCAGACTGGTATCCCCTTGACGCCTACCTTGGTGCCAGCTGAAAACGAAGACGGGTTTATTGGGTCTTCTCCCACACCCGCGACTAGAGATCTGACTCCTGCCATGAATTTGGATGCTGCTGGAGGGCCATTCCAAGATATCACAATGGAGGATGCGACAGACCTGCCTTCTTCCCCTCCCGAACTCACTTCTCGGAGCCCCAGTCCCAAGAAAATGTCCAGCTCTTCTCGCCGGGCTAGACGGAGGAAGCTTCTCCAGTCGAGAGTTGCTGAAGAAGCCAGGAAAAAGGCATCCACGCCCCAGGTGGACGAACGCCCGCCCAGTCGTCGCACTCGATCAGCGCTGACTCAGAGTACTGCGAATAATCAGAATGCCGATGCCGTTCCTGTACCACCAACATCTACGTCTGATACTATTGAGAAGCCATCAGAGAAGTTGTCAGCTCCGCAGAGTGCAAAGTCAAAATCGTCGTCCAAGAAACGAAAGAGAAAGGGAGGATCAAAAGCATCAGATGGAGCCAACCAACAGGCTGCTCAAATGCCTTCCACTCCCGTCCCTCCGGAGTACTTTGTTGACTCTTCGAGTGAGGACCTGGAATCTCAAATCGCCTCTCAGCTCGAGCAGGATCTGGAACTAGCTGTTGACATGGTTGACAAGGGTCAATCAGGATCCGCTCCCGTTGTTGAGGACCCCGAGCCAGCTACCAAGAAGAGAAAGCGTGAAGAAGACAATGTTCAGTCTAATTCTCGGGATAGACGGCGATCAACCCGTCTCTCAACCACAAAGGACGTAGGCATAACCGAAGTTGAAGAGACACAAGCTGTCCAGTCTCAGGATACAACAGCTTCTCAACCTTCCAAGGATGTCTCTTCCTCCAGCCTGTCGCCTACGGTCACTCGACGATCGACTCGCAGCTCGCAAAAGAAGGAGGACGAGCTTGTCATGGCTGAATCGCTCCCCGAAACTCAGATTCCGGAAACCATCCAAGAAGAGCCAGTTAAGGATGCAGAGCCTTCTCAGCGACCAAACAAGAGATCGCGCAAATCTTTACGCCTCGAAGATCAGCCTCCTCCACCTCCTCCTGTGGAGGAACAGAGCTCGACACAGACCAAATCTTCCCGTAGCTCCCGCTCTCGCAAGTCGCGTTCATCCCGCAACGAAACGCAGTCTCAGCCTCTTCCTTCGCAGGAAGAACAACTTCCCGTGGAGGCATCCATGGGATACGATTTGCTTCCTGCTTCAAATGATAACGGCGATGCTGGCTCGGACGCTGTTGCTCCCCAGAAATCGGTGGAGTCGAAGATCCCCACTGCCTCCACAGAGGCAAACGATTCTCAAATGACTGATGTGGACCACTCCATCACACCGGTGCCTCAAGACACCAATATCCAACAAAACATGGATGTGGATATGGTTCCAGAACAGTCGTCGACAAGCGTGGCGGGTCCAGTCTTGGACGTTGCCACCGCTGAAATTCAGACGGAACCAGTCCCTGCCACTGTCGAACCTGACATCAGCGAGGCAGGTATCTCTCGATCTCTGAGAAAACTCCTAGCCGATATGAAGTCCGCAAAATTGGGGCCCAATGCCCTCCGTGAGGTTGACGACCTCCTTTTCAATATCCGTGTCGAAGCGCATGACGCTTCTCGACGACACAACAATCCAGCATAGCGATGGCGTTTACGAGGTAATCCTGGCTTTTATGTGATTTTACGCGTTGTTTTCTTGTATTGGCTCCTCTCATGTCTCTATTCCCCGTGTGCATCTCACATTACATAAAATACATAGCGGCCACTGCATATGTCTTTCTTCTTTTCTACTTTCCTTTCGTTTCGGGGCGCCAAGTTAGTTGCATGTTTCATTCCTTGGTCACGATGTATTCTACTGCTTAGTGTCTTGCGAGACATAATCGAGTCAATTAGTGATCTTTGAATACTTCCTACTATAGGCATGTACTGTATAAAGTGTTCGATTATTCACGGTGGCGCTGAAAGGCCCCAACGTTCCCCGAACTCAGTGCCATGGGTCTGGTTGCCACAACGCCGACAGGGGCAACGCCTTCAACTTATCAGCCATTCAGAATGAACTTTGAGAAAGCGTTCGAAACCTCTCCACATCCCATCTATTCTGGCTCAAGGCGAAGCATATGAATAGTATGATGTTGAGTGACGCAGAGTGCCACCACCGCATTCACAATCAACATCAGATAGCCCCCTATACATTAGTATATATTCACCCTGATTTTGACCCGATTATTCCAGGCGGATTGTCGATCTCCTTTGTTTAGATAACCATCCTAAAGGTTCATACCCAACCAGGACCACACCCCTCACCATGGGAACCCAATATATGATGCAGGCCGGGCTGGCCTCCGGCATGTCTGCGACGGAGGGTATATACGGAGCGCATCCCAAGTCCGTCGACCCCAATCTAAGTGATCCAGCCCACATGTTACCTGAAAACGTGGTCCCCAACTCACGGAGCCGCATTGCCGTACGTGGATATGGCGGCAAGGACGTGTTGATCCCCTATCTGAGCATTGGAACATGGGCCTGGGGTGATAAGGCCACCTTTGGCTACGATCCCACGGTCGATCTACCCCAAATTCATGCTGCGTGGGAGAAGCTAAAGTCAGTTGGATTGACCTTCGTGGACACGGCGCAGTCCTACGGTAACGGTGAAAGCGAGCGCATCTGTGGAACCTTGTTCAAGGGAATGCCTCGAGATGCGTTCATCGTGCAGACGAAATGGTTCTCGGGCGGCTTGTCTAATACCTTGATGCAGTCGCGTGGGCCCAAGTCTAGACTGAAGGAGTCGCTTAAACGACTGGGGCTGGATTATGTGGATATCTACCTGGTGCATGGACCTATTCATGGTAGTTCGATTGCCACCGTCGCAGAGGGGTTGGCAGAGTGTGTGGAAGAGGGAATGACGCGTGCCGTTGGTGTTGCCAACTACAGCACGCAGGAGATGATCAAGATGGATGAGGAATTGGCCAAGAGCAACGTTCCGCTGGCCGTGTCGCAGTGTGAGTACTCGGTCATCCGCCGTGTCCCGGAGGTTAGTGGTATGATTCGCGAGTGTAAGAAGCGCGGTATTTGCTTCCAGGGCTTTGCTTCGCTTGGTGAGGGCCGATTGACGGGCAAGTATTCCCGATTCAATGAGCCTCGGAGTACTCGGCGATTCAGTAGTTATCCGATGCATATGCTGGAGCCGACGATCAATGTGTTGAAGAGCATTGCGGAAGAGCGCCGTGTCTCCGTTTCCGCGGTCGCATTGAACTATTCGATCGATAAAGGTGTTGTTCCCCTGGCGGGAGTGCGCAATCCGGAACAAGCGGAGGAGGATATGCAGGCACTTGGCTGGCGATTGAGCAAGGACGAGGTCCGCCGCATTGAGGAGGTCAGTTTTGAAGGGAACACGTCTGCTTTGTTGCAGCATGGATAAATTTGATGGCTAGAATTGTACCATATTAGTAAAGGTACACAGAGAATGCAATTGGAATGTTTGGAGAGTAATATTGGGACCTGTGATTTACTGGAAGTGGTTAGTTTTGCTGTTACCAGCTTAGCGCCCCAATACACTGTCATGTAATCTCTGCATCCGATGCTGCGACATAGAAGACAAGGCCTGCCCATTTGACCTCTTTTTTCCTCCCCCTCCCTCCCTTCAACTCCTCTATCTTCCACTCATCGCCGCCCCCTTTCTTCCATTCCGGCCTCCGCCGACCATTGCGACTTGGCTTTCAGCCCAACGCACTGCCCCTTTCATTTTACCGGAAATGCCGCTCGATCCGACGCCCATCTCATTCTCGCTCCTCCCACTAGACTAGCAGTCGCACAGGGGCAGAACTACTAAGATGGTCCAGCCCGCAGTGGCATCGCAAGACGCCTGCCGATACTCCTGCTCCTTCCCCAAGGGAGTGACTATGCTCCATACTACGAAGCTATTTCGGTCTTCTTCTAGCGGTGAGCCTTGTTCGTCTCTGATTGCCACAGCCTGCTACGCATCCGCAAGGTGCCGTTATATCCTCTACGTCGCATTCCCCACTGTGACCACTACTGGTGCCAGGTCCCCCAGCAGGGCCCACTCCATCTACCTCGCCTTTATAAGTCACAGATGCGCTTCGAACAAATCAGGCGCTTTATACATATTCCGCGGCCTGATAGTGCTAATATTCAACGGCAAGGTGGTAAACGCTAGCTTGTTACAGGTCAATCGAAAAGGAGATCAATTCGGTACCAAGGACGAAAGTATCAAGACTGGGGAAAGAAGGAAGGAAAGATCTATCTGGTGGGAGAAGTTGTTGATAAACCCGAACATCCCCATCCGGCCATGTTTGCTCTCGCCACCAGACTTGATATCAAACCGACTAACTCATCAACCATCCTTCCAATCCTGCCGTCCTCAATCGTCTTACTCGTAACATAGCTTCCTCATTCGAGAGTACTACTTGGCAGTACCACCAGTCAGGATCAAATGTTTCTATTGATGAGACGATGATTCGCTGCTTTGGCCGCTCTAAACATACCATTAATATGCCTAATAAGCCAATTAAGCAAGGGTATAAGATCTTCGCCCTAGCAGAGCGTGGCTATATTTGGACGTTTACATGGAGTCGCCGTCTCTGGGGTATCGTGGACTTTTCTCGCTGGCCTGATATCAGCCCTACCAGCTCTATGGTACTGGAGATGATCCGCAGGCTTCCTGGGCTTAGCCAGGCCAGTAGCCACGCTGCCGGCCAATATTGTGGCCAATCCTGTTGCCAAACCAGCGGCAACTTCGAATCTTATTCACCTCTCACATCGGCTACTAGCCACGCTGCTAGCCACGCTGCTAGCCACGCTGCTAGCCACGCTGCTAGCCACGCTGCTAGCCACGCTGCTAGCCACGCTGCTAGCCACGCTACCGGCCAATCCAGTAGCAAATCTAGTGGTCGAACCACGCCCTAGACGGTCTACGTGGATAATTATTTCTCTACGGTTGGCCTATTCAAAGCGCTGCGAGATATACGATGTGGCGCATGTGGCACTACACGTGAATCTAGCGGGATTCCCTCTTACCTGGCCGAGCTTAAAGACCATATCAAATCTATCCCCTGGGGTAAATCATATGCATCTGAGTCCGGGGGGGGGGGGGGGGGGGGGGGGTTCTCCGTCTCGCGTGGCAGGATCATAATATAAAAATACTACTATCTACTATCCATTCGCCATATCACTTCGTAAAGGCCGAGAGGAAGCGGCCAGCAGCTACCTCTACCAACGCAGCTATCACGCGTGCTCCCTTGGGTGATAATTTCAAGCCCACTATTCTTCTTTCTTGATGCGGCTATTATTAATGCATATCGCATTCAATGTATCTTTAAGAAGCAGCAGCTAGCTAGGCCTCTTAGAAAGCTAGAGTTCCGCGAGAAGCTATATCAAGAGCTATTCCAATTTGCAGCTCAGACCGCCACCACGAGAGCGATCACAGCTAAGGGGATAACGGTCATCCTAGGCCTAACTCGGTTTAGACAGGTAGAGACCCGCCAATAGTGTTGCGCTACGGAGGTGGTTTAGTCCCCGCTTCCAGTGAGGAGGGATCCCATTGGCTCACTTCGTTCGTTTGCCTGGTGAAGGTGGGTCACTGTTTGGGTAGTCGTAGGCTGGCAGCCCAACCTCATGACAACTAGGACAGATTAGGAAGGGAAGGCTGGAGATGGAGCCTTCCATAGATGGAGTATATCAAGGCTACCACCTCAACGTCAAATGCCGTCCGCTTTCGCAATGCAGAGAAACGACTAGGCTTCGTACAACCACCGCAGTGGATAACCGAGAACCTATCAAGACCCTCTCACTAAGGCCCCACTTCTCAAATCCGCGGAGATAAGCCGTGGATAATTGAACAACTACTTAGTTTGGCTGGTTGTCAAGTACGATGGGCTTAATTCCGTGGAAGAGGAGTGGCTTAATACAGCAAGTTCCTACTGACAACAATTGAAATTATGATATCCTAGGGGCTATATATACTTCATTGTCAGGCTGAATATCACTGTTATCCAAAATCTCAGGTTCCAGTAACATCTACATCATGACTGCCTTTCAGACAATCCTGATTGTTGGAGCTACTTCAGGAATTGGTGAGGAACTTGCATGCCAATACCACGCACGAGGCAAGGATGTAATCGTCTCGGGCCGCCGAACGGCGAGACTAGATACTTTAGCAGCTCGGCTACCCGGAGTAGGCATTATCCAGGTATGCAAATCTACGGCGCTTGATCTACTTCCGCATTGACATACAATAAGATGGATATACAAGACCTGGGCGCTTTACCAAGGCAGATCGATGAAGCATTCACCAAATTTCCCGCAATTGATGCTGTCATTGTCAATGCCGGTGTCCAGATACTACTAGATTACACCGCCGACAACGCCTCCACCATCGGATACCCGACCACGGCTGATATCACCAAAGAGATCACGACCAACCTTACCGGTCCGACGGTCCTCGCACGCTGTGTCATCGAACACTTCCGTGTTTCACGACCAAGCCAGGCCAGCCTTCTAGCCTTTGTCACGTCAGGCCTAGGCCTGGTCCCGGTCACTATGTTACCGATTTACTGCGCTACAAAATCGGCGCTGCATTACTTCACTGTTATCTTGCGAAATCAACTCAAGAACACCGCCATCAGTGTTGTGGAAATTCTCCCGCCGTACGTGAAGACCGAATTGGATGTGGCGCACGCCGATGAGATGGCGAAACGTCTTGGTGGGAAGAAGCCACAGGGGATGCCTGTGAAGGAATATGTTGCAAGTGTTGTAAGAGGGTTGGAGGTCACGGAGATGGATGGGAAGATCCAGAAATATGTTGCGGAGGGGATGCCCCGAGCTGCGGTCGAAGCATGGGTTCAGGCTGTTGGTCCCATGGCTCGGATGTTGCACACGGATTTGTGAACCATTCGGTTGAAGGGCAAATGTCAGGTTCAAAACGCACACCTACCTGCGATGAGAGTTCCTGGCCAAGAAGGCTTAGATATGCCGTCTCGAAACTGTCACCTTGAACAAATGAGTCCCAGGCGTCCTGGTGAAGGTGCATATTAGTGGCCATTTCCATTCTCCGAAGTGTAGACATGCGCACCCAATTAAAGTCACTCATTTCTATACCACCACTTTCCGTGCAGTCAATATTAAGATTGAGACTTGACTCAGAACGAGTCGTAGACTGAGCACCGATATGGGAGCTTTCTCCGTAGCTGAATGGTACTCCCGGTTCAAGGGCTGATAATCTATCGTCTGGAAAAGACAACCTCGGACGCAGTTGCCCCATGATTTTGTCGAGTACGTTTGCCACCTTGCCCGCCTCATGATGCTCGTTCGATAGATGTTTCCATATGGCATGCGAGGTGCTCAGAGCTTGAAATAGCTGTTGGTCCTTCGTATCTACAGATAGGAGGTCCTTTCGCTTTGTTTTTGTTCGGTACTGGAGATATAGGCAGAGTACCATCACAGCAAGGGTAAAATTCATGCCCTCAGGTGGAATGGCGTACCTAAAGTTGGGGTTCAGATACCCGCCTGGTTGAGACTTCTTGTAGATCGTGGCTTGATGGTTCAGCAAGACCATCGATGAATCAACGCATCGTTGCTCTGAGACAGCATATTTTGAATCCGATCTCGCCTCGCGCAGATATCGCCGATGAAGTACAGATACGATTTGGTGGTAGAGTGTGTCCAACTGGACCTTTTGGAGGACCAGATATGGTGGGTCATTGTGCGCATTCTCCCAGTTATTGAGTCGCAGATATGCTGGGATCATGGCGTACACCTGAGCAAGGTCTCTATCAAGCTGCAGAACAACCTCGTAGCGCTTCTCGTGTATGGAGTTCAATGATTCAACAACTCGCTTCATCACACTTAGTATATCGTTTTTTACAAGCATGTACCCCAATGGAACATGCTGCGAAAACGGTCGCGAGGGTGGTAACTCAGACATTGCTTCGTCAATGTCTGTGTCGAGCAGGTTGCGTGGCGCCTCAGTATCCCCGTCTCCTGTCCGGATGGCAGCTGGCATTCCTAGATGAAAGGATGAGAGTGTGTCAATCTGGCATAATATAGTCCAGATCCGACGGCGCATTTCTCCCTGGAAAGGTGTCATATTGGGGAAATGAGATGGATCACGGTGCAGGCCTAGTCGCATGGCAATACGCACAATAGCGCCGATGTCTGGGATCAGACCAGCCCCCCAGTCTTCCCGGTTAGAGAACCCGAACACACAGCGGGCGATCATGACTTGAAGGGTCTGCAGATTGGCTTTGTTTGCACCGATTCGCGTTACGCACTGACCGGAACGCGCATGATAAAGTGTGGCGAGCGTCCCCGACAAGCCTATATAGTGGTCGCTTGCTGCAGGAAGGAAATAGATCGCAAGACTGAAGATGGCATAGAGAAGTCCCAGCCATGATAGCGAAGTTAATGACGGGTTCTTCCAGTGTTCTTGGTACTATTTGAGTCAGCAACCATCAACCATTCCAAGGAGCAAGGCCACAAACTTCTTTCATGAAGCTCGAATAGTGGAGCATATCTGATGTTGGAATTAGATATGACACGGTTACGATGAGGGATCTTACGTTTTAACGGGCCAACAAAACAATCTGGATCAAAAAATCTTGAAACCAACTGGTCGGCTGTGGCACGAGACGGCATGATGACCAACAGATCATCATTCACAGTAGGGGAAGACCCGTTAAATGAACGTGATCCCTGGACGCACGGAGGAGTATCTCTTTGCAGTCCATCGCCTATAGTCAATGTGGCCACCTGAAGTCTGCATCAGCATCTAAAACGTGGATCTAACATCATGGTGTAAATCGTAAAAGCCCACCTCCGCCAGGACATTATCCCAGTGAGTGCTACTGCGGTAGAAGAGGTCTTCGTTACAAAGTCGTCCCTGGATAGGACCTTTGGCTCTATATTGGGATGCCGAGTCATTCACATCTCGTCCCTGTGTCACGCCATTTGCATATATGCACAGGTTGCCGGATCCCCGCGCCATGCAATTGTGGCAGGGCTGTTGACGATCGCATCGCAATCTGAAAAGCGGCTTCCATTATTTTCTCAATCCGGTCGCTAATAGAGCACCACATACTTGCGAATACGACATGGATTACAAGAAAGCGGGACTCGATTTCTTTTCGCAGTGGAATTTGGGATGGCTGGGAGATTGCTTGGTGGTACTAAATCCATCTTGAGGGAAGTAGAACGGCCAATATCACTTTGACGATGAACTTGGGTTGAAAATAATTCGTGTGGAGACAGGACTGTTATAAACCTAGCAGTGGGAACAATCGTTGAAGTCCATCGTAAAAAGCGGGACCAAAAGAGGATGACTAACAGTTCTGGTTGGGTGCGGAATAGGGGGCGGTTACCAAGTAGCAGGCAGACAAGCGGCGGCTCGCTGTGCAAAGTTACGGGTCGACAGGAGGCTGTTTCTGGCGCTAGAAGCTGTCATTTTCGGCGTCGGTTTCACAGGTCCCTATATTCTACTTGTAATTGTTGTCCTGGCGTAGTTGAAAGATGCAAGTGGGGCCAAGCTCCGATCCCCCGCCATGACCTCAACTGGCACCCGCATCACTCTCATCCGTAAGATCTTCTCCAAACACAATCCCCCTCTCCGACTTCACAATGGACCGCTCCAACAAACCCTCTGCGATCGGCGTGAGTGCCTCGCTCCCACAGCCTTCCGTTTCCGTTAAGGATGGCATTATCGAGGCCAGCTTACCCTCCGGCGAGTCCGTCGCGGTTTACCTGTACGGTGCCACGGTCAGCTCGTGGAAGGCGAACGGCCAGGAACAGCTGTTTATGAGCAAGACAGCCCATTTGGATGGTTCTAAGCCGATTCGCGGTGGAATTCCGCTCGTATTCCCGGTATGTCCTCGCTCTTGACTCGCGACCTGTCTATAGGGATCCACGCTAATCCGAAGCTTGAAATGTACAGGTCTTCGGTCCCCCTCCTCAGAACCACGCCACCTCATCCCTCCCCCAGCATGGCTTCGCTCGCAACTCAACCTGGGAGTTCCTCGGAAAGTCCTCCTCGGAGGCCGGCAAAGGAGATCTGGCCGTCAAGTTGGATTTCGGCCTATCGCACACCATGTTGAGCGAGGAGTTCCGGAAGGCGTGGCCGTACGAGTTTGGACTGGTTTACAGCGTCACTTTGACCAAGGATGCGCTCCGGACCTCCCTCCAGGTTACCAACGAGGGCAAGGAGAACTTTGAATTCCAGGTTTTGATGCACACCTACCTGGCCGTGGAGGTATAGTTTCTTTCCAGTCTTGCGCTTGTTGCATATAGCATGCTCGGATCTAACAAGCACAGGATATCTCCAACGTCCGCGTCAAGAACCTCGAATCTAAGACCTACGTCGACAAGACCCGTAACGCAAGCACCCACACCGAATCCTCTCCTGCACTGGCCATCACCGAAGAGACCGATCGCGTCTACCAGGGTCTAGACCCCGCCAAGCCGATCGTCGTCTCCTCCGCTTCGGACGATCAGCCTCTCTTCTCCATCACCCGGGAAGCTCTCGGCGATGTCGTTGTTTGGAACCCTTGGATTGAGAAGGCCAAGGGCATGTCCGACTTTGGTCCCGATGATGCATACAAGAACATGATTTGTGTTGAGGCCGGCTCTGTTTCTGCTTGGCAGACTCTCGAGGCAGGTGACTCGTGGGAGGGTGGTCAGAGTATCAAGTCTCGCCTTTGAGAAGCGCAGATAATTCATATGGATACCGATTATGGGAATCCCCCTCCCTCGATGCATGAAATGTTATGACTTAAGGGCGCTTTTACGAGCTCGAAAATGGATAGATTACTATTGAATGTGGTGGACTATAACTATCTTGTAGATCGCTCGCTTTATCGACGTGGTCGAGATTCATTGTAGAAGCTTGCATTGAATTTTGTATCATGGCCAATAGTAGCCATGCGCCGCAGCTGCTTGAATAAATATACACAAAAAAAAAAGGACAAGGATAGATACAGCCACCAATCAGTCAAAACCAAACCCAAAGTACAAGAAGTCTCGCATCATACAACCATGTTCATCATCAAAATTAACACTTGTCATCCCATCATCACACATGGATATGATCATCAAGACAAGCCGTCGGCGGCGGGCTCGCCACATCAATAAACGACCTCCGCCCCTCCTTGCCAGTCTGAAACGCACTCAACCTCTCTGCGGCTTCAAAGCTATACTGCGGACCCTGGTACTCGCGCCTGCCGCGGAAAATCCACCACATCGCCGTGAGAGCCATCAGGCCCACGGAGATCACGCTCGTATAGTTCATATTCTGAACAGTAACCGGCAACACGAATGGGAAGCAGAAGAACACGACAGTGACCAGGATATACATCAATGCTGTGATATTGACTGCCATACCCAGTTTCTGTCCCATGTAGAAGGGACCAGGAACCATATTCCTTCGACCGGAGAGGACGTGTGGGAAGATCGCGCCAAAGTAGGATAGCGAGCTCAGTACGATGAAGGAGGATATCAACGCTTGAAAAGCGGTTGTACTGCCCACGTAGATGCATCCTAGACAAGTGACCATGGCACTCATAGCTACCGTTGCGCGAACGGGGCAGTTGAGGGTTGGATGGACCTGGGCAAAGTAACTGGCGAAGGGCGTTGCGTTATCACGGGCAAGACTCCACCACATGCGTCCGCCCGTGACAAAAGTGCCAATGAGAGTAGGGAATGTAGCGAGGAAGAGGACTGCTATCAGGCCTATGGCGCCCGCGTTGGAGCCAGTTGCTTGTCGGTAGATCTCGGCTGTTGGGAAGAAGCCGATGTTGCTGGCGTAGACGGCGTCTAGGTCTTGGATGGAGTAGAAGAGAGCGATGAGATAGACGAAAGATGTTGCAAAGGCTGTGAGCATTTGGAGCATGATACCTTGGGGTACTCGTCGCTCCGGCTTGGGGACTATGAGTATACTGTTAGCGATGTACTCTCAGTGCGAAGGGCTATCAATGATACCTTCTTCTGAGAGATGACTGATACAATCGGGAGTCCCGACTGCAAAGGCTGCGTTCAATAATCCAGTCATGAAGCATATACCATCTGACCAACCACCCGTCATATTGTGGTATTCCGTCCAAACTGAGGCATTGCTTGCATGTTTCTTCGGCATCACGGCCAGCACGATGACGGTAACCACCAGTCCGACCATGGACAAGGTGAGTGCGATCCGATTAAGCAAGGGGATAAATCGATTTCCGAAGCAGACAATGGCACAGCAGGACCAATTGACGATTTGGAAGACGATAAAAACCTGCCAGGCATGCCATTCCACACTCGTGTTTTTAAGCAAGTACATAGCCACTGCTTCATTTCCAAGCATAGAGCTCATGGAGGCAGCAGACAAAAGCCATGCGCAGGCATTGAGATACCCCGTGAAGAATCCTGCACCACGTCCTCGACTCCGACTAAGTACTGAGGACCAATAGTACACGCCGCCTGCCGACGGCATTGAAGAGGCTAGTTCAGCCAGGGAAGCCGAGATAGCAGTGTAGAAAATGCTAACGAGAATCAAGCCATAGATCACAGCCATCGGTCCACCATTTTGGAGGGCCGCGACAATTGTTCCGCCCGTAGATGCCCAAGAGCTAAACAGAAAAGGTCAGTCTCGTAGATCGAGTTAAGATGCGAATCCAATACCTACTTGGCGATCACAATGCCCAAACTTGTCAAACTCCACAGTCCAAAATTTCGCTTCAATTCCTGCTTATGGCCAAGAGCAGCTTCTAGGCGTACCTCATCTATCTCACCCTTAGTCTTCAATGGTGTCACCCCATCCTGAGATGGTGTCTGAGGTACCTCCACGGCCATGCTGTCCGTCTCGAAAAAAGCGAAGAACCAAAAAGCCGAACGGGTCACTACAGGGGGAACTAGGAAGAATAAAAACAAATGATCAAAAGTCAAAGACCAATCCAAGAAGGAGGTCACCCCGCGGAAGCGAACTGACGCATCTGTTTTTTCTTTTCTTCCGGACAGACACGGCCAATCCGAGTTGTCAGCCCTGGAATGCTTCATGCGAGGAGGGCGCGATGCCCATATGGCCGCCACGTGTGGTGCACAAAATGTTACGAAGGAATTCTACGAGAACAAAGAAAATATGTTCTTGTGGAGATGACCAGTCTTTCGAATTTTTCTGACAGGGACCGTTGGTGGTCAATTCCACAATTCCAGGTCCGAGCCAAAGGCGTCGCTATTGGCAATGGGCGCTTGGACGGGCATGGCTCCTGCACCCGACAAAGTAAATGCCAAAGTAGATTTAGGACCTGTCTAGATCATGCGACGCGGTAGATCGAATCGCTGGAGATTCATTCTTCTAATGCAAATGGGCAGTGGACTTCTCTAATTACCTTCCTAAAGGGTCAGAAAGTGGGCGTGGCTTATAGTGTTCGATGCATCGCAATCCACGCAAGGGGGGATCGGTTCATAGAGTGATCCATAGCGACCCTAGGGCTGCTTCGGGCGCCGATCGGGCGACGATCCCCTAGTCTCCCAGGAACCTTGACCGGGGGCCCCGACAAATAGCCAAGCTGGAATATGATCTCACAGTGAAACAAGGTATTTCTTTACGAGAACCATAATCCTGGAAAACTAAGTTCCCAATTTGAGCAACCTACGGAGGGTTTGACTATCCTTGCTATGACACACTGCCACCTCCCTTCCAGCATTCCTGTTGAACTCCTGCGCAAAATCCCATTGGCGTGATGCGAGCCCAGCGACCGGTCTCTAGGGTGTTCCACATGGCCTCGCGTGTACTGTAAACAGGATCTTCTTGCCTAGGGCGTGTAGGTGCAGAAGGTTTTAATAGATCAATGCATCAGACTCGATCTGATCTTGCCAGGAAAAAGCAAAGATCTACACTGGTGGGCTGGGAAAAAGAAACTCTTTTACGAAACTCTGTCTCGGAGACTGCCGGTGTGTCGGGCCATTTTGAAATAACTAACGAGGCATTAAGAACTTTCAGCTTGATAATGACTGGCAATTGCATATTATCCGCGGAGGTCCCTTGTGTAATACTTTGGATAGTGGGTAAAATCTATCTATAACTAGTGACCCAGACTTGAGATTCTTACAGGAATAACAAAAGGGCCAACCGAAGTGATAAAATACATACAGTTTGGTTAGTTTCTTTCTATCTAGAAGTCTTCTAGTTAGCAAACGAATTGTCTGGCTAGATAAGCTTCAAATACCGCTGGCTCCTTTAAACTGTTTTCTTTCCAGAGGTCTTTCCAGAGGTCTTTCCAGAGGTCTTTCCAGAGGTCTTTCCAGAGGTCTTTCCAGAGGTCTTTCCAGAGGTCTTTCCAGAGGTCTTTCCACAGGTCTTCCGAACCGTCTCTCCACATAGCTTTGGAATTATTTCTTAGGCTATCTTTTAGCTCATGGCTAATAAAGTTCTTTGGAGACCTAGTCAAGGAATATTACAGACAGTAGAGCAGGTTCTTTTCGTGTCCTAGTAGCAAGAACCAGCTAGTATTATGTATCTTCTATCGATATATCTCTCTTATTCTAATCTAGTATGAACCTGGAGTGAATTCACCGGATGCCTCAATGATTGCTAGTGGATATGTTTGTGGTCGGGCTAATTCTTTGGACTGTATCTGTCACCGCCTCGAAATCTCCAGAGGAGTATGCGGCGTGTGTGGGAGCGGGCTGGGGTAAAATTTATGTCTGGGAACTTTGGGGATTTGTTTGGCAGGAAGTCTCCAGATGGTAACTTCCAGATACCATAAAAGGCCTTTCTGTTGCAGTACTCTCTTTCTCTTTTTCTTCTTCTTCTTCTTCTTCTTCTTCTTCTTCTTCTTCTTCCTCTTCTTCTTCCTCTTCCTCTCTCCTCTCCAAACCTTCCGTTGAAATCTTATCCTCGTTGACTGGTTGCCATTCTACCTACCAATACCTCATCACCTTTGATGACTCGACCCTATTGACCTCGACTACTCGGTCGTTTGGTCATGCGTCCTCCCGTTTACACCTGCATAGATTGCTCTGCAGGTTTGGTGGTTCTTTCCAGGACCGACGCTTTGTTCTTTGTCTTGCAGACCTATTTAGGTCTTTCTCTTCTTCCTTTCCTTCTTCTTCTCTAGATCCATCTTCATCATAGTCTAGATAGACATTGATTCAGATTCCCCTCCTTTCTGCTTCCTCTGCGTAGGTGTCGGCGACACCATCAACCTTCTATATATATATTTATATACATGATGACTTGACCTCCTTTTGCCCTCGAGGACTCGGCCGTTTGGTGGTGCAGTCCTCCGTTTGTACCTGCATAGATTGCTTCTGCAGGTTTGATGGGTTTCGCCAGGACCAGGCCTTATTTAGGCCTTTGCCTTCTTATTTTCCTTTCTTTCTTCTTCTTCATCATCTTCATCCTCATGTCTCTAGATAGACAATTGACTCAGATTTCCCCTTGCTTCCTTGCGTAGGTGTCGATGGCACCATCAATACATATATTGCTACGGGCCTGAATCTTCATGCCAGTTGCCACATCGTCATCTTGATGGGAAATTCCCTGAATTACAATCTCGAGACACAGGCGATTGGGCGTGCTCATCGGATCGGGCAGACCAAGCCGCAGCTGGCGTATCAGCTATCTCAAGACCTAGCGGACTAGTTTAATTATCATTGCCCAGGCTTAGAGATTCCGCCTCTCCATGGAAGTCATGACACTTGATGTACGATACCCTTCGGGGATCAAACCTTTCCCCAGGGAGACAGGACTTGCATAAGAGTGGTTGTGACGATAACGCCGCCGATGATTCTGAGAATCCATTACACGCCACCAGGTCCTCGGCAGCTGCATTGGAACTGGGTACCATGCAGTTAAACGCGGAACCCAACCTGAATGCTCTGACTGGAGGTGGTGCACCAAGTGCCCCGTCTGTGGAGAAGCCAAAGAAGAAGAAGCTCCCCCCACCGTACACCTCGGAGTGTAAGTACCACTTTGAGAGGGTCATACTGGACGAATGTCAGTACGTCAAGAACATCCGAACATGCGCCCATCAGTGCATTACCCAGATTCCTCGCAATGCCTTGTTCGGACTCACCGCTACCACCATGTGGAATCGGATCCTGGACTTGTATGGCTACTGTAGCCTCCTCACCGGTCATCTCACCGTGAAATTCACCAAGCAAAACCCAACTGGGGGCCTCCTTGGTCCTAACGATGTTCGATACCCTGATCTCCGTGTCTTGTACAAGGCCTGGTCCGATGTGACCATTCTCCCGGAGAACAGCACGAAAATTCCCTACGAGCTGCTTAACCCGGCCGTGCTGGTTCAATTGACCAAGGATACGCACGGCGAGATCACGACGCAGATTTGATACGAAGCGTATCCATTCCTGTTCCGGGCCTCTATCATGCAGCGATCCATGGGGGACCGGGTGCTGGATCAGAATGGGCGTTCAATTGTCATTGGCGCGGACATTCCACCCCTCCGAGTCATGACAATCGAATTGCGGTACTCGCCTGTGGACCAAAAGTTCCACAATATCGATTACGATTTCTACATTGAGAACTTACACAAGAGTGGTGGTGATAATGGCGCTGCCGATGATTCCTCGCCTGGCGGGCGTATCAATATGGGTCTGCTTCGTATCCTATGCCTGAATGCGTTTAGTCCGTTACTTTCTAAGTATTTGGACAGCGGTACTCGTGCCCAGACCCTTAGTCAATTCATCGGCCGCCTTGTCAATGGCGCCGATAATGGCTTTGAAGCATTCTTCCTTGCTACTTGCAGAGACGTGTCCATTCCCCGGCTCAAGGATGCAACTGAGCAAGCCTACTATCTATGTAGGCGATGCTCACGTCTCGCCATGCTCCTCCGGATCTTCGACTTGGAGGGTGCCTTTGTCCACCCCCGGCCCCGTTTCCTCTTGGTCTGCCATTGGCCTATGGTGGCCTGGATGGTAGAGATGTTCGTGGTCCGGTTGGGCCTACGAACGGTCTCTGTTACAGCATCCAAAACGGCAGAGGAGTGTGCGGCGGCGGTGACAGAGTTCACTAGCCCTCGGTCTTGTTGCTAGGTGATGTTCACCACATACAATTGTGGTGCCACTGGGCTCAATCTTCATGGGAATTGTCATATTGTGGTCTTGATGGAAAATGCATTCAAGTACAATCTGGAAATCCAGGCAATTGGGCGAGTGCATCAGATCGACCAGAAGCAGCCGCAGCGAGCATATCGGCTCTCCCAAGATCATACCATCAGTCGGTACCTACATTATAACAATTTCCATAAGATGATGCCCCAGGTTGCTGCACAGTACCGGGACGCCTTTGAGGCAGAGGTGGAGATGGCTGCTGGTGCGGACCCTGATAGAAGGGCGAAGCACATCCGTGATTGATGACTCGACCCCATTGACCTCGACTACCAGGTCGTTTGGTACTGCGTCCTCCTGTTTGCACCTGCATAGATTGCTCTGCAGGTTTGATGGTTGTTTCCAGGACCAGCCCATTGTTCTTTGTCACATAGACCTATTGAGGTCTTTCTCTTGTTCTTCCCCTTCTTCTCTTCTAGATCATCTTCGTCTTCATGTCTAGATAGACCAATTTGAGTCAGATCTCCCTTTCTTGATTCCTTGCGCAGGTGTCGATGACACCATCAATGATGCTTGTGAGAAGAAGTTGCGTGAGCTCATGGGCTTGGACAAGGACTTCCCGAGCTACTTTACAATGGTGGACAAAAAGATCCAAATCTGACATCGGAAGGTGTGTCCAAGCGCAAAGCCAACCCAGGGCGAGCTATCAAGCCTGTCCCTGTGGTCGCCCCTAAGCGGAAAACCACCGAGGGGAAAGCTCCCTCGACAAAGCGCCAGAAGACAGCAGCAACGGCTCCAGCAGACAGCAACAAGGTGGCGCAGGTCACAGGTCAGGTACCTCGGCCGTCGTCAAGCCTTTTCAGCGCCAAGAAACCGGCCAAGAAAACGACCAAGGAGCCCACTGCAGAGACCGCCGAGGAGACATCAAGATGCCAAAGCTGAAGATCACATTCAAAAGTCAGCAGGCTAAGGAGGCTCCCAAGGAGGCCCCCAAGGCGGTCCCAGCTTACACTATGATCACTGGTCCAATCCCCTGGGCCAAACTGGCCAACTACATCACAGTGTTCCAACGGCAGCCAAAGATGACTCTGGGCTAGGGTCTAGCGACGATGACTCGGAGTCCTCGGAGGAGGAGCCAACTCCATCCCGAACCCGCCGTTCGTGATCGTTTTACAGATTGAGCTAGTGACTTTTAGGGGTCTATTCCTGGACCACCATAGGTAGGAAGATGGAATTCAATGCATTTTGTCTGTCCTCCCATGATTTGCTAATCAAAATTAGACAGCGGCCGGAGATCGAATTTCGGTCGGCGCACCAACTTTTTTGCCCTATATCTATGGATATAAAAATATATTGATATCATGTATCTAGCTTTACTATAACACTACGTTAACTATAACACTTACTAATCTTATAAGTAGTAACTAACGTAATCCACGGCCGACCGGATCACACGGCCGACCGGATCACCCCTTCTAAATTCGCGTCTTTCTACCAACCTGATTAATTCAACCACCTACCATGCCACCAATTCGCAGTGAATCTAGCCATAAATTGGCTAACCAAGAGGGCAAGATCCTATTAGCCCTTTCTGATTTAAAAGAGGGCCGTATCTCTTCTATCCGCGCAGCAGCAAAGCTATATGAGATACCCTACACTACCCTACATACGCGTGCCGATGGCCGAGTCTCACGCGTTGATAAGCGCCTATCTAGTCATAAATTGACCTAAACCGAAGAGGATACGCTTGCTAAGTGGATATTATCTATAGATTCACGTGGAGTAGCGCCTAGACCGGCTACTATAGGAGAAATAGCTAATATCCTACTTACTACGCGCGGTAGTAACCCTCCGCCTACTATTAGTGTTAATTAGCCATTAAGCTTTATTAAACGCCGCGATGAGCTTCGGTCTCGCTTCTCGCGAAGATACGATTACTAAAGAGCCCTAAACGAAGATCCGAAATCGATTCGGTAGTGGTTTACGACCGTATAGCGCACAATCGATGAGAAGGGTATATAACCGGAGGATATCTATAACTTTAATAAGATAGGCTTTATAATAGGCCTTATATCTTCGCAGAAAGTAGTTATAAGAGCTAAATACTACGGTCGGAGGTCTCTTCTATAACTAGGAAATCGCGAATAGATTACTACGATCGAAGTAATCTACGTAGATAGCTATTCACTACCGCTATATATAGTCTTTAAAGGCAAAGTGGCTATTACAGGATAGTTTAACGAAAATCTACCGAAAGACTAGCGAATCGAGGTCTCTGCTAACGGTTAAACTACCTATAAGATTAGCCTACGCTAGTTATAAAAGATCTTTATACTATATACGAATTCGTGCGTACGAGGTCGGTTTCGGCTATTAATTCTTGATGGTTATAGTAGCCACCTTACACCCTAATTCGACCGAATCTACACAGAAAACGATATTATACCTCTTTATATACCTACGCATTTATCGTATCTACTATAACTACTAGATATTAGGTATTTTGTAGTAGTTAAGCGCGCGTATAGTCGCTTCGTTAGCGATCTTACGCGTAGAGGATATAACTATATCGATAAGCACGATTTCTTAGTGGATTACTAGCACGCGCGGCTAGAAGCGTTCTAATTAACTAATCCCACTATCAAAAATAGCTTCGTAGCTAGCGGTCTAGTACTATTAGATACTAAGAGAGTACTTGTCAACATGTGGATGTTGTGGGGTCACATGACGAAGGACCCACTCATATAACCCCTCTCTACATATAGATCTTCTTCTATAAAGATCTAACAGATTGATCCTCAACGATCTCGCATATGATTGCCTACCTAAGCAAGAGACTCTCAACAACTCTGATTCTGTTGATTTATCATGTGATCTTTTGCTATGTTTCTTGTGATATAAATACTGCTATGTTACCTAGTTAAATTGAATCAAGTTTATCATCCTTTGTGATCTCCCTTCTAGATCAGTGGTACTCTTCCACAATCGTGGTACTTCTTCTTCTTCCTTAGAAGTACGCACGACCGATAGACTCATAACCGTGTATTCAGACACTATATTGAGTATTTACCAATCCTTATGCACACTATCGTCTTGTGTGTATGACCACGACTTTATGGTCACCGCCTAGAGTCCGACAGTACTTAATAAGCTTAATATCTCTCTACGAACTCTAATACCACTAAATAGCCGGCTAAGTAGTAGATCTAGCGAATTTATACCACAAACGCCTAGAACCGCTACTTAGCTATTTAAGTAAGCTTCTATATTGAAAGATCTACTAAAACGGCGGTTAAATAGCCCTCCGAGCCTATCAAAAGAGATCCTAGACCAGATAATCAAGGGGTTCCAGCTCGCGCTTCACAGCGGTGCACTACTAGCAGAGGACAACGCGAATTTACGTATAGCGAATAAGAAGATGGTCAAAAAGCGCAATCGGTCAACTAAGAAGATACCCTGCGAAGAGGTTTTAACCATTAAAGAGGCTATACAGCTAGCTACGTAGCTAAACTAGCTAGAGGAAGATAATGGGGTAGATTCGCATACAGAGATCGAATTACCTAGTCAGCCAACTAGGCCAGCAGCTAGGGCTCCGCCTAGGTGTAGTGGATGCAGGGAGATTGGCCACAGGATTAATGTATGTAAAAATCGCTATATCTAGTTGAATTAATAGGTGTTGGTTGAGATAATCGATTTTGAAGTATCCCCATGGGGTAAGCTGATCCGGTCGGCCGTGGATTACGTTAGCTAGTAAACTCTAAACATCTTCTCCAGGGAGCCGTTAACATAGTCGAGGACTTATTCAATCTGATCACCTGATTTTCACGAATAAGGACTCAAGATATATAGTACTATAAATAACCCGAGGAATATGGGCGACTCGTTTAACTCATAATTTTGTCTGGAAACTACAATGGATGTCCGTATTGAAAGAGGTTGATGACATGTAATTCTATTAGAATCAAGAAAATTTTGCTCTCTTCGAAAGCGAATAAATCTCCTTTCTACTGAGCCTCAGTTTCTGCTTTGTTTTGAGCAACTCTTGTGTTAGTTACACAATTTCGACTGTTCATGAAAAGCCTTATCCTTCTTAATTGATTGTATCGTTTTCTTACCAGTGAATCTTCAGTCAGTAGTGTAGCAGCCCTCCGACGTGTCATATGTGATGCCTGTTAAGGCGTTGCTGCGTTCTTATGGATAGCTGGCTTTCCTCGATTTACCCCGAGTCAACAGACAAGTCTGTCTCTGGAGTTGCTTAGTCCAACTTTGTGAAATATTTCGATTAACTTCACGTCGATTGTGGTGTATTTTATTGATTGTCTGATACCGCAGGAAATGGCTTTGTTTCTCCTAAAATGAGTAACAATGGCAAACCTATATTTTCTTTGGGCTTACTCAAGGTGGCGGCCTTTAGGACTACAAATCAGGCCGTATCCGAGGGCTAAAGCTAAATTACCCCCAACCATTCAAATGATTCCTACGCTCTGCAGAAATAGTGTGGGTGAGGTGGCGTGGCTGCGGCGGGTGCATGCAAGTTTAGTGCCTAGGGCTTATCTTAATCTCGAGTATCTGAATACGGCTCTAGGTGTTTCTTCAAGATGATTACGAGGGGGAGAAGAACGATTTGAAGGTAGCTATGTAAGATCTTCATCAGTGCTTTTAGTTGCGCTACGCTCAAAGGTAAATGGCACTAGACAAAGGGGAACGTTTTTCGAGGGAACATGGTTTTGCACAAAGAAAGTCCTGCATACAACACGAAGCCAACTCTTCAACTTTCCTTTTGGTAATGACTTGAGAAGTAAAAACCTATCTCGCTTAGGCACTCAGAGATTGCGCATCATACTTTGTGATCTCCGACAGTCAAGAATCTTGGGTGCATTGAGAGTGGACCTATCAACTAAGTGCGGGGGATCTAGGCAGATCAGGTGATCAGGTGTTCGCGGCTCTACAGGCCTAATTTCAAGGGATTTCTAACTAAAGAAGTTACAGCAAGCCATCAATAATGTTTTAGAAAGTGGCTGTCGATATCCTTGGCATGTCCAGCCGGTTGACCCGTTCTATCAGTGATTCTGCACCGTGATCGTGCTAGTTGCGTTTGGAACAGTCGCGATCTAAATTTCTCCCAAGACCATAGCACCAAAGTAGCTTTCCGTCAAAACATTCGGTTCATGGGACGTACAAACTTTAGCATCTAGGCATCTACATAATTATAAACTCGAAATATGCGTTCCTGGCGATGAGCCCTATCGCCAACTCGGATATCGCGTCAAAGGTAAATTCGAAACACGTAGATCCCATCACCAAAGTCACTGGTGACTGGTGGTCCGAGCATGAACTATTGGAACTTGGCTCGGATCACCTTGCAGATCAACGATCCGAATGTCCCAATCAGATCCCTCGCCGGAGTCACCGTACGCTCTATGCGCCCACCGCGGAATCTGACCTGTCACCCGATTGTCACCCAGATTGCTTTTTGTTCGAGGGATTGCAGATCATCAAGCTATCGCCATCGTACATGCGGGAGGATTAGGCCCCGATTATAGCTGGGCGCTAGGTCAAAGCCTAAGTCGAGCGATCCAATACGTGTGAATTGACCAAGAGTTACACGATACACTAAACTCAGGGTCCGGGCTCGCCTAAGAGATCCTAGAATGGATATCGAGCATGCTTTCTCGTGTCGCACGAACAATGAAAAAACGTGAGAAACAAAAGCAACTTTCCATGGTAAGGTTCGGATCTCCGCATTTCCTGTGACTCGCCGGAAGTCCCTAGGCTTTGGGAGTAAATCGGGTAGAAAAGTAGGGATGAATCGAGTCCTGGATCTCCCATTATGATCTGCATTCCAAAGGCAACTGCCATCGATCTGGGTCAACAAGCTCTTGCCCTCCCTTGCGTCCTGATTCCCAGTCCTCCTTGCTTGTCACCCAGCCCTTCCAGCCCAGCACTGACATTTCACAGCCCATTATGCATGGCACCGCAAGCCCAGCCCTTGGCTAGCGCTTTGCTGACTCCCCCGATAGCTTTGAGTTTATTCACGCTCACCGACTGCGATAAAACTGATCACTTTGGTTGGAGCCCGGCCCGATCTACAGTAGTCTGAGCAAACAAAAGCACCAGGCCCGCCGATGACATCGTCCGGTCATGGCCTCTGAAAGGATGCTTCTCATCAGTCTCGGACTTTGACTTCTTACTCTTTGCACACATTGAGTCATCTATGGCAGAATCCCCTCTTCCCTCTAAAGACCTCAAGTCAAGTTGGCCTAGGGAGTGACTCTCCCTCCTTCCGCCAGGATGGGAGACGTTTCACCAACTCCACATCAGCTTCTCGTAGAAGCTATTGTTTTTTGGAGTATAGCAGTTGTCATTTATGTCGGACGGATGTGTGTTCATCTTTATGCCAACACTCTTTATGAGAGATCGCTGACGATTACCTAGGATCTCGCGAGCAATTGCGGGCGGATCAATCAAACGTTTATTCTGTACGACATTCCGACTTGATTTCGTGTTCTAGCTCTTGATCGCTGACTTTTGATTCGACTTCCGTAGGGGACGATTATGTTATGACCGCTACTTTTGTATGTCGGGTCCAAGCTCACTCTCCTAATCTATATCTCTCGTCGTATAGCATGTGCAACATTTGGCTAATTGGCATTCGCGACGCAGATGATATACACCACCCTGCTCGTTCTCATTCAAATTTCCGCACGCTATGCCACGAATCTTATGGACCCGAAAGACTATGCCGAAGTGTTATCAGACCCGCAGCAAGTTAGCGATCGCATCTACGGAAGCAAGATCGTAATTGGCTTGGAACAGTGCATGTTGGTCTCGACATGGGGCGTCAAGACATGTATGCTGATTCTATACTGGAGGATTACGCAGAACCTCCGCTCCAACTTGTACATCAAAATCCTTTGTGTGTATGTGGCACTCGGCTTCGTCGTTATCATGATCACCTACTACGGAGTGTATTGTCGGCCATTTAGCCAATATTGGGCGATGCCAGTGCAAAACATGCAGTGTGCGACCTACCAGTACTACTCGATCACCCAAGCGGTTTTCAACATCTCGTCGGATGCGATGATGTTCGCTGTTCCGATTCCACTCCTCGTCAAAGCTCAGCTCAAGCGACGCCGGAAGGTCTTACTTCTGGGTGTCATGAGTCTGGGCCTGTTTACCATTATCGCCGCTATCCTCAACAAGTATTTCAATTTTGCCTCTCCTCTCACCACCACTTATCAAATCTGGTACATCCGTGAAGCAAGTACCGCGATCTACGTCGCAAACTTGATGTGTTGGTGGCCTCTATTGCGCAAGCTGTTCGGACTCAAGGCCTTCTCGTACAACAGCAACCGCGGCAACAGACCTCGAAACCCAAACAATCAGAATAAGGACGCTAGTGGCTATTCCGAAGCCTCACGATCTCGACCATCCGTCTCCCTTCCCTGTCCATTGAAATTCATACCAGGCTTCCGCCATGCAGGCCAGAACGCTCATAATGGAAGCCAAAGAGATACGAATCGCTCCAGCCAGGAGGCTATTACGCACGCTTCGCATGATTATATGGAGGAAATTCATCAAATTGATGGCGTTGCACTGGAAGCCTGGAATGGCAAGGGCAAGCAGAATATCGATATTGAAGAACAAAAAGGGACTAGTCAGGATTCCATTACGGTGTTTGAGACGGATCCAAAGACCTCGTCTCGACAGGACCATGTTCACAAGGTGACATGAAGCGATGCTGTTATTGATGTATAGGACTGCCTTATCTACGGGCGTTTGGTTGGGTTTTTGCTATTTTACATCTTTTTCCTTGGTCAATTGTTTGGGCGCTCCTTTTGTTCGATACCCCGCTGGGGTATATTGACTCTTTCAACCCCTAGCTATCACTGTTTAAATAGAACCTGGGGAATATGCTCCTAACCACACGTGTTAATTATTATTTCTTAACTATATTCAGTCAGTCAAGTTTATATACTAAGGTAGAGACAACAATTATGGAGACCATGGTTCAATCTAGAAGCTTTTAGGAAAGAGGTAATGAGCTAGCATGTTATACCTCCAAAGATTAATAAACCCCCTCTTGGAAACCCCGACCCGTATAATCTTCGATTCGATTGCTAGACATCCTTCTTACGTATCAGTATCAGAGATAAATTACTCTTACTAAGGATCTTCCTTTTGATATAGAGAAAGGTCTACCTCTTTCGAGACCTCTTTCGAGACCTCTTTCGACACCTCTTTCGACACCTCTTTCGACACCTCTTTCGACACCTCTTTCGACACCTCTTTCGACACCTCTTTCGACACCTCTTTCGACACCTCTTCTCTCACTTTCAACCTCCAGATTTTGAAGTCTACTCAAACCTAGCAGGGATTTAATTCCTCACTTGATACTAGTTCATATGCCAATATGGAGGTTCAAAGCGTCGGCCAGCAAGAGCCTCATCGAACAAACCTCGACGGCCTGGTTTTCTTCGCCCGAAGATCTTCCGGGCCATCACCTCCATTTTCCCAGTTGAAGCTGTGTGCCGAATTCCTGCATCAGCATTGGACGGCAACATTTGGTAGCTTCAATGGGTCCCACGTCTATATCTTAATTAATTTGAAATAATTGATGTTAACCAACAAAGCTCTTTATGGATGCCCGGCCCTACGTGTAAGAAGAATTGCCAGAGACATCCGAGGGTCCGCCAAACACATACCGCCAGTATATCAGATGGTTCATACAAAGCTCAACAATCAAACTCTTTAGAGACCTAGCAATCAAGGTACGTAATTTAATAAACTATTGAAGTAATAATCAAAAAATTATAGTAGGAATTTCTAGTCCCCCTATAAAATAATTGATATTAGGTCCGTCAAGGAGGGTAGATATTTCTTAGAAGGCGTCTTACAAGATCACCTGAAAAATAACAGGATAGTATTAGAAAATTATCTAAATCTCAATATCTCTGATATCAATAGCCAATAACGCGTGGTGGTTGAGACACTCGAACATCATGTGAAGCATTTTGTATGGATACCCTAACAAAAAACTACCGGCAAAAATAGTATTTTTGGGTAGTGGACCCCCGCTATCGGAGGTCCGTAATAAATGGTAATTTATGTAGAGGTCGGTTCGTCAGTATTTAGTCGAGTAAGACTAAGAGAAGCTAGGGGGAGAAAGATAATGAACATTTTGAGCTACTGGCCTACCTAAGCTAGCTACTTAACTACGGTTAGCTAGCTAGGTGGCATTATTGACCAGATTCCATTCAGTTTACTTGTTTACTCAAGTGGATACAAGCAATATCAACCATGGTTTGAGCCGAAAGCTGTCAGAAAACGGATGATGAAGTGGCATGTCATAGGTCGAAGTTTGGCATCTTCCAACAGAGTCAGCGCCGATAGTCCAGTGGTCAGGATCCTTCCTTCCCAGGAATGAAATAGGAAGGGGCCCGGGTTCGAACCCCGGTCGGCGCAAGGATCTACCGTTTTTGTCTGTTGAGTTTTGACCGTCTGATCCAGTGGTGGCTGTCACACTAAAAGCTCGGCGGTAGCAGTGTTGAAACCGAGCCCGTATTGGAAGAATGTTTGTCCGAAATGCCGACCGAACCAATCAGCAGTGCCCCTTTTCTCTCTCTCATGTCTTCTCTTCCTGGTTATCATCCTTCTTAGACAAACATTTCCTTTACTACTTCCTCTCTATACATCAGCCCTTTAGACTATATTTGGGTCGAATACCTTTATACTAAATTTTCTACCACTGCCTAACCTTCAGAGGCATAGCGGTGTTAGAAAATAGCGCAAGAAATGTCTAGTTTGTGCTATCTTTATACGATCGGCCCTACACTCATCATTTATCGTTCTTATATACTAGTACCGGTACAATGCTATAACAGATTTGTAACACGTCTTTTAGAATGTCTTTTGGCACGCCTTTTAGCACATCTTTTAGCATATATTTCAACACATTGTTGGGAACACATCTTTTTACCACGTCTTTCAGCATCTTCTTCAGCATATCTTTTCTGAACAATACAGACTAGAGTTTTCCATTCAATCGTATGATTATATCGTAGTGACCTTTTCTTTCGAAATCTTTTCGCGGTGTAAGAATAGACTATAGTATAGTGATATAGTTCTCTATGTACTAGAAGTTGTAGACTGTATGCTTAGTCTTTGCGGGTTTGAAGAGGTCAATCACACGGAGGGTGTTGGTAACTACAAGAATTTAGATGGCATAAATAAGGATTTTCAGCATAGTTGCTCTTAGTATGCCCATCTTAAGCTTCCTAGTTACTGCTCGGTGGCGTCGCTGGGAAGTCCGAGTCTCGGAGTTAATTGCGGTTAAGTCGGCACTCCACTCGCCGTAAACGGGCCAACCCGCCGAGTGTGGGGGGCATCGGCGATGGTGTCAGAACCCGAGATTTTTTGCCTTCGCTTTGTTTTTTCACTCCTCACTTCAATGCAAATCCGACTTACTGGTCTGGCATATTGGGTGTGCTGAGTCCAACATTAGCCCAAGTTCCGCAGACCGAAGATCAGCGACTCCCAACCACACCATATACTCAACTGCCGAAACTCTTAAAGTCGCGTGCCGCCCGGTCTTGGCTTGATGGGGTCCTCTCCGCACGAACGTGCGGGCCAACCCCAACTGGAGGAGACGGACGTCATTCAACTACCTTCGCATGACAATCTGGACTTTTCCCACAACGACTTATCCACTGAAAGTGACGATGACAGTGTAGATACTGCCATCCATGACGAGAACTATACACGAAGAACCCCACGTCCGCCGCCACTACTCATAAACCACCGCCGTTTCCCATCAGCGGACGAAGATAATAGTGATCACGATCATGACAGTATTCTCCCTTCGCATGAGGGATTCCAAGAAGAGAAACCAGTGACATGGAGCTCTTTACCAAAGAAAGGGCAACTGGCTATCCTGACCTTTGCCAGATTATCGGAGCCGCTTACCCAAACCTCATTACAAGCCTACCTGTTCTATCAACTTAAATCGTTTGACCCGTCATTACCAGACTCGGCAATCTCGGCGCAGGCCGGGATCATGCAGGGTAGCTTCACTGCTGCCCAGTTTCTGACTGCGGTCTGGTGGGGTCGACTGGCTGATGCAGAATGGATGGGCCGTAAGAGAGTTCTGCTGATCGGTCTTCTGGGAACATGTATCTCGTGTTTAGGATTTGGATTCTCCCGATCCTTTACATCGGCTATCGTCTTCCGCACTCTGGGTGGAGTGTTGAATAGTAATGTCGGTGTGATGAGAACTTTAATTGCTGAGATTATTGCGGAAAAGAAGTATGTTACACCCGTCTGCACGGTGACCCCAAAAACTAAGACATTCCAGGTACCAATCAAGAGCATTTTTGCTACTGCCCATGTGTTTCAACATTGGTGTGATTATCGGTCCAATCTTGGGAGGCTCGCTGGCCGATCCTGTCAATAGCTTCCCATGGTTATTCGGTCCCGGCTCTGCCTTTGGAGGCAAAGACGGCGTCTGGTGGATGCAGCGCTGGCCGTATGCCCTGCCGAATGTGTTGAGTGCTATTTTTATATTCATGTCATTACTCGCTGTCTTCCTTGGCCTCGACGAAGTAAGTTCTCCCAGGCCAACCGCCGAGGACGAGAAATGCAGCTCTAACTGTAATTCAGACACACGAAGTCGCGCGTTACCGTAGTGACTGGGGCCGCAAATTAGGAAAAAGAATTGTGCGAGCCTTTACCAGGCAGCCTCGACACTATCGCCCTCTTCAAACTGACGATACTGACTCCGTGTATCTCGATGGCAGCGTGGGCACATGGTCTGCGCCATCAAGTCCAGCCCGCTCACGCACGCATCCTCGACCTCGTCCCCATAAGCGACCTGGCTTCCGACAAATTTGGACCAAAAATGTGATGCTCACATTGTTTGCACACTTTCTCTTGGCTTTCCATACGAGCGCTTTCAACGCAATGACCTTCGTGTTCCTTCCAACCCCTCGCGCACCCAAAGGTTCCCGCGATGGGTTCTTCCACTTCGGTGGCGGACTGGGTCTTCCCTCAGCGCGTGTCGGTCTAGCCACAGCTATCATTGGGTTCATTGGCCTCCCTCTGCAAATCTTCCTTTATCCTCGCATCCAGTCCAAACTCGGAACCCTCACCTCCTTCCGCGTGTTCCTCCCATTCTCCCCTATCTCCTACCTGCTTATGCCATTCCTCGTCGTCTTACCACGTCTAGTGTGGGTTGTTTGGCCCGCTTTCACCGTCGTGGTATCTCTGCAGGTCATCTCACGCACCTTCGCGCTCCCTGCTGCCATCATTCTTGTCAATAACTGTGTGACTGACGCTTCTATTTTGGGTACGGTTCATGGAGTTGCGCAGAGTATTTCTAGCGCTGCTCGCACCCTGGGCCCTTTCCTTGGAGGGTGGGGTCTTGGTCTTGGTCTGGCTAATAACATGGTCGGGGCTGTGTGGTGGGGGTTGGCTATTGAAGCTTTCCTGGGCTGGTTTGTGCTGTGGACTATCCAGGAGGGAAAGGGTATACAGAAGCCAAAGGAAGAGAATGATGATGAGGATGATTGATGTATAGAGCTGGACCCACCAGCAGTTGAAATAGATCAAATTGTATACGCAGGGCCCAACTACTCAACGTGTAGTGTCTCGACCTAAGAATGCTTATTTCTGCCAGTCTTCTATTCCCATTCTAAGCCGAAGGTTCTAGATCTGCTCAAATTCTCACTTATTGGCTAGATTCACCCGGGACTAGACGTGGGTGAGCTAGTGGACAAGGAGAGGCATTGACTGGCCGCAACTACCCCACACGGCGATATACGCGGTACAGTAGCGCCCGGGGTAAAGATATGTCCATGACTCCACCTCGCTTAGTTGTACGTTCTCCCCAAGAAAAAATACTAGACTAGGAAATTTTAGGGACTAGTAAAGGTTCCATCTGGCGATTGGGAACTTCAACCTCCGAGAGGAGGCGTCGAGAGCGGGGAATTACCGGAAATTTACGTGGACTCCGGGGCACTGCCGAACAATAGTGCAGAATACTAGTATGCAGAATAGTATAAAAGGGCGTAAATCGGCGGCGCACAATCAAGTACCTGCGCTTGCACTTCATCTCATTTGCGCAGTATAGACGCGGCCGGTTTCTTATTTCTGACTAGAACGCGGGTCAAGATGCGCGCCACACTTTTTACCAGTGTTGCCAGCGTCCTTTGGACTGGGTCGCTGACATTTGCGAGTCCGACGGCAAAGAGTGCCGATTTGGCATCATTTATATCGAAGGAGGGTCAACGATCTATTGTAGGGATTTCCGAGAATCTGGGTGGTAAAGGCAGCAAGACACCGGGCACAGCTGCTGGCTTGTTCATTGCTAGCCCAAACATGGCCAACCCAGACTGTAAGTTACAAATTTCTCCTTGTTAGAACAGGCCTAATCTTTATTAATAGACTATTACACATGGACTCGTGATTCAGCACTCACAATCAAGTGCTTGATCGACCTATTTGAAATTTCTGGTGGTGGATATTCAATCAGTACCAAAGAGTTGGAAACCGGTATTCGGAATTATGTCTCGTCACAGGCAGTGCTGCAGAATGTATCCAATCCATCTGGAACTCTGCAAGATGGCTCTGGACTTGGTGAGCCCAAGTTTGAGATCGATCTAAACCCATTTTCCGGTTCCTGGGGCCGGCCTCAGCGTGATGGACCCGCCCTGCGAGCGACAGCTATGATCACATACGCAGACTGGTTGATTTCCCACGGCCAGAAGTCTGAAGCCGCAGATATTATGTGGCCCATCATTGCAAATGATTTGGCATACGTGGGCCAGTACTGGAACAATACCGGGTTCGATCTCTGGGAAGAGGTTGACGGATCATCTTTCTTCACCTTGGCTGTTCAACATCGCGCACTGGTGCAGGGATCAAGTCTGGCACAGAAACTCGGCAAGTCATGCCCTGCTTGCAAATCTCAAGCACCCCAGATCCTTTGCTTCTTGCAGAGCTTCTGGAATGGAAAATACATCACTGCCAACATCAACCTCGATACCAGTCGCTCCGGTATCGATTTGAACTCGATCCTGGGAAGCATCCACACCTTTGACCCAGAAGCTGCATGTGATGATTCGACCTTCCAGCCTTGCTCAGCCAGGGCTCTCGCAAACCACAAGGTTTATGTCGACTCCTTCCGTTCAATTTATAAGATCAATGCCGGCATTCGAGAGGGTTCGGCCGCGAACGTTGGTCGGTACCCAGAGGATGTTTACCAAGGGGGTAATCCATGGTAGGTCTACATCTATGCTAATTCCAGGATCTCCAATTCCAGTGTGCTAAAATATTCCCACTTCGTATAGGTATCTTGCTACTCTAGCCGCCGCTGAGTTGCTGTACGATGCCTTGTACCAATGGAATAAGATTGGCAAGCTCGATGTCACCGCGACTTCCTTGGCGTTCTTTGAAGATTTCGATGCTTCCGTGAAGAAGGGGTCCTACTCGGCGCACAGCTCAACCTACAAGACTCTTACCTCAGCCATTCGGGCCTATGCGGATGGTTTCTTGACTCTCGTCCAAGAATACACTCCCTCTAATGGATCTCTGGCTGAGCAATATAACCGGAATACCAGCGTTCCCCTCTCAGCCAACGATTTAACGTGGTCTTACGCTTCCTTCATCACAGCCGTACAGCGTCGTTCCTCTATCGTGCCTGCCTCATGGGGTGAGAAATCCGCAAATGCCGTTCCAACTACCTGCTCCGCATCGCCCGTCACAGGGACTTACCAGGCTGTCGCTTCGGCCTTCCCGACAAGCACTGGGTGCGTCCCCGCGACCGACGTTGTGCCAATCACATTCTATTTGATTGAGAACACTTTCTATGGCGAGAATGTCTACATGACTGGCAATGTCAGTGCGCTCGGCAACTGGGATACGAGCAATGGGTTCCCACTCACGGCGAACCTGTACACTGAGACGGATAATTTGTGGTTTGCCAGTGTCGAGCTTATTGCCGCAGGTACTCCGTTTGAATACAAGTACTACAAGGTGGAGCCGAATGGCACCGTTATTTGGGAGAGTGGTGACAACAGAGTTTATGTTGCTCCTACTGGCTGTCCGATTCAGCCTAACCAACATGATGTGTGGCGGTCTTGATTGATGTCTCGCTTGTGAGGGTTCTCGATGTCATCTATATTTGAGCACAAAATGAAGAGCCCAGGGAATCAAGCTCTAGTTTGGACCACGAAGGTCGTAAGAGATGATCATAAGAATAACCATTAAACCCCCAAATTCATAATCGTTATTTTCCATGAAATTCAAATCTAGCTTGAATTTATGGCTCGGCCTTGGTTTGACTGACTCGTCGGCCGTGATTCTCCTTCCGCTTTGCCTGCAAGGACCGAGCAAACTTGCTTTGCTCGCGAATCTGAGGACCCTTCCAATAGAAAACATAAATGGGAGCCACGACAAGACAGGAAAGGCAGGCAAGAATTGTACTAGCATACTCGACATGCCACTTATCTCCAATATTGGTATACATTGGCGTCGCGTACATCGCGGAAATACCAGCAAGAAGATCTCGAGCAAAGGCATTTCCACCACACGCGGAGGCGGAGTATACCCCGTAGGATGCAATCATATAGTCGACCGAAGACAAGTAGATTGCGTAATTAGCAATGCCAACCATGGTGGAAAATATCATCGAGCCGATCCAGTGCACGCCATATTTCTGCCCAAGTGATGTCCAAGCAAATCCGAACAAGCCGATCGGCTCGAACGGCGCAAGGAATAGGAGCCACTTTAAGCGGCGCTCGGGTGGAAGTGCGTCATCACCCTTGGCTTCACGGATAGCACCGTCTCGCATGAACCAAGGAAAGTATGAGAAGTAGGCGAGAACGTAGGCAAGATTGATCGGAATGACTGCCCAGGCTTGTGCAAGGATACCGAATCCCCACCCTTGCTCGTAGACAATCGAAAAGCTCTCGAGGAAGGTAAAAATCAATGCGTCTGAGAATCCGGATAGAAGGGACAGACAGAGAACGATAGGCTCTCGCAAAAGCATGTGGAAAGGGCGTATCCAGATCATGCCCGCCTCTTTCAGCGACACACGAGGGTTTTTCAGTTCATTCGGTCCGTATACATTCGGGTCTTCTCCTGTTTCACGACGTCGCTTGGCTTCCCTGTCAATGAGAATGGTAGAACGACTCTCAGGCATGAAGAAAATAATCGCTTGCGTGACGGCTCCGAAGATGAGTTGAATCCAGAAGAACCACTGCCATCCTAAGTCTTAATTCAGAGCGTATGTTAGCATCCCTTCCTGTAATAGACCAATATCTCATCTTACATCTCTCGATCGGTCCGCCGATAACACCGCCAATGCTAGTACCAATACAGGAGGACAACACAATGAAGGCTAAGGGGAACTGTTGCGTTTCGCGCTCGTAGATATCTGCGATTAGACCGAGAGTAACGCTGCCACCAGCGGTAGAGATACCACCCTAACAATGATCAGCATCATAAAATCGATAATGGACTCAAGAAGCTTACCAAACCACGTGCGACAACAATGGTACCCCAGTTAGGTGCCAGTGCTGCCGGGATTTGCCATATGTTGATGAGGAACATGGACAGCTGGAGAATCGGCCAACGGCCAAACTCCTCACTCCAGGGTGCCCAGAGCTCACATCCGATTGAATAAGTAACAAGATAGATCATCTGACCAGTACGGGCTTCTTGTTCACCAATACCAAAGGCCGCTGATAGAGGCTTGACTGCATTGGGATAGACTGAGGTGTTAAAGTTCATCGATACTTGAACAAAAGCCACTGCGACGAGATAAGACCATTTTTTCCACTTTGGCCAACAGTATCCTAGCTTATCGTAACAGTCATCCTCTTTAAGCTCGCGCTTTTCTGTCGAGGGAATGATTTCTTTTTCAGTGTCTGTGCTGAGTACCCCGCTGCTAGGATAACTCTCTGTGCCACTAGCAGAAGGCGATCTGTCTGGGCTGTGGCCCAATGATGGAGCCAATTCAGTCATGGCTAGACAATGGTGATTGAAGTAGATTCAATTCTTGGAGAAGGTTGTTTATCGGTGTATTTATTAGTTATCTCAACACGCAAATTTCGGTGATATTCAGAATACTACACACTGAGATTAATCGTCATTGCTCTCAAACCGGATTCTTGGTAGATGCACCCACCTGTAAAGTGGGTGCATGAAATAGCTCCTTAAGTGGATGCTTCTTTTTTAGTTGTAAGTCGTGCATTGATGAACGAGTACTATGATTAGGACCTTTTCATGCATAGGAGGTATGGCAAATAGTTTACATCCCCTACCATGATACTCGGTCGAGTCAGGTAACAGACCAAGGATTTTCAAATTGAAAAGCGACCTATGCTTTTGCATCAATAATTATATCTAGAGGCTGAAAATTTTGATGGTACGCGATCCTCTGATCGTCACCGAGGCCCTCCCGACCCTTTCTTGGCGAATCCACTATAAAGTGGACTGCCCTCAAGTATCGGTCCTGGCCTGACGTCAATTGTGATTTCGTCAGCTAGACAGTGTTGACGAACCTCGGAATTCGGTAGGTACTCTGGACAAACTAAAGATATCTACGCTCTACAAGACGAGGACTGGACGAATGCCCATTAACTCTACTCGAGGAGCCGATTCCTTGAATCAGACTCACTCCTTCCTAATAAAGAGATACATAGTTAAGTCTGCTAAAACGGAGATATACGGTTTGTCCGAAGACTCTGTTTCATTGCAATTCATCTTAATTTCGTCTAGCGGTCGTTCAGTCGTAAGTTCCCACTTCTATTATGAAGGTCTTATCTTCTCCACAAGAGGGGTCGGGCCGCTCGTGGCCAATGAGCAGTAAATATCAGACTTTCCATCGGAAGATCGTTGTCTGATCATCCAGACTCGCTCTCATCCCATGCGTCATTGAGCAGTGTGATCAAGTCTGAATTGAGGGAGTGATGAAGGCCTTCATGGCGCGTGTCACATCGCCCTCGTGAGCCCTGAGAAGATCTGTTGCCTTGTTCTTATGCAAATCCAGCTGTTCGGCCTATTTTAACAACGAAAGGTTAGAAAATGGATCCATACTGGAAATTTCAAGAGATCAATAATCATATCTCCATACCAGAAGTGTAACATCAGCTGCATTTATTTTAACCACCTTCTTCTTCACCTCTGCCTCTTTCTTCTGGGACTCGGTCGCCTTCTTCTTCCCAGTGTCATGGCCTGCAGCGACTTCCAAGCGGCTCATAGCCTTGCTCAAGGCCTCTTGGTCTGCGCCTGATGGCCCCTTAGAGGAAGCTGCATCACCAGCTAATCCATCTGTATTCAACGAGTTGAGGGCGGCTGCAGCCTTGCGGTCTTCGGCGTTCGCGGGGAGCTGCTGATTCACCGTATCTGGATCCGCAGTAGCAGATGGAATGGGGTCGGACATTTTGGTAATCTCTTCGTTCGGTCAACGGTCAATAGTGTATAGCTCCACTATGTCTTAGCGGTGTTGAAGGTGGTTGGAGAAGGAACAACGTCACCGATAAGCGCCCAGCCCCAAGATAACAACTTATGTAAATATTAACGCCTGAATAGTCAGGCGACGAAATGAGTCATCCGACAGGTTCCGCGAATAAGCGGCGAACTGAATTTGTTGTCTGGCTTTTCTTCCTGGTGACTGTGCTTTTTTTTGTTCTTTGTTGACTTCGAATTCAAAGAACTCGATACGTGGTATCTAACCAATTGCCCCGTCAGCCTGTTCAATTGAATAGGGCTCTTGTCAGAGGATCTACCTGCCAGCGCCATCTGCCACCTATCGTCCCACTTTCCCGCACGCGGGGTGGAAATCCACTATGGACAACTGGAGTCCAAGCTGTACGTGCCACTTCTTCAGGGACGACCGTCGTCCCAACCCGAATCTCGGCCAAATTCTCATGTCGTAACTCTAGCGTGGACTGCGAAGCCCATCAAGCAGGATGTCATCTACGAGGATGTTCAGGGCGTAAAGGATGCTCTTGGAAAGCTACAAAATCTGCCTCCATTGGTGACGGTTCGAGAGGTATATCATTCCTCCACCCCGATTTTGTGATTTCTAGCCACTGACACCATTTCAGATCAACAATCTCAAGAACAGCTTGAAAAATGTGGCCTTGGGCAAGGCTTTTGTCCTACAAGGCGGTACGCACTGTGTCGCCAGTTTCAACTAATCGTGCTTATGGCTAACTTGGACCAATAGGCGACTGCGCTGAGCTTTTTGATTACTGCAATCAAGACATGATTGAGGCTAAGCTCAAGCTTTTGCTACAAATGAGTCTGATTTTGATTTGGGGTATGAAAACTAGCACCTCCTTAAAAGCAGCCCAAATTAACCATGGCATATAGGTGCCAACAAGCCCGTCATTCGTATTGCACGTATTGCGGGACAATTCGCCAAGTAAGATTCTCAATTTCCCTTCACTTTCATCTGAGCCACCCTAACCACTCTTCAGGCCTCGATCCAGTCCAACTGAAACCGTCGATGGAGTTGAAATGCCCTCCTTCCGAGGCGACAACATTAACGGCTTCGCCGCCACTGCCGAATCCCGAAAGCCAGACCCATCACGTCTGGTCTCAGCATACTTCCACTCGGCCGCAACACTCAACTACATGCGCGCATCTCTGTCCTCGGGTCTGGCGGATCTGCACTCCCCCATGGACTGGGGTCTCGGCCACGTTATCGAGCCCTCAATCAAGGATCAGTACTCGAAAATAGTCAACTCCGTCCAAGACGCTTTGCGGTTCATGCGCACGGTAGGAATTGATAAAGATCGCGGTGTTGAGACTGCAGATATCTATACCAGCCACGAAGGTCTCTCGCTAGAGTATGAGTCGACTTTGACGCAAAGGTTGAAGCAGCCCGTCCAGTCTGGCTTTGGTGCGGCAGCCCAATCTGCACCTGCTTGGTACGCTACCTCTGCACACTTCCTCTGGATTGGTGACCGGACACGACAACTCGATGGCGCACACGTTGAGTTCTTCCGGGGAGTTTCCAATCCGATCGGCATTAAGATCGGACCTACAATGGCCGCAGACGAGCTCGTCCGCTTGTTAGATGTCGTGAACCCCAGCAAGGAAATCGGCAAGGTGACTTTGATCTCGCGTTACGGCGCGTCTAAGATCGCACAGTTCCTCCCCGGCCATATCGCTGCCGTCCAGGCTTCGGGTCATATCCCCGTGTGGCAGTGCGACCCCATGCATGGCAACGGGCGAGCCACACCTTCCGGCGTGAAGACACGGCATTTCACCGATATTCTCTCGGAGCTGAAGCAAGCTCTGGAGATTCACCGCCAGGCTGGATCTTTCCTGGGTGGTATGCACCTCGAGTTGACTGGCGAGGCTGTGACGGAGTGTGTTGGTGGTGCAGCTGGTCTGACTGAGGATGGGCTTGGGGAGCGGTACACCACTTTCTGTGACCCTCGACTCAATGAGAAGCAGGCTCTTGAGCTTGCATTCCTCGTGGCCGGGTTCTACCGCGAGGAGTCCGAGGTCTAAGGTGAACCAGCAAGAGATGAGTGGCATAACTTTCGGTTAATTTCGGTTATCTGTGAGAGTGAAAAATGATTGTAGATCTGAAAGAAGTCAGGTATCTACTAGGACGAATCGTTTACATCCTAGCTTAATGACAAAAAGAAGAATTTTGTTGAATAATTGATTCGTATTCATGGAAAATGCAAAACAAGACCCCAATCAAAACACCATACCAAATGAAACTCCAAAAAATTCCCCATATGTACAGTGGATAAGCAAAAAATGTATTTCACAAAAAGGTATCACAAAGGTTAAAGTCACTTTGCAAGTGGACTTTCAACTGAAGGTTTGTAAAAGTGACTCTTGCGTCGTGCAGCTTCCATACGAGCGCGCTGTTGACGCCTGGTCTCTGCTTCATCGTCTTGTTCAAGACTGAAGATAGGTTTTTCTGCTCCTCCGAACAGACCACGATTGCTCTGCTTAGGTGGGCAAGACTGCTGAACCAGCTTGGCACGATTGGAAAGGAAGTAGGGGGTAGCGGGAGACATGCCAATAGCGTCGAGGTTGTCAAAGTTGTATCCCGGAGTGGCAGGAACGTGATAACGATCGGATTGCAGAACAGGAGTGGATGGAATGCCGGCCAGGGGAGTCGGGGGTGTGATTTTCCGGAATCCCTCCACCGCGCCACGGTCAGCGCCGCAACGGCGTCCGCTGGCAGAGGGAGTGGACGGCTCAGGAACGCGCACTAGGGTGCCATTGACATTGCTCAAAGCGCGAGGCTCCATGCTCTTGCGTCGTTTAGCGCCGCCGCGGGGAATGATAGAGCTGTCGACCATATATGGCGTCTCGTCGAGCCACTTGTTTTCTCTCTCGCAGCTAGAAGTATACGTTAGTATTGTCAAATCATTATTTCGTATGAAACTTACTCAAGAACCCAACCAACTCCGACACATTTCACCAAACCACCAGCATGCTTGACCTTTTCCAGGGTACGGAGGCCGCCGTCCTTGTACACGACGTGGGTGATTCCAACTTTGGATTCCTTGGGATCAACACCATCAACAGGAGACATGCTGGATCGAGGGTTCCATGACCACGACCTGAAACAACGAGCACCCATTTGCTGCAAAAGCTCAACAAAGATGCCAGATGCATCTTCACCTTCGGTCGTATGAACATCCACATAGACGACGGCACCCTGGAGTGCCTGCTGGCTGACAATGCTCTTCCTGCGAGGAGTCTTGCCAGCGCTGGAAACCACAGATGGAGACTGAGGTACTTGAATGTCGGGCTGTGTTCCTAAAGACCGCCGGGGAGTGCTGCAGCGACGCTTCGGGCTCGGGCTTCTTGAAGCTCGCGGGGCCTTGTGCGGAGAAAATGTTGGTACGGTCTCACTGCCAAGGAAGATGACGGGCTTGCGCATGCGAGGTGATGCGCGAGTGGGGGACCTGCTTTCAAGGGAATGGCCACGCTTGCGGGGCAGCTTCAGAGGAGAGACCTCGCCTTCACCCTTCAAAGGCACCTTTGACACAGTGTGTACTGTTCGAAGGTGGTCGATTCCTCTCCTAATTGGAGTGGCTGGTAAAATAACAGGAGAGTCGCAATTCTCTTTGTCATCGTCATCGGATAGTGAACCCTCATCGTGAGCTTCAGTCGATTCAGGGGCCTCCATATCCGGACTAGGCTGCTTTGACTCCGGCACCATCTCCTCGGAGTCTGAAAGCTCGGGGTCTTCAAAGATGTCCAATCGGATTGGCGAGTAGATCATAGAATGCGCCTGCTGTGGCACAGCAGACTCGGGGGTGTGAGGGGATTGAGGGGGAGTACAAGCATCGTCGCTCTTGGCCTGAAGGGGCAGTTCTGCAAATAGGGCTGGCGTGTCTGCAAGTGGAGTGCGTGAAAGATCGGGATAAGACACATCATCCTGTGCCGGTGTAGCATGTTCTGCGAGCTTCTCCAGAGGTCCAACAAGAGAGAAAACGCCACGTCGACGAGGTCGGGCCGGCTTGGCTTGAGAGGGAGTATTGGTTTCCCAGCTGTCAAATTTACTTGCCAGAGGTGTAAACCCGATGTCGAAATTGGCAATCGACTTTCGCTTCCCAGCAAAGTTTGGCGTATCGCAGATGGCATGACCAGTCGGGGAAGGAATCTCGGACAGTGTTGTATCCAAAAAGCTATCCTCGGCCGGGATGCGCGGGTCAGCATTGATGTCGAACAGCCAGTCCTTTGACTTGGCGCTATCTTGCTCGTAAGGAGACTCAATACTCATTTCACGGGCAAGAGGAGTATGAGCCAGAGAGGTAGTCGATTGTGCAGACCGCTGCAAGCTTTCGACTGCTTCAGCATAGCGGACGCTGCGGGGGGTTTCCGGTGTAGATGAGACATTGACGGCGGCTTCATCTTGTGCGAGATCAAATTCGTCATTTTGCGGGTGACCATGTTCGCTCTCAGCCTCTTCGGCTCCGGTTTCATCTGTGTCTTCATGTGCGTGGCTAGCAAGATCAAGGTACTCTTCGAGGATTTGCGGTGTGGGAGTTGGGGATTGTGCCTCTTCGAGAGCATCCAGTCCAAGAGTTTGTTCCGAATGCGAAGGAGATTGCTGCTCCGGTTCCTCTTCCGGTGTGACCATTTGTTCCACCTCCTCAAAGGGAACTTTTGGGGCGGCAGCTGCTTCCTCGGCCTCTTCCCCTTCCTCCTCCATATCTTCCTCCATATCCGTCTCCATCGTGTCATCAATATCATCCAAGATGAGATTCTGGTCCACAATCTTCTCCTCAGGCAGATTTTGGACCTGCGGCAGATTTTGGAACGGTTTCTGGAGCTCTTCCATGGTGTTGAAGCAAATGGTCCCAAAGTCCTCGGGTTCGCGGCGGATCTCCTCTTGTAACTCTTGAAGTTTCTCGTCAATATCGATATTTTCGGCACAACTATCAACGGCTTCAGGCCCATCAAAGGCATCCTCCGCTGGTTCAAGCTCCAAGGGTTCTTCGACCACAGAGGGCTCCTGTGGCGAGGGCGAAATAGACGAGCTTCTACCGTGGCATTCCAATTCGATACCGAAAATATCACGAGCTACTTCCTCGACCATTTGGATGTCTTCATCCACGGCTAGATCGTGATGGCCCGATCTTGAAACGAGGGAGCTTTGCTGCTGTGTTTCAGGGATTGGAAGCACAATTGCAGTGTCTTCGCCGTCGAGAGCTGAAACAACAGTGGATGTACTCTTAGAGGAGAAGAGTGAGCTCTTGAACGGAGATGGGATCCTCTTTGGTGGGCTTTGGATAAGTGATGTCTTGGCCGAGAACGGAAGCGAGGCCTTGTCCGGCGACTGAGAGAAAGAAGCACCTAAATTAGCTTTCTTTGGCGACATCTTCAGCGGGGATGGCGGGCCTTGGCCAAGGTTCGACTCGGCGGCAGCGTTGGCGTCTTCTCGGAAAAGCAGACCACGATTCGGTGTATCCCGAAGGGAGAACTGGAATGGAGAAGCTTCCGGTCGTCTGGCAGGACTTGACATGAAAGTCGATTCGCTGAAGTCAACTGACTTGCCAGGAGGCAAGGCCAGATGGCCACTATCGGGCGCAGCGTTGTAGCTGCGGCTGGGTGTAAAGTTGATTTTCCTAACAGGGGAGCTCAACCCGGTGGCAGATGACCCATTCTTGGGTGTAGCGGGTTTAGGTTCACCGTTCTCATCGATCAGGTTAGACGCTTTCTTGGGAGTGAAATTAATCCTGCGCACAGGCGAGCTCAATCCTGTGACTTCGGTGCCAGCCTTGACTGGCGAGTGAATGACCAATTTCACAGGACTCTTCACATCGTACTTGGCTGAAATCAATTCGTCCTCTTCACCGTCCGAGCTAGCGTAAGCGGAAAGCGACTTGGCGACCTGCTTGTCCTTCTTAGGAGACAGAGGTTTGGCTACGCTCGTTTTGGCTACAGCGGGCTTTCGTCCACGCGTAGTTGTTCCAGTAGCCTTGCGCATCGGTGTCGCGCCTAGACCAGCTTTGCCAGAGGCCTTTGCGGGGGCCTTCTTCTGTCCAGTAGCAGGAGCAGTAAGTCCTTCCAATTCATCGGATTCTGAGTCGGATGGCTCTTGGAAGGTCACTGTTTTCTTCTTGGCGGGCCCGCGTAGGAGGTTCGAACGCATGGTCGTAGCAATGCGGATATGCCTAGTGAGAGCATTTTCACTGCTTGCCTGGGGTTCTGGCATTGCCCGAGTATTCTTCCGAGTAGTGGTAGTGGTCTTTGACGTTGTTGATCCCTTTGGTCGGCCCCGAGCCTTGGGTGCTGTCTCTGTTTTGGCGGCGGTGGACGTCTCTGGTACTGTGTTCTTCCTCGGTCTACCCACCCGTTTCTTTGCTGGTTCTGCCTTCGAGGCCTCGTCGTCACCTCCATCATTGTCGACAGGGGTTTCGGGCCGAGCTGGCGCCGGGGTCGTTTTCTTGGGACGGGTAGTGGTCGTCGTCTTTGTTCTTGATGATGCCGTTGAGGCCAGTGTTGCAGAGCGAGCTGTGGGTCGCCCACGAGGCCGTACAGGCCTCTCTTCATTGCCTTTCATCATCATGCCAAGCTCATCCTCGGTATCATCTGAATCAACGTCGACATTCGCCATCGTGTTTTTCCTAGCCGTCGTCGTCTTGGTCACACCTCTTCTCTTCGGTTCGGCCACGACTTTGGCTTGGGAGCTGGCAGTGGTTTTAGTCAGGGTTGAACGAGGTGCCGTGCGCGTCCCCCGCTTAGCAGGGGAGGGAGGGAGGACGGCTGCTCGTGCCATGGCGGCGAGGCTAAGGGCTTTGTTGTTGTTGTCGTTGTTGCGTGTTGTTGTGTTGATATTGTCGTAAGTCTTATTGTCGTTGACGGCGCGATACACTCATGGCGGATCTGAGCGCGTCAAGTCAGTGTCTCGGTCGCGGCTGGCGTTCAATGTCGTGTGGATTGCATTAGATTGCAGGTCAAAATGGTCATGCGGGTGGAGCGTTGTGTTTGGGCGAACTCGAGCGGGCCCGAGTAGTTTCCACGGTAACGCTCACGTGATGTGTATGATCGGCACCGGGTTTGGGTCACAACAACAACATCAGGTGGGACCAAATCGCAGCTAATACGAGAATTAAACTAACAAACAACCTTAATCGTTGGTGCCTCGGCTAGAAGTAGGTGATTTGTTTCTGGTACCCAAGATATGAATGTATTTGTACTTTGTATCTCAAATCGCTCGTGTTCACCCTCCGAGTTTCCTGAATATATATTCTAGGTTTGAAGTACTAGCCGAGGCCTGTATGAGGCTGAAGGAGACGAGAACCTAATTAGAGGTACGCATCCTCCAAGCCCCAAGGAATAGTCTTCAAATTTGAACATGGATCCCCAAATTAACGGTTCATGCATCTATCCGCGTATCAGAATAAGCCTACTGATAAACTGGTGTACTTGTTTCTGCAAAGTCGACAACTAGGAGAGCATAATACTCGTCCATCCTGGATGAAACACGAACCTAAGGTTAAGGAGGGTCATTCTAGCGGGCCGTCTGGCGCATATGTATCTGTATACTTCAAAACAAAGCAGATAGCTCCTACCTATTGATAACACTTTAGCGGTTTTACCGCCCCAAAATATGGAATCGCATGGGGCTGTTGAGTTCACGACCGGGACGAGGAGCACAGGCCATGTTGGCGATAGTGGCGTCCTCATATCGGGCTATCCGCGTTCGATGCCCGAGGCATACGATAGGAAACGTGGGGTTGTATCACGAAGAACGAAAGACCCAGAAAGGAGCACAGTACCCCGCCAGAATAGCAAACACGGAGAATTCAACAGAGGGTGAGATTCAATAAATATTTAACAAGTTGTAATCGAGTTGTTATTTAATTCGAGCTCCAAAGATCCTACTTTTTTTTGTGTATTTAGATAGACCTAGAATCGGCACTTCGCCAGCATCGAGACGATCGACACTCGGTAAGTGTCAAGTAAGCTATTCAGGGTTCGATCGCATTTGAAAGCCCGGCGCAACGGCCATATCTTCGACAGCTATTAGATGGGGGAAATCCTTCATCGACGGCACGTGTAAATACAAATATTGGCCATAGCTTGGGCACGGGCCAACGGCATCGCGAAGGACAGGGAATGGCAGGTCAGATAGAGGGGATCGAGATGCAATGCATGAGAAGCCGGGGGGACACAGACCGCCGATCTTTCAAATCTTGAACCAGCCTGGTCCAGACCGGTCGCGGTTCGTCAGCGGTCTGAGAGTAATGAACAGTTCGGCGCAGCCGTGAGATATACCATAGAGTAGTAATGCAGGGCACCAAGGGGAAGGGCTAGACTCGTAGGGACCAGACAACCAAAAAATTCTAGAAGACTGGGGTGTCGATGTTTATTGTGAATTAGCTCGTTAGCCTCCAGGGACAACGGACGAGTGCTCACGAGAACAAAAGTGGAACTAGGTTGGCCTCGGATTTGCCCGAACGGGTAAGTATGTTCTTAGCGTTCTGGGCCGGGTGCTGTCCGCGAAGAGAGGGAGAGATGTTCGAGGCAGGCTCTGCTGGTCACATGGACAATTAAATCTAGGGTAATAATGCATCTATTATTGTTTTTTGGAGAACGGATTGCTATCGGTGAGGGTGTTCGAGACCATGAGGTGTTGCATAGTCAAATTGAATGTTTGTAGGGAAGAGCCGAAGTACATCGATCGCGCATCACGGAAAATCAATCAAGAATTGAAGAACTTTGTCTTGCTCACTCAATGAATACATCAAACCTCCAAGTAGCTTTCGGGATTGATTCTAACTATAGGATATAGTATAAACCAAAAAAAACCGTAAGATGCTTAGCGATCTGTAGAAAGTGCCATTGACTTTGCCCCCATCTCTTAGGCACAGGAATCCTCACCACGGGAAGCAAGCACATTCATTCATTCGAGACTAATGCTGACCACATGACCGATAGAAGCTTCTAAGATCTGCAAGGTAGGATAGTCTCCAGTGTCGCTCGTGCCGAGTCATCGTACGAAGCAGTAATATCATAGACTCACCATAGAATCCAAGTAAAAGCATGCAACATTTAGGCCAGGGTCAAGAATTGGTTGGGCACCGGCACGCTTCCCCGGACGACCAGCAGGTCACCTGAACGGGGGTGGGGAAGTCGATCGGCTTGCCCAAAACGGGCATCCGATCTTCAGTACCTTTGGCCTCTTGGAAGCTCTCCCGCGAACTACTCCCGGGTCAAAAGTTCAGATTAGCCTGTGGCAACAACGATTCAAGGCAAAATGTAATTGCGACCAGGATACTTGCAAGATGGCCAAATGTATTTTTCTTAACGCAGGTCATCTATACATCATTAGGGTCTGGGAGCTACTCGGGAAATCAAGGTATAGCCATCAACGTATACTTGGTATACCGGCTTGCCTGGTTAAACTGGTTGACGTGGGAGAGCCGTAAATAGCACTCCCGTTGTCGCCACGCCCGTTTAAGCTGCTGCGCCAATGCCATTCTTCCGCTGGGGGGTCCAGAACTCCATCGTCCACGATGTCCACGACTGAGAATTTCCCGTTTGGGCCTACTTTTCAGTCTCTGCGTGTTCACGAGACCATCGTCGGGGACCGCGCCATCCAGTTCGGTCTCGAGTTGACTCCCTGTCTTTTTTTTCCCTTCCAGTCGTGGGTGGGACAAGTGCCGGAGGTCACGGTATCGTGAGTCCGTTCCAAGGGAGGTTTCTCTCGTTTTTGTTATTATATAAAGGAAGCCCTGCTCTGGTCCATGGTTCCTCCATTGACCATCTCAATTGTATTCTCTCCCGAACTTAATACCCTTATAATCGTTCGACGACTGCCTTTTGACCTCTTTTTTATTGGCACACCTGCTTTGGTCCTTTTATAATACCCGTCTATCTATACTTCCACCAACACTTTAATCACCAACATCCATTACCATGTCCGTCGCCATTGAAACCACCGAGGCTCCCACTGCCCCCACCACTGCCCAGCCCGTCATGATGGGCCAAAAGTCGCGCATGCCCGAGTTCAGTCTCGCTGGCAAGGTTGTCTGCGTTTCTGGTGCCGGCCGTGGCCTGGGTCTGACCCAATCCGAGGCCCTGCTGGAAGCCGGTGCGAAGGTGTACGCCCTGGACCGTCTGGAGGAGCCCGTACGTTTCTACATTCCATATCTATGATCCCTATCCGCAAGCCACCCGTCGCTAACAAACCATCTTCCCTCCATAAATAGGCTCCCGAATTCGCACAGATCCAGCAAAAGGCCAAGGAACTCGGAACGGAGCTGCACTACCGTCGCATTGACGTGCGGGACACCGAGTTGCTCAACAGCGTGATTGAGACGATTGCCAACACCGAGGGTCGCATGGACGGCCTGGTCGCTGCGGCGGGCATCCAGCAGGAGACTCCGGCTCTGGAGTACTCTGCCAAGGACAGCAACACCATGCTCGAGGTCAACGTGACGGGTGTGTTCATGACTGCGCAGGCCGTGGCCAAGCAGATGATTCGCTTTGGCAACGGAGGCAGCATTGCGATGATCGCCAGTATGAGCGGCACAATTGCCAATCGGGTACGCTCCCCATCCCTCCTTTACATTTTCCTCCCTCCATTATCCTCTTTGTGTTCCACTTGGTGGCCTTACAAGCGCATGGTATTCCCATATCGAACCCCCCCACCTTGAAAATTCCCCCCTTCCTGTCTTGATCCTATACCCGGTTGGGCATGGTCTCTCTTCCCCCGCAATAACGCCTAAAACCTCCCGCTTCCCCGCTTTCCATTTTACCCGTCCGATCCCAGGACTAAGAAAGTTCTTCCCAGGGTCTCATCTGCCCCGCCTACAACGCCAGCAAAGCAGCCGTCATCCAGCTGGGCCGTAACCTGGCCGCCGAGTGGGGCCAGTATAATATCCGCGTCAACACTATTTCCCCGGGCTACATCGTCACCCAGATGGTTGAGAAGCTGTTCGTCGAGTTCCCCGAGCGCCGCGAACAGTGGCCCAAGGAGAACATGCTGGGCCGCCTTTCCCGCCCGGAAGAGTACCGTGGCGCCGCGGTGTTCTTGCTCAGCGATGCAAGCAGCTTCATGACTGGTAGTGACCTGCGCATGGACGGTGGCCATGCCGCGTGGTAAATGCGGCAAAGGGGGAGGGGATGTTGACGAATTGTAATCATTTACGGAATCTTAGAACGTGGATCCAGTGAACTGGGTTTCGGGTTCTCATTTGCATGGCGTTGACTTGGTCATGTTTGATTTGATTTTTTTTTCCCTTTCTTTCGATCAGCGATAGCGTGGGGTTTTGACACACCATCGTTTTTTTCTCTCTCTATATTGGCTATCTTTTTGGTCTCATGGTCTTTGTGTTTTTTTTTTCTCATTGTTGATTAGACTTATATCGATCGCTCGAGTTAATGCACCTACTGATGTGATCTGACCCACACGCCCACTTTTGACAGATCGGCTCCACAGAGACCGAAAACCTGGGGGTGCGAACGGTATTCATTAGCAAATTATAGCGTAATAGGAGGAGCAGGGGTGTCTGGAAGGAGTTTTTGATACCAAGTTGAGCAAGTTTGTGGTCTCTGCCTGTCCCGGTCTCATGATGATTTCCGCCTACACACTCTCACAAAGGGAGGGAGAATTAATTCTACCTTACACTAACAGTCTAACACACCCATCACTCTTAATTCCTCTCTCGTACGCCCCGATAACCCCCTCCTTACATTTAATCCCCTCACCGCCATCGATAACACTCCCTCCAATCCAACCAACACTTCTTACTTCTAAGCACGCCAAGCCAACCGACCATTCCCATGACTTAACCACAGCAAGTCCATGATGCTATTGCTGCGAACCCACCCCCGCACAACCAGTGACATTCCCACCCACTACAACATTTCTATTATGTACTCTACCCAGATTAATCTTGTGAGTGGAACTATTCTTCCCCGCCCATCCACACTGGAGAACCCCAGATTCAATCACCAATCACGACCGGGCGTACTCGCTCGGTCCCTTTGGGGATTAGTCGACTGTTTCGATTTGATGTTTTGAGCGCGGGGGTGGGGCGAATGAAGATTTGTCTGTGCTTTGTCTATAATAATAATAATTCTTATGATCGTCCTTGGATTGTTTGTGGGTCGAGTGATATTGTTGTAACTCGTAGGTTAGGGTTTGTGGGAGGAGGATGACTACTTAGGAAGGTCGTCATGATAGACTCGAGTTTGGTTCGGCTACTGGCGGGATTAGTGAACGTCAAAGTTTCATTTTCACTTTGGGGTTGATGGTAGGTGTCGTTAGTTGAGAGTTTGATAGAGTCGGTTGCGGACCGGTGAAGTCATGACATGGTTCTCGGCATGCCTGATTTGGTACACACAAGACACGCCGAGGGCAGGGAGTATAGCCAATGCCCTTAGTTACGAGAACAATTTTGAAGATACTTCCTAGCTGGGTTGTTCGTGCTCGGCAACTGCGACCGAGTATGGGATAGAAGGATCTTAAATGCCTTGAATTGGGAGTCGCACAATGCACAACATCGTGGCCTGCTGGTACTACTACTACGGTACGACAGACGGTATGACAGTCTCGAGTCGTGGAACGCCCGGGGGATGTCCACCCACATTCTGAGGCGCAAATCGATAAAAACGCTATGTCTATTTTGGGAAGGCTTCGAGATGAATAATGTCTGCTTTTTGGCCTCGGGACTACTCCCTAGTTAGAAGGTCCCTCACGACTCACGAGACCGGAGGCCGAAAAGTGTAAGCCACGCAGCCACAGTGCCGGCCACTGAGGCGGTTTGCCACCCAATGCGACAATCATGACCATCTGGTTTTGCAAGAATTCCACAGAAGTGTACCGTTGATAATTAAAACCTTCTATGAAGGCAACAATGTGTACGACTGCAGAAAAGTACGTAGTACTACTACTGTAAGCGCCGTCGAAGGCGCTAGGTGCAAAGCTGGAACCGATAGATCAGATTCTTCCTGTGGCTGATTCGGTTGTCGGGAATGGTCGCCACCCAACTTGGCAGTAGGTAGTACAGTCGACTGCTTACTACTGCTTACTACTCTCTACTATCTACACTTACCTATCTCGACTATTGCAGACTAGATAGTCGATATCGAGTAGTATCTAATCAGGGTAATCAACCTGGATCGCCACTAGTTTATGCGACGGTAGCAAGGCTCCCCAGTACCCCCGTACTTCTATCCGTCCAATCCTTGCCACCACACGTACTTTGTATGGAACTATGGAGCACAAAGCAGACCACCCTTACCTGACATACAGCTACCCACAACGTCCATCCCCAGACGTCCCTGAGCGATAAATTACGGACCAATCCGATCGCGGCAAGATCATTTCGGAAGCATCGAGACCCTCTTCCTCGCGCGAGAACTTTCCTCGATAAGGAGGTTGCCACACTAGGTACAACGGACCGACACGTGGAATTTCAGCCGAGATTCGGAAACCGGATGAGATTGGAGACGGGGAACTGGAGAAGGAGGGGAGCGGAGTCCGATTCTTGGCACAGATATTGTTTTTGTTCTCGAAAGTGCTTGTTCCGCTAGAATTTCCCGGTTGGACTCGTTTATTGTCGGGTGGTGAGATAGTTTTTAGAGGGGTTTACGATGATTGTAAGGGTAATATCGGTAATCAGGAGGTTGTGAATGGGTAGAGGGATCAGCCACCAGAAGGCTGTCAGATATTAGTTGCAGAAGGTGGTTTTGCGAGGCTGTTATCGAAGCAATTCATTCGGCTGAGATAACCCGATGTCAGTAAGTACATACTTCCAGCTGGTAGTTCCTGGTGAACCAACCTAAATTAAGTTTAGCGGGGACCATCAACCCAAGTTGAGTCCTCAGACCAACCAGATTCGAGCGACGTTGGAAGAATAACTATCAAGATGGGGAACGACTCCCCAGTTAGGAAGGTGGTTAGGACAGCAATTAACTGGGCCTCCACTCTCAGCCATAGCTAAAGTAAACCTACACCAAACTACAAAGCCAGCGGTCGCAGCCACGAGGTTTTGGCAGCCAGCAAACTTAAAGTGCACAAGCCACCAGGAAAATTTTCCTCAGGAACCCAACAGGAACCAACAGGAACCGATAGCGACCGAAAGGTTCGAAGTGTTCCAAGTGTCCAACACACAGAAAAGTACGGAATTCTCTGCAAAAGTCTCCGTGGCCACGGAGATATCCGCCCAGACTCTAGGCCAACGATAAGCAAAGGCCAAGCAACAGTCAAGCAACGCTTAAGCAACTTCCAAGTCCGTGCAAACCTTTTGCAGCCGCGCGCGGTCTGTGTGTCCGGCTTCTCCGTCGGACCTCCTATGCCATATGATTTGACTACTGTCACTACCCCCTGTCCATTTCATCTGATAGCTCACTATCATTCCACCAGTCCCGACATCCCCGCCCCTTTTTTGACCATCCACGCTAGCCTCGTTACTTCCCGTCCTATTCTCGATCCCGGAGTAATCTATACCCTAAGTGGCTGATTGCCACCCACTACCGGCGTCTCCCCCTGGACGAGACAGACGCCCGTAGCCGAGGCCCTGCGGGTACAAACGAGGCCACGCCGGCAAGTTTAGGTTAAGCTTCTAGGTTGTCTGGCAAGCCACTCACAAGGATTGGGGTGGGTGTCTTGCACGAGAGTTACATGGCGCGGGACGGGTTGCATCCACCAACCAGTGCTGGACCGGGTCTAGTGTAGTCTGCCAAGGCCCGGCGTCGTCTGCATGGAATCTTGCTTGGATCTGGAGAGTTTTCTAATTCGTCGAGCATAAAGCCTTATCTGCCGATGACCACGGACGTCTTGCCCCTTTGAGTCTAGTCCCGGTGGCCATCTTTATTGGATGGCGTGATAAGTCTGGGGTAAAAAAACATGGTCTTATTTTTCGATTTTTGAATGGGAGTTTCTCTTACTTTCTCTGATTTGTTTCCTCGTGTGATAATGGGTCGCCAAATGAACCTAAAAAATGTAAAAACGTAAAAGAAATATCACAATATGCCAAACTAAATTCGGGTCCACATGGAGACTCGGACTCGGTTGCATACTCCGTAGACCTCGATTGTTTGTGCTGCTGCTCCTGCTGGATACCACCACACTAGAGACGACTATAAGATTGCCTCGCTTCCTCGCTTTCCCTCTTTCTCTTCTCCTCCTCCACGTTCTCCCTTCTCCACCCTTTCCACCTCCGTTCGCCCCCCCCCTCCTGCTTCTCCTTGCAGGCCTTCATAATGGCGACCACAGCTGTGACCCGTTCCAGCTCCTCGGACATCCAGGAGTCTGATCGTGTCGTGACCACCGTCGACGAGAAGCTCGCCGATCCCAGTCGTCCCGAGAAGAGTCTCGTCTCGGACTCATATCACCTTCAGCTCGGTGACGAGGATCCTACAGAGGAGGAGTTGCACGGCCCCAATGCTCTTCGCCGAGTCTCCGCCCCTATCCCATGGGCTGTCTACACCGTCGCCTTTGTCGAGCTGTGCGAGCGTTTCTCTTACTACGGAACTCAGGTTTTGTGTATGTTTTTTCCGGACTCTACCTTGTTTTTGGCCCGATCGAGTGAATTAATGGCTGACCATCAAATCTTATTCTCTCTCTAGACTCCAACTTTGTGAACCACTCCCTGCCCCAGATCAATGGCCCCGCCGGCTCTAACCACTATACCGGCGCCGGTGGTGGCACTTCCCAGGGTGTCTCGGGTGCCCTGGGCAAGGGTGTGGAAACCGCCAACGGTATCAACACCTTCAACACATTCTGGTGCTACGTCATTCCCCTGTTCAGTGCCTACCTTGCCGATGAGCACTGGGGACGATACAAGACCATCTGCTGGTCTATTGCCGTGGCCATTCTGGGTCACATCATTCTGGTCCTCTCGGCCATTCCTCCCATCATCACCAACACTACCGCCTGCTTCGCTGTCTTCATGCTCGGTGTTATCATTATGGGTCTGGGTACCGGTGGTTTCAAGCCCAACATTTCCGCCCTGGTCGTCGAGCAGATTCCCGCTGTGAATCTCAAGGTCCGCACCCTGCCTTCTGGAGAGCGTGTCATTGTCGACCCGACCATCACCCAGAGCCGTATCTACCACTACTTCTACCTGTTCATCAACATCGGTGCTCTGATCGGTC